AATACGTAGCGAATCCTTAAGACTGAACTATTTTGTAAAGTCTACGAATCAAGTGTTTGATAATTTTTATTCGTTATCCTCATTTCTCGTGTCTATTTCTTTTCGCTTGCTAATAAACTTGAATGCAACGTGCCCTAGAAATTCGTTTGAACCAGACGAAACAAAAACGGCTTTTTAAAATAATAAACACAAGTCAAGTGTTCTTGGTATGCAAAAAAAAGTGGATAATTCAAAATTCAATAGAAATAAAGATAGTAATTAAGAGGAGCATGAAGAGCATGAAGACAGAGTTCAAGCAATCCACAACTTTGTAAATCCATTACAAGTGATTTTTTAAATGTATTCTTAGATTTTTAAAAAGTCAACTACCTTGGAGCCTAAGATTTCACCTCTTCGAGTTTTTGCCTTGCCCGTCAAGCTTTGTGAAAAGTTGAGAGAGGTAAATTCATTTCAAACCATTTCCCGCGCGAACTGTGTGGAGAAAAAACCTTGAGTAAAAGTAGGACAACAGCAACGGTGAAAGTAGTTTTGCAAGTAAGTCATTGATACCCTTTTAATTTAGATTCATTTCTTTATTATCACCGAGTTTAATGTTAATTAGAATCAAATTTCGACTTCTGATATCGATCATTGACGATGGCATCATTGATTGATGCCATCGAAAAGCCTTTAGTGCGATTATATAGGTATGTAATATGGTGTTCATGTCCTCAGTTCTAAAGAGATTCAGAAACAATATGACATATGATTATATTGAAGAATCATTATTCGATGATGCTGGTTGTTAGTTACCAATAACTCCTGATGATAGGTTTTTTCACACCGACCTCATTGTAAAAAAATATTCATACCATGAATTTAATAATCAACCACATCGGAAGTCACAACCCTTGCAATACATCAGAACGATTTCCTTTCTCGTTCGATCTTACTTAACACACATTGGGAATGATTTCGGACGAAAATCATTAATATAAATTTCAAAATTTTGGAGCATAATTCTCTAAACTTAAAACTGATAATAAACATCATAATTTTCTAAACATAAATACCATAAACTCACAATGCATAGGCAGTAATGGAGTACACATGAATGATAGTCGGTGCGTGGTGAAGGAATTATGAGGCTCTGAGGTAGGCTCCCACGCGCGACGCCGTTTGTGGGGCTAGCAGTCGGTGAAACTTTGCTGGCGATGCTTCACAGAGATAAAGATCTGCATCGCTTCTGCCAGGCACTCCGACTGAGTAGTTCGAGGAGCGACCTTGTAACTTTAACATTTTATGAGCCTGAGGTAATTCAGTATTTATTTCAATGTTCCATCCAAATAATGAAAATATTAAAAATTTAATATGAATAGGGTCATTTACAAAAAGCAATTTAGTGTAAATGTAATTTCCGCAATAAAACCAATTTGAATTCAATATTTAGGAATAGACAGCCCACAGCTCTAATCGACTTGTTTTGTTAAATAAATAGAAGGTAAGTAAAATTAAAATTATATTGTGCAAATAATAATTAAAATGGATTAAAATTATTGTCATGGATACCAGCCATCAGCAAGACCATTCATAAATTAAAAAATAATAGTATAATGGTATCATATTATCAAATATGATCTGATTAAGTATAACAGTTAATCAAAGTTTCACTATATATTTCATGTCAATGTAATCACATGATAGTGGCTCTATTTTCCCAGTCTACTTAATATTATTAGAATGTAAATTAAGCAAAAACGCACATTTATGCAACTAACAATATAAAATAAAATTACACACTAAAAGGATTGTAATTAGTATCTTAAATTTTTTAAGTATTGGTAGGGTTAATTGCACCGAAATTACTTTCATTTGTTACAAAAAACGGAAGTAAACATTTCAATTTTCATTCGTGTCTGATTCCAAAACTTTCATGCGGAATTTCGTTATTAATTTATTTATCATGAGCATATTTTGTGACGTGGAAAGCGATTCAAATTATCTGAGATGCATGTATTTGGTTCGTGACTATCAGCAGGTATTAGGTGATCCTTTTAAAATATCAGTTTTTATTGTTAACTTTATTTGATACTAGTCTAATATATTGCTTTGGTTTCCAAATAATTGATTATATATATATATAAAATACAGTTTTTTAAAAGTATATGAATTATAAGAAGATAGCGTTGTGAGCCAGATGCCATACAATAATTCCTAAGTAAGTATTCATCGAACATTTATGCAGTTTTTGAATGAGAAAGATTGGAACACAATCGTCAGAAAATTTATAGATCTCTTTGAATAGAATATTTCTCTGTAATGTAGAATAAAGTCACTGTAATGTAACACATAAAACAAAACGGACTAAAAATCTAAACAATAAAGCATAAAAAATCTAACTGCTCAGAGAAAGAAGACCATCCTCATTTGTGACATCTTGTCTATTTATCTCGACACGTCAATTAACAATGAAGTTAAATGACACTTGGAATGACTGCTTGGCGATGACAATTACAGAGAAGCTAAGTCTCCAATTATGTCTATTATAGAGAAGCCAAGTCTCCAGTGATGTCAATTATAGCGAAGCTAAGTCTTCAAGGTGTCTCGTTAGTGAAGCAGCTTGTGTAATTTCAGATCGTGTTCCATGTGTTGAAATCAATCAATTGAATTATCGGTAGAATTATTGCCAAATGGAAATGTAGTCGTGTGTGTTAAAATGCCAAAAGCATTTAAAAATTTCACGTGCTGCTTAAGATTGAATCGTGCTTTATCCACCCCAAAAAGCGTTCACCAATTTGGTTAGAAAGATAATTCTAAATTGTTTCACGAGCAGTCTCGAACGAAAATATGAAGCGTTGAATTTGTTTCCAAAAAGTGATAAAAATGGAATCTGTATAGGTTGAATGAAGTCGGGCGGTTGACTGGAGGATGTAGCTCGACGTGAATGCGATGATGCCGAGGCAGTGTATATAAATAGTAAAATTTATATGGCAGCACGAATAATTCAACTCACAGCAACAATATAACCCTGGATATACATCCTAATTTCGATAATTGGTACAATTAAACACAAAGAACTATGATGCACTAGGTTTGAGCAGTGATTACCTGTTGTCGTCGTATAATCTCACTCTCAAATATGTGCCCAATTTCAAAGCAGTTTAATCAAAATTGGGTAATTATTTCGCATTTAAGCAACTATGAATCACAGAATTCGCTTTGAATTGATTTTATTGAATATTAATGACTCCATGTGTACGGCCACGTACATGTTAAAAATTTTCCGACCAAATCGCACCAATGTTTTTGGCTGCCTTAATCACTACCACTGAGTAGCTGATGATGGGCATTCTTTTTATGACATGGAATTTTAATTGGGTTCTGTAAAGGTCTTGCAACAAACAAGAGGCAGTGACAGAATAGGGCGGAAGTCTTTGTTTGGACGCTTGGTTGTAATACTGGACCAAGGACTCCTGTACTGCCGAGCCTGAGGCTATCCGTAACGCTTTATCTAACGATGACGGATTGAAGGCGAGTGAAATGAAAGCATTGCAGCACGAGGGACTTTATCAACAAGTACGAGTACAAAAATTCCGAATAACACGTGCGCCTCGGTGGTATAATTTTAGCATATCATTCCGATGAAAAATCCAGAACCCGAAAAAAGAAGTTTCTAATTTGCATAATTTATATGTGCTGCATAAAAAAAGAATTTCTCCCGAAACATAGATTAGAAAGCCTAAGCAATAGGAATGATTTCATCGTTAGATTGAAGACTGGGTTAAAAATTGCATAATTGATAGCGTAATTTCGAATCGCATTTGATGTTGAACATAATATGTTCCAGGTCATATCTTGTGTGTATGAAGTCGATGATAACGTCAGTGAGAAAAATTCTATAACAATTTATAAATAAAACATCAGCTACTAAATTCAATAAAACTGTCTTTTTTAACAAACTTATGAGCGTAATAAAAATATATCACTATTAATCTTCTTCGGAATAAATATATTTAATTTTTAGACGACAAATTATACTTTGATTTGCGGATAATTCCAAACATATCTAACAGTTTTTCTTAATTTTTAATTTGAGTTGAAATTGAACACTACTGAGACAACGTATTCAAATACCGGCATTGTGCTGCAAACAGAGTTAAATCTGTTAGGCTTTCCCATGTTCCTATTGAATCCAATCTGAAGTTAAACTTAAGCGGCAGCAATAAATGTCAATATTGCCGGGATAACGACTTGAAAATTGACGTGGACACTTGAGAGAACTTAATGACCGTCGCTTGTACGAAGCTATAATTAATTACCCAGTGGATGGAGGGCATTAGGGCTGTCTGTAGGGCTTGCTCTTGCTCACAACTCATACCGCCCAGACTGCGCTGGGAAGCGTCTTCGCTAACACCAAGGAAGATTGTTCAGGAACATTCACAGCAAAAGATAAAATTTTCATTGTCATTTTTAAATGTAAGTCTTAACTATAATTAAGATCACTGTAGCATAAAGAAGAGTATGAGATGCACTAAAAAACTATAGCTGCAGTGAGAAAAAGAACGATCGCTTCATATAAATGGTCTTTCTTTATGGTACTTCAATATTTGTAATAATGTCACTCGTTTGCCTGAATCGCAAATACATTAGAAACTTAAAAGCAAAGCAAATTCCACAGAAATTTATGCGATATTTATAGAAAACGTTTTGAGTACAGCTCCATCGAAACGTTTTCTATAAAGATAGCATTAATTTTCGTGGAATTTTCTTTGGTTCTAAGTTTCAATATTTGTTTTCGTAAAACCCGCTTGTCCAAGTAACTCGATTAGAAAAATACGTTCGTCAAATTTAATTTTAGCCTTCGCAAAGATGTTGATAAATGCAAATTGTGTTGAATAATATGACTGATCGTAAAATTTATAAAATTCAATTATACTAGGTTTTAAACACTCGCAAATATAAAATGATAATTTGCATTATCCAAAACGTGAGTAATTTCTTTGCATTCGGTCGTCCTCAGCATGCGCGTCGTTGCGAGCGTGAATGTGGCTGCATCCTTCAAGAATTGTGAATCCTGGGGACCTCCCGCAGGATCTCAGGAGGTGAGAATGTCGGGTAACAGGATAAAGCCGAGTAGAATTTTATTTACAAATTTCTACCATATTTGCATCGTATTATAATGACTGTGAATTAAATTGAATAGATATTTCTCATAGCTGAATAATATAACCGATAGAAACTTCACATTTTTCCAAACTAATAGATGGCAGCTCGTCTAGATTAGCTGCTTCACGAATGAGTGTCCAACGATCGGAATCTGTGCGTGTAAGATGTTGTCCATATTTAGAAGTGATATTAAATTCAAAAGATTTCATACAGAAGCAGATTGAACAATGATACTGAATTAGGAATTTATGATCCAAAGTGCTTTTTTGCCTTCAATTTTACTCTTTCAAAATCTACAGTGCAAATGAAAAAAAATTTAAAAAAATTAACAATTTTGATAATTTTGGATGCAATGTATCGCATGAAAGTCATTCAAGGTTTGTTGTTCAACTTAACAGCGATAGTGTAATTTTACACGGGTAATTGAACGGACAGTGAATTAAGGATTTTATAGCCCAAAAGACTTTAAGTGCAGGCTTGTTCATTATTTCTCTCATCAAACGTGAATTATTATAAATCAAGTAAATTTTATCTGAGCGTCAATGGGCCTTAAATCTTTTAAATGTTCTTTGTAGCAGTGCCTATTGAAGATTCTTAAGATATATAACAGAATCGAATGTGGACATATACGATACCTCGACTTCTTTTATTAACTTCGAGAGTCCTTCATCAATGAGTAATTTTGACGCTCTAGACCATTGAAATTGTGCTATAAAAAGGTTGTCGTCTAGCATTAATTGCTAATTATGTTGTTGATGAGCCAGCCGTCTCTGGCGTTTGTTGCGCGCTCTGAGACGAGGCAAGAACTTTCTTGCTTGACCTTTAAAAGAAAGAAATTTGATTTTTTTTGATAGAAAGTATGTCGTGCCAAAGTAATTAGTTCCAAACACGATTGGCACTAATTGTTTATATGTCAGTATTAGTTTGATTTCGTCATGAAAAAAGAGCAATTGACAATTAACTGATGATTATTTTACAGAAAAAGTGGCCCATCTTGGCTTAGGTTACGACGAACTATAGAATTTTTATTCAATATTGATTTTTTGCCATTTCAATAAATGTTGGCTTAAGTTACTTGTGAATTATGTCTCTAAGTATATAATATAGCATTAAGTAGAACAATCAGCGCTAAATATTACAAACAAAACTTACATGAAATTTTAAATTCTCCATTATTTGGGTCCACTATCATTAGAGGATGAATCAATCCTTCCACGTATTTCATTTAATCGGTAATTTAATCGTTCTTCAAATAATTTTTAACTACTCAAATTTTATAGATTTTTCTTTACTCTAAATTTTCACCGTAGGAATGCAATCAAACATTAAGCTTTTAATTTGAATATTATGTTTCTAAATTCAATAACGATGGGCATAAAATGAGCTAATGGTCTATTATTTAGAAGCTGATTAAGTTAACAAATGAGTAGAAATCTGCTAGGGTCTAATGTTACACTATTGATCTTCTAACAAATATTCTCGAGTATTCCGGATAAGGTGCACGACTGCGTGGCATGCTTGCGGCCGCTGGTGATGGTGGCTAGGATTTTCGGCGTGCTGCCCATTTCTTTCCAAGGCGCTAATATGCGGTGAGTTTTGTCTTCACATTAATTATTTTCCATACTCGATTAATGAGTTTAACCTGAGCGCCTGTCGAGAGCATGGATTACTATTTCAGCTCACGTTTCGATTAAAGTTTACTTCCACACTAGAATATTTATGAATAAATCTTTCAAAATAAAATAATGTTTGAAAAAATTTTAAATGTAAATTCTTCAAATAGAGTTAAGCATTTCGAGTACATCTTTCCTGGCCGAATACTTATAACAGGAATTTAAATGCTTAAAATAGATGCAGTACATTTGATTTCGCAATCGTTGTTTCCCTGAAATGAAGGGATGATTGATTGATTAATCCCCTCTTGATTGTGATACCCGCGCACTTAAATGGAATATTATATACGACAGGTTTCGCTGGAGGTCATTTCTGACAGCATACGCGCTAATCGTGCTGATCGTACTATCCGCGTACGTGGTATTCAAACTCACCACTTACTTTGCCCATCTTTGCGCCTACAACGGTGTGTGTGGAGTGGAATTCAACAATGAAACTGAGAGGACGTTCAATGCAAGCCAAGACGGACGCAGTGAATCTATTGCGATGAAGCAAAATGCGGCAGGCAAATCAGAGAAAGACGAGCCAATCCTGAACGGAAACTGGAGGGAGAAGCTGGATATGATTGGCGTCGTGCAAAATATTATATTCTATTGCTTTGGAGCTACGGGAGCATTTCTGCTACTCAGGGCTGCTCCCATGTTCGTCAGTCTGTGCGAAAGGTGAGTTGCACCAACCTAAATAGTGTAGCTATTAGAGTTGTTTGTTTTTCAGACCATACTTCAGTTTTATTCAATTCAGTTTTATTATCATTCAGTTTTGTTTCATTGCTGCGGAAATGAACGACTGAACTGATGTGGTTCTTTGAATGGTGCATAATTTTTTAAATAAAGAAAGGGCCTTTTGAAATATGTAGCACTATTATTTATTGAGGCGGGAAGAGTAAGTTATTAATTAAATTTTTGGTTTGGCTTGCCATTTTTCTATGTGATTATTTCAAATAACATTAAAACGACTATGCAGTACAATGATGCAGTTTGATTTCAAAGTACAATTTTAGAATAAGAAATAAAATTTAGGCAAAATGAATTAAGGAAAGCTTGCATCTTAACTTGTGCTTTGAGTACATAAATAAGGTGCACTTCGAAGTCACATATTAGTTAGATCAAAATACATTCCAGTTCAAAATACAATTTGACGAATAGCTTGAATTAAAGAAATTTTTTCATAGCTACTTTTCTTGAAAAAGTTTTTCAATCCAGTATTTTTCCCATCTACTCATGGATAGCTTATAAAGTCCATAGTAGTCCAGTTAATCTACATGAATGTCAGAGTGGGAAATGTTATGTAAAGGAGTTGTTATTTAAAAGTGAGACAAAGTCAAGCGCAATGATGCAATGAAAAATAAAAAATATGTTTATTATAGTTCTGTATAGTATGAACAATTGCAAGTTAAATTCTGCCCCAGAATTATTGTCGGGTACAGCCTTAATTTGGTAATTTACGCTCTGAAAGTAAAACTATATCTGGAGCATCGATTAACATTTCCGCGGCTACAAATTGGGCAAGTGAAATAATATGACTGCATAAAATAAATAATATGACCGCTACTGGATTGCAAATTTGGTAGTGCGTATAGGATTAGAAGGCTTCAAGCTTTCTTCAGAGCTTAATGGGTCCTCAAAAATTAAAAAATATAGTCTAAATCACTTGAATTACTAATTAATAATATTTTCGTGATAGATCACGTAAAAAGAAAAAACATTTTTCTTTCATTCCCTTTATCTCCACTATCTGAATAAGACAATAAATCGAACTTATACTTGATACATCCAAAATGAATTCTCCACATAAAATGATTTCGAAATGTATTATCTAATAATTTAAAGTCATATAAATGCACAGAAAATGCGTTTCAAAATAAAAAATAGATGTGACGTCATCGTGCGCGGTACGGCGAGACTCGCGTAGTATCAGGAAAGCTAACTGGAGCTGAATGATGCGTAGCGGCGGATGACAGGGGAAAATCACGTCTTTATTGTAAGTCATAATATAATGAACATAAGCGTCATCATCGCATCACACAAGTGTTATCATCGCATCACACAAGTGTCATCATCGCATCACACAAGTGTCATCATCGCATCACACAAGTGTCATGATCGCATCACACAAGTGTCATTATCGCATCATACAAGTGTCATCATCGCATCAGCTGTGAGGTTTACTCACGCCGACAGTCACAAAATGAACATGACGATCAAACTACACAACTGTGACCCGAAGTCAGACAAAGCGAGCTCTGTGTACTGCTCAGGAATGATGCCCTTAGGATCGCAAAAAAGCATCGATCTTCTGCCAATTATTAAAGTCGTTCGATTGCTTGAATCGTCGATTCTCATGAAATTTAAAGGCAAGGGAAATTGCACAAAAAAAAAACAGAAGTACAAACATAAATTTGCAACTAGAATGCAGAGAGAAAAAACAGGATAAAACCTATAGGCATTTCTAAATTTTGACTCCACTTACAACTGACGGGTAAAATTGCTAACAAGTCAGCAAAAAAAATTAAAAGGGTGAAATAGTGTATAAGTAGAACCAATTAATCCTAAAGCAGTCACAATAAAGAGACTGACGTAGTAGCGTTATGACTCGTCACAATAAAGAGACTCGCGTTCACCTGCAGATGGTGCGAGGTGGAGGATGGCCTGGCCTCCGAGGCGCCGCTGGGCCGCCGCTGGCCGCTGTTCGCGGGACTGTCGCTGCTGGGGCTCTCGGCTGTCGGCGAGACCGCGGCGTCCATGATTGACGACGAAGAGCATCTGCCTTCGTTCTGGCCGTCAGTCCAATGAATAATTATTTACTTCTAAATTTGAATACAGCCTTCTGCTCTCCAATTAAAATTATTAATTTACTATCCTGAATTCTCGCAAGACTTTATTATTATAATCCAGAATCAAATTATCAAAATATCCTGAAAACGATATAAGATAAAATTTTTTCCAGTTTAGCATCATGATACCTATTTTATTGACATAAAGGCGTTCAAGACCCAAATAACCAATTGTTGCACAGAGTAGGAAGAATGAAAATGAATATCAGGCTTTCAAAATTGTAACGATTCGAGATAATTTGTTTTTTTGAATTCAGGATTACATATTTTAATTTCCTGGGATAAACGTATCGCAAGTCTGCGACGATACGGATGTGTGTCCCTGAGCATAATCATTAAAAAAATTTCCATATTGTTCAGTGAAAATATTCTGCATGCAGATGATTTAATTGTTTTCGAGAAGTCAAGTGGCTTTTAACGGGAACCACTCAGCTGATCGACTAGACGCCGGAATGAGTTTTACTATTGAAATCTAGAGCATTTAATCAGTTAAAAGCTAAGTAATAGAAGGAGAAAGTGTAATCTTACTTGAGCAAGTATCTCCATAGTTTTTGCATTACGATAGCGTCGAGCATCTGCTAGTGCAGGGCTAAGGCTGCGCAATGCAAAATTTGCTGGATCTGTCGTACATGCTCCGGTTTACGTGATGATGTTTCTTTATTAGTCTGTAAATTTTGTAAGAATGGTATCTGTCCTGTATGATATTGATTACGTAGGGCACTAAGACCAGTATTAGAAGGCACTAAGACTAGTAGGACCAGTATTAGTAGGACCAGTACAGCGATAAAATGAATTTTTAAGTTCCAAAATGCGAAAATAAATTTCGCATCACACAAGTGTCATCATTGCATCATACAAGTGTCATCATCGCATCATACAAGTGGCATCATTGCATCATACAAGTGTCATCATCGCATCATACAAGTGTCATCATCGCATCATACAAGTGTCATCATCGCATCATATAAGTGTCATCATCGCATCACACAAGTGTTATCATCGCATCAGCTGTGAGGCTTACTCACGCTGTCACAAAATGAACACCGCAGAGAGGAGGGAGTTCTCGATCGTCGGAAATGGCCTGAATATAAAAATTGCTTATCACCTACACGGGACATAAGGTCGTAAATGGCCAGCATGCAGAATCTCTCGAGATAAGAATTGCAAGAGCATCTCATCGAGACGACGAGCAAAAGAACAGGAGAATAAACAACAAAAACGAAGACGTAACGAGAGATTGCTTTCACGGGTGTCCTAGCTGACACCTCATCATAGTAGACATTTCTTCATCGGCACATTTCATCACTAAGGCAATTCATCATTGGGAATTTTCTGTTTTGGAAATTCATCATTATAGCCATTTTTTATTACCATTATATTCATGATAAATTAATAAATATCCATGAATGAATATATATAAATGAATGAATGAATATCCATTACCATAATATTTCATCAGTGCATGAAGGGAATTTTGCACACATAAGTACCTGTAGGTGTAAACTAACTTAACCTTGTATTGGTCACCAAATGAACTTTTTCCTGACTTGAACTTAACCCTAGGATGGTATACGTGCATCACGCCATATATGTTTTTCAGTATTTGTTATCTAATTGATCAGTATGTTAATTATTAAATTACACTTACGTGTAATTATGTTTGCAAATGCACTTCATGCAATGATTAAATGTTATATAGATTGAATGTGTAAATGACGAAATGCGTCAATGGTGCAATGGTGAACACTTTCACCATACGTCTGTCACTTGCGCGAGAAAGAGACTAGAAGAAATCTAGAAGCCGCTCTACATGACGACATAATCACACAACTGCTACTCAAAGTCATACAAACTGAGCTCTGTGTGGTGCTCTGGAATGATGCCCTTAGGATCGCAAAAAAGTATCGATCTTCTGCCAATTATAAATGTCGTTCGATTGCTTGAATCGTCGATTCTCATGAAATTAAAACGCAAGGGAAATTGCACAAAGAAAAACAGAAGTAAAAACATAAATTTATTATTAGAAGGCACTAAGACTAGTAGGACCAGTATTAGTAGGACCAGTACAGCGATAAAATGAATTTTTAAGTTCCAAAATGCGAAAATAAATTCAAGTTTTTATTCAGCTCAAAGGCAAAGATGGTCATTAATATCTCAATAATGACATGCCCAGGTTCCTGGAGACCTACATCACACTAGGGCATCCAGACATCGTTGAAGTGCTCGGGTACACCCGCGTGTTGGGTATCGTGATGCTCATCGTCAACAAATACGCAACGTTCTTGTGGAACTTTGTGGACATTTTCATAGCCAACATTGCGTTCGTCTTGACGAGGCATTTCAAGGCTTTCAATAAAAAGTTACTGAAATATACACAAGGCAAGTTAAATTTTGATGCAAGAATGCAACTAATAAATATATGAGGCATAAAATGAAAGGATATAAATTAATGCATCCGACATTAAATGATCCTCAATGCTGTTGGAATGTAAATTTTTGTGCGTCACAATTCAATTGAATTTAATACCGAATTTCCATTTCAGAACATGCGCCGTTGTTTTGTAGAACTCAATTTATGAGACACTAGTCAATAGTTTAGAATATAATTTGCCAATAGAATCTTTTATCCTTACTAATGTAATATAAAGAAGATACGCTTCCTTCACTCAGGTGGAGGAAGCGTATCAGGGGCGGATGTGCTCGGGGAGCGGTGGTGGAGAGGCGCGCGGGAGCAGCACCTCGCTCTGCAGGGGCTCGTGGAGGCTGCAGACGGCGTCACGGGGCCCCTCGTCCTGCAGTCCTTCGTCTGCAACCTCTTCTTCATGCTCATGCAGCTCTACAACGGACTCAAGTACGAGCTCGTTCTCATTATCTGAAAAAAATAGGTACTGATGATATTCCGGTAAATCAATTGCATGCAGAGTTTCTGTTCAGCAGAAAATTGAACGTGTGATGACTTGATTTCTTGAGATCTTTTATCTGTATTTGCTTCTAGATATTTTAATCGCAGCAATCTATCAGCGAACGACTTGGGAGTTCTCAATAGAGCAAAGCTAATGGTAGCAAAAAAAAACACATTTCCTAAATTGACGTTTTTATTTATAAGAATACTACGAAAATACGCATTTTACTTTTTCAAAACGTGGTATAAAATGAGCTAAATCCAAGCTATGATTCTGAAAGTGAATTAATTGTGATTAATTAATTTGAATTATTAGACAGATCAAAGGCAGAATTTGTTTGGTGATCACTCATTTTCAGTGAAAAAGATGAGACATTGCCTGACCTGTTTAAAAATTGGTGTGATGCTTTGATTTAAGATTAATAATGCACGAAATCCAAACCGCAAGTCAGAGAGTTGCCAGACCTATTTTGTTGGAGAATTTTATTGATGTTTTAGCGAGTTTCAGTTATTGCATTTTTCATTCCGTTCATATCTATGAGTGAATGAAAGCCATAGGCTTAGCGGTAGTTCCAATCTGTGCGAATAGTGTTCCAATTATGAAATACTTACTCTGTATATTACAATGCACTGAAATCATCTGGAATTAATAGTTTCAAGTGATATTTATGCTAGAACGGTAAATTGTAGTATTAAGAAGAATAAATAATCTCCACATTACTGACAATGAAGCAACTCACGACGGCAAATAATTCATTTTAAAGGATAATGGTTCCGTGTTTTCGTTACCCAGGATTGTTTAGCAACTGCAAACGACCCTTGGAATTGTTTTGTTTGGCAGCGACTCGAAGCAGGGAAGTTTTGTCGTGTATTTCACAGGAAGTTCCAAGAACGGCGACATTTGAATTTTCTTCTTGAAAGAAATCAGCACAGGAAATCCTTAAGAGAGAGCTTAGAGCTTTTCTCCCAGCTTACGGTGACATATACGAGACCGTTTGATGATGCAAATAGAACAAAAATTAGGGAAGAAAATAGCTAGCTACCAAATTGTCTATTAAGGGAGAGCAATTAGCACCTTGCTAATTCAAACGAAAGTTTTTCATTGTATGGATGACACATGAACAATAATTCAAACCGAAGTTGTTCTCCCGATAGCTAGCACAAATGGTACTGTATTTTGGACACACACATGACCATGGAATAGGAGGATGTTGTGACCGCCATGAACATGATAGAATCTTTATTTACCTACATTAGTTAGTTAGTTTAGTGGCCAACTGCAGTAATCATTGTTTTCATTCTGCTTGCATTTCCAATAGACCCAGCATTTCCTCGACAATGGTGCACCGGCTGTACCTGGCGTGGTCGTTTGTGCACCTGTTGTGCCGTCTGCTGTTTGTGTCGCTCACTTGCGCCTCACTGCACGCACAAACCCTCCAGCCCACCGCGCTCCTGCTCTCCCTGCCTGCTGAAAAGTAACAATATTTGATTACATTGACAACACCGACACACATGCTTTTAGTTTGAACATTGTATTTGGATATTAGTGATAATTTAACATGTAAGAAAAACTAATAAATTTTCTGAATAAATGAGCACAACCTAACAATTGCATAAATTTCTTCTATGGTTGATTCATCCAATATTTTGTCAGCGCTTTTTGCATCGTTTCCAAAGGTCGATTCACGAAAAAAAACATTTTACCGATATACAGTCACTCCATTTCACTCGTATTCTGAATGAATTCTATCCCTTCAATACGTATTGGGTACAGGGTTAATAATACTGAACTCCAATATCCTTAGATGGAACTCTGAAGCAGAACGTTTCCTACAACAACTCCAGTCCAGGAGCGTAGGCCTGACGGGTTGTGGCTTCTTCTTCGTTAACAAGAGCTTCATTCTGGCAGTGAGTTTGGCTTGCCGTCTTCTCAATGAAGCTATTACTGTCCATCTCATCAATTGATGATAATATTAGCACGGGTTCAAAATGAAATCGAACAATGTAATGGTTAGTTTGAAGACAGTAGCGCGTATGATGGGTGTGAAATTGCCTTATCACTTAATCTTGAATTATATTGTCATCAATTTGAATTAATTAAAAGAGAACATAACTATTTAAATATTTAGAAAAATATGAATATGAATTACATTTGATTAAATGAGAGAAATGTTGAAGGGTGAAATTGAGAAGAATTCGTAAACAGGATTAAAATTCTTCATCGATACATCAACTTTTTAATGGACTGATTCGTCATTCACAAGAAAATAATGTAGTAATCTTTGTTACTCTGTACTACTAATCTAAAAAATGTAGTTGTAATTGATGCAAGAATCTATCTGTTTATAGAATGCATTTTACAGACAACCGGCGCCCTCATCACGTACGAGGTTATCCTGCTGCAGCTCAATCCTTCGAGACCTGCTGACGCTGCATAACTCCGAGAAGTTATTTCCCTGAAATATATCCATTATTCTCAATTAAATTTAATCTGTTATAACCTAATAATTATTGTTATTGCAGTGAATTAAATTATTAGCTTCCACTCTTCCCGGACTAGCAAATGCAAAGTTTGAATTGAACATAGCAGACGAACGAATTCACTGTTTATTACAATTAGAATTACTTAAGTATACAAGGCCTCAATAAAGTGTAACTTCAGTTCGAGTTACCGTTTTATCACTTCAATAAATTGGCCTAGTAGGACGTATTTTTTGTATTTATCGGACACAATTCCTGAAATTCGAATTGAAAGGCCGGCTGACGATAATAAGCCCTTAAGCGTCAAGGCTCGAGTCATTCATAAAATCTCTACACTTATCTGTCTAATCTTCTTAGAAATATAATAGTCAATCATCAGTTTAAGTATTTACGCTATCAATAAAAATTAATACTCGCGCCGTGATTGATCGTTTGGTAAAGTCTTCTGAGAAACTTAAGGCTTACGGTGCAGGATTGATGCGGTGTTGGGGAACAGAAACAAAATGTCATATATTGATGAGATATCTGGCTTTTGTCGATGAAATTCACCACACCGTTTAAAGTAAACGTCCATATTCATTGATCTTTGTTGAGATTTGAGAGCCATTATTCCGTATTAAACATATCATAAAGTTGATCTAATGGATGGAGACAATCTGTGTGTATCCGTACAGTGAGGAATGAGACTGAACGCAGACTTAAGTAATAATAAAGTAAGTAACAATGTTGCATAGGTGAAAAAAACTTTTAAAAGGCTATTAACACCACGAACAATATGAATGGTAATAATATTATTAATCACACACGATTTGCAAGTTACATCATAAGTTTGATGTATTGTTCAAATGGAAAATATACCACCCACGAATAAACAGAAGCCAGCTAGAGGCTTTTAACTCTCAATTACTTTTATTACAAGCCATCAATTCAATTACTGGGATGAATATTACATAACTGGTTTTAAAACTTTCATTCAGGGATCCTAAAAGCGAGTTATTTACGCTTATTCTTTACACTGTGCAGAGATGAAAAAATCGGGCTTTTATGTGACATTTAAATTACCATGGGTTGGTTTTAGTTTCCGAATGAATTTCCCCGAGACTCTCGCTTTAAACATACCTTCTTTATTTGAGACAGTTACATTTGATACATCTAATACGAAGCCTATATAGCAATTCGGCTTCACACGGGCTCTCAGAGAGACAAAATATCATCATTAGAAATGAAATTCTAGGCTTAGTTGCAGATTCTGAACTTCAAGGAGAATCTAAGATGCTCTCATTTCATTTTTTGAGAATATAATGCGGCAAAACTAGCGGAAGATTCAATTTCTCAGGATACACGTAGAACCTGTTTCATCCTGTGATTTAGACAGCAAAAAATGAACATATTAATGTTCCAGACTTTTCCAAGATTAGCAGAATATACAGGTAGTTTATTTTCGAAGAGAAAAGTAGGTAAAAGCTTTTACATCCAATTTACAATCTATGATTTTGTCGTCACATCTCAAATTAGTCGTAGGTGCTATGCTGATTTTATATTTGTACTTTTCTTTGGTGGGCAAGTTCAGCTTACACGTTGAAGCTCGTCGGTTATTGGCTGATGAGGATCCGATATTGTTAGAATGTTTTATAATTCAGCCTCACTTTTACTGCATATCAGGCTTTTTCCTGAGCTTTAGAACGTGTTTCTGATATTAATAATACTCAAAGAAAGAAAGTTATATAATAGTAATATAAAGCATTATACTGTAATCTCACATGCAACTTTGCAAGACATGTCAGACACATCTTTTGCCCCTCGTTTAGACATGACTTGAAGTTCGGTGAAGGATACTCGCTCTCTTCTCTAAGGAAAAAAAACACGTGTAGACGAGCTTCACCATTGCCATTTTAAAGTAAATACGTTAAGTTTTTTTGGGGAAATCGTTCGTTATTTTTATGACCGGTAATATAGTTTGCTGGCTTTGCAGACAATATAAAAAGTTATCACTGATATAGCTATCTTAATTACGTCTAGCTCCGATATCGCATGCATAATTGCTAACTAAAATAATTCTACGTTTCATGACATTCTGAATGAAAAATTGTCAATAATACTTCGAGTCTGTAATAGGTGCCAGCTCCGAAGCCTAAATTTCATTACACTTTTTTCAACTAATAACGAACGTCATTGTTATTGAATGAAGGAGGAACGTGACCGTCGTATATTATGGCACACCGCGATTGAGCCAAAAACTGCAAGCACATGACAAGTTCAATATTAATAAATTACTGTCATATAGACTCACAGTAGGTAAATTATAACTTAAGATAACAGAGCATCGGCTTTACATTACTACAGCGAAGCCGGGCTGAAAGTTTTCCATACATGATTAAGGCACACAGTAAGGATGAGTGCCTGAAACGTCATCATTTAAGTGCCCCAAAGATCTAAATTTAATTGCATAATTTTTTACCACGCATATTAACCACCCGTGTACTAAATTTGAGTTGATATTGAGGCAAGACATAATTTTTAGCATTTCCCATGATAATATGTGATCGTTTTAATTAATTATTCATATATAACATGTAGTAATTTATTTTACTTTAAGTGACAGCATTAATTGAAGTAGCCAAACCTACGTCTTCATTTTTATAACGTATTGTTGTCATTTGTGTGACTGTATTGTGATCTTAAGAATGAACTGAACTATGCAGCGAAAAAAATGTAAATGTAAAAAAACGCATTCATGGTCTTAATCACGATGTATTCTTCAACTTTGTAGTCATGAAGCACAGTTTATTTCAGTGTGGCAATTGGCTGCTTTGATGAACTCATCACAACCTGAATAATCAAAATCAATCATTCCAACAGACTGCTAAGATGCAGTATCACTAATTTAAAAAGGGTAGTCTTACCATGAAAGAAGTTTGCCATAGCAGGGAAGCCGAAGAGTTACTTCGGCTTGGTAAGGAAGTCCTTGGGACGAAATATTGCTCCAAAAATTTAAATCTTAGGCGACATTCCGAGAAGAGATGCACAGGCGGACGCGCAATGAAACATAGATTTGGTTGGGTCGTAAAGTTACTAAGCAAACTTCAAAATGTGGTTTGATCTCTTGAATTTCCTGAACCCCTTTCGCAGAATATGAAGTTCTTTATTTCTTCCCACGAAACTTGAAATCAAATGAGTTTAAATAAATAAGTTGGTGTCCGCATAATTTCGCTGCATCAAACAACGGTTAATTATATAAACATAAACAATGAAACCATCAATAAAGCTTCTGTTGCAACCTGCTCCAACCAACCAATGCTTCGTGATCAGCAGATCAATCATAAGCAGCCATACCTAACACCTTAGCTGTAATTTTGCGTGTCGCGTTTTCACTACCCCAGAAAGTGGATATAACGACATTTACAATAAAATTAATGCTCAGCAGATGGTTGCGACACTTATCAGATATTTCTGCCATGTTTTTTCACTTATTAAAATTTAAATTATCTATGCTCAGTTAGGAATAAATGGATATCTTGAATTAAATTAACAAAAAATAAGACCACAATCACAAAGTTTAATGATCATAAAAAAGGGCTTCGTCAGATTAGCAAAAACGGTATCATGCAGCGATTGGTTTCTGTGTTTACGGCATCACATTTATGAGTGCATGAGCAGCCTTCCACAAAAGCAATAACTTGCGGACACGATCTCAAGAAACTTGTAGTCCAGATTAAAAATTACAGCGGATGAGGGGGAGAGTTCTGGAAGTTAGGAGATATTTTTAGCTGTGCCAAAATACGACGCTAAAGATATTTCCGTCCTTCATCGCAGGCCGGCGTTATTGAATTTGCGACGCTTATATTACAGGAAAGTAATAGAGATATCTTGTGTTTCGGCCTAAAATTCTCAACAATTTTATCTATTTAATATCATGGCAGAAGTAACAAGAGTTTTGAAAAATTGGAAAAACTCCGTCGATCATTTCTAACAAGATGATAAACTCTAGGATTTGATTTTCTGACAAAGGCGGGAGTTGAATTCATCAAGTGGACACTCATTTTTCAAAATGAGAGCTTTAAGGTTAAAACAGCTGAAAAAATACATTTGTAAGAGAGAAAGGAGTTTCACATTCTTGAGCAAATTAATGAGCAATCTTGAGCAATTATATATTGAAGCAATTTACTGGAACGCAGATTACAAACACTCTTCATGCTTTCTTCCACTCTTCCTGCTAGCCGGCGATTTAAGAAAATTTATGAAGAACAAAATCGAAAATAAACAAATTATTCGGATCCATTTACGGAGAAATTGCGTCAATTCGCTGATCATGAAGCTGGAGTGATAGCTATAATGCGAGGAAAGTAAACAACGCCGACATTAATAACTTTACTAATTAGAAAGTTATAGATAAATTTTACAAAATGAGTACAAGTAAATAGAAGGTTAATTGAGACATGAATGGCACATAGGCATCAAGTTTCAAGATTTACATGATTATTTTCCTAAATATTCAAAAGTGAGAGAAACGGCGATAATCAAGCCAAGTCACATTTTAGACAACGATGTTGGAAATTGGGGAAAATTCTTCCCAATTGCATCGTCGGCGATTTGGTCAGATATCTTTTACTATTTTTACTATTCTACTTCTACTACAGATCTACGGCCATCTTCCACTATTTTTACTACTTCAAATTCTACCATAGGTCTACGGCAATCTTCTGCTATTTTTTAGAAATCCATTTAACTATTTTTAGCGCATTTTCTCATTTATGGAAAAAATGCACTATTGTGCTCGCCATGTCCGTCTGTCTGTCCGTCCGTCTGTCCGTGACCTCAAGTTTTCGTTGACGAGAAAATGCGCTCTCTGTCACTCACTGCAGTGAGTGCTGAGTTATATTTTTTTATTCTTCTTGTCTCTTCTTGTCATGGCAATCTTCAATACTTTTACTCGACGGCTACTGCTAGATATTGAAGAAATGATCTCGGTCTAAATTACAATTGAAGAAATTATTACCTGCACTGCAGCATGTCGAAATGTTACTGTCAGAACCAAGCATGTTCAACCTGGATCTTTACTAATATGTAAACTTGATAAAACCTAATGGAGCGTCAGTCCAAATCTCATTCAAACTGCACACGTAAATTTTGGCTTAGCACCGAAATAAGAATTACCTTCGAAGCTGGATGCTTAGTATGCTATGCTGCATTAAGTAACATCCAAGAAAATGTTTTCCATGTGTGCAATTCCCAGTCTTTTAAACAACGTAGAAAATGATTCAGTAATTTAGAGAGACACGGCACGGATATTCCAACAATTGTTTAATCTGAACTTTGAGTTGTAGGAATTTTACTAGTTTTTGGGCTCCAATCGAACATTTTATTAGTGTTTTACCTGCTATAATTACAAAATTACCTACGCTTGTTCACACGAACAATAGCAGCAATATCTGGAATTATTTACTTTCTAGATGGTTCAGAATAGTGATTTATTTCATCTTTATGCCTGTCTTACGCGTTGACTTCGCCATATTGCCTTAAAAGGGTTTCAATGAAGATCGAATGAATTGTGAAATTTTTTTCCAAGATGAATATATATCTCATAATATTGTTTAAACAGTCTTAAAAAAAATGTTCAAATATTTTTTAACTTTAGGCCAGGTCTAAATTCGACGCCCATTTCATTCCGGACTTTTATCACTAATTTCAAATTTGAAATTAATTTAGAACATATACAAATTAAATTTTGAACATTTACATTTGCACATTTTGACCTAAGCTTGTTTGTCGCGCAAATTTATAAAAAAATAATTCTTTGTTTTTTAATTAAGGAATTGGTTGATGCAACATCCTATTTCATTTCGCATTCCGCGGCAAAGGTATGGTGTTCAATCATGTTCTGTAAACTTTTAGAATGAAAAGTCATTTGCGTCATTCTATGAAAAATGTCATCAATGGGCAGTTCTTGGAACACTCTCAAACATACAGATTTTGAACACGATGTGAAAACTGTGTACCTCTTGTTTTACACTCAACGTTTCTTTGTACTCAAATAAAATGTAGAAGCCAAGTTATTTGAGTTAATGCTCAATCTTGAAATAATAAAAAATTGCTCATACATAGAGCGGATGAATTAAAACATGAAAAAATTTTCGATCAAGCGACACATACCGTCATTAATTGCGTATCACTCACACAGTAGAGCAAGATGAGTTGCAATTGAGAAGGATTATTGTTTACAGTTTAAAAGTGAATGTAAAAACAAGACTTTACTTAAATTCTCCATATTTTGTTGAGTTTTATGCAATACATTTATTGAACATTGTTGTTATGATATTTACTATTCCTATTAGCTATATCGATCACCTTAACATCGAATTCCCAGACAAAGAACGGAGTAAGATAGCAACAATCGAAAGAGAAAAGTGAAATCGCTCATTTCTCTTGTCTTGAAGTGCTTTGTCTTCACATCACTCCATGTTCATGCGCCTGCTACTCTCTACACAACACTGGTAGGAGACGAGGATGTTTTCTCAGCGAGCATATGAACGGCAATGATGCAGAGCTCAGGGTTGTTTAAACCATTTGCTGTTGGGACTGAGTTGCGTCCGCTTAGGATATTCTTGTCCCTCCAGCTGTTCCTGGACCACTCGGCTGCAGGCACAGGCTTCAGTTGTAGTGGATCCTCGCGGGACGGTTTGGCTGCCACGCGCGGCCGCGGTGCACTGTTGCTGCTGGCACCCGACGATGTGCGGGTAGCTTGTGTCAGCGAGCTGGAGGCGTAACTGCCCCAGCCTGGAGATGTCACACACCACAAAACCGTAAATATGTCAGAAGTTTGAAGTGTTCGTTTTATTTCATTATTTCTTTAGTTGTGTTAAAGTTCGAGGAAATTTCTTTACTTGAGTATAACTTTAATAAATCTTCGTTAACTGTACCTAAAATAATTATATTATTAATAATTCATGTATGGGATCTTTTTAACTGTTCAACATTGTTACTCTTAGTGCCGCAATTTGGTTTGAGGTCTAGATGTATAAATTTTGTAAGTATAAATGTCCACCGCATATTTTTGCAGGTGAATTTTATTGAAAATATTATATGTATCTTAATTTTACATACACATAATAATTACAACGACTCACTTGTTGCTCATTGAGTGAATGAATTCGCCTTATTTTAAAATTTGAGCCTCCAAAATAAAATGAGGAATGAAATAAAATATGCTTGAACATAAAAAAAATTTCTTGATAGTGCGAAGATGTCGTATTATTAAACAACGCTTTTGTAATTTCAACGTGATTCAATACTATCCGACGAAACCTAACCGCGTGCTAGGATTGGACAGTGAATAAAGAACATTTTAATTACTGGGGAGCAGGAATGCTGTGGAAGATCGTATCTACAATATGCGAAACGGCAATGATAAGAAGCTCGCCGTATTAAAAATATTTCAACTAAACCTCACATTTATTAAATTTTGCGAAAAAATTCGAAAATTTTGAAATTTGCAAGAACGAGCAATTGTCATCAAATTCGCTTCTTGCACAATGCGTGTGATCTTGTGGCCTAGGTCATCACTTTCCTCATTAATTTGTATGAGATAATTTGGTAAGTGCTCTACTTTGAATTCTTAAAAGAATTAGCATTATATTTTACGATATTTGAGTAAACAAATTAGCCAGGCTGTAAACGCCTCAGCTTAGATTGAATAAAATGCTAGCCAAAAATTGTTTTATAAAACATGTTTTTTCATGAGTATTTATTTAAATCAGGCGAGGGGTTAAAGTAATGTTATTCAACCCCGCTTGAAATCTAAAGTAAATTATTTATGGCAAATTTGGCAGTCAGCGTCGCCTCAGCCTTACTGGCAGGAGAGTCAGTAGCATGTTAAAGGATGGCAATGAAAGGAATGAGAATTTTATAAATCATAAAATCTAAACTTTTCGGATAAATTCCCTGTATTCCATAAAGTTTAAATAAAATTTTATAAATCATATAATCTAAACTTTTTTGATAAATTCCCTGTATTCCACAAAGTTTAAATAAAATGATTGAATGATAAAAAAAGGCTATGAAATGCCAATGAAAACAGTCAAGGGTTTCAGGTTGAATATTAATGTTAAACTACTACAACCGAACGCTTCGTTTCGTCTGATATTTCTCACTGAACTGAATGACGTAGCGCATAAACTGAGACAATTGACTTTCTTCCGTCATCTACTATTGAGAGTGCAAGTGAATTTACACACTTTCCTGAAAAAGGCATGAACAGATGTAAACATAATAATCACCATAATTAAGAATTTAGTAGGGAAATTTATGCCAACAAAATTATGAAAACGTGGCATTTTCGATTTTGAAACACGGTAAATTTTCTGATATAAAAATTTTTCAGTTAGTTATTTCGTACAGATAATTTTTCTTTAATATTCGTCAATGTTGGAGTGGAGTTTGAGCTGAATTCTGTGTGGAGCGCGGCCAAAGAATGTAACGTCCTTTGTTGGACAAAGGGCGTTTCAACGCGCAAATGTCAACACGCATAAGTCAGCGCCACTGAATAGCGTATGCAGATTAATAAAATGAATATTCTATTTCTCTTACTTCTTTGTCTGAAGCCTTTTCTTATCATAGAGAGCAGCTCGTGCCTGAAGCTGCTGCTGAACCAAACGTAGATGATAGGATTAAGAGCAGAGTTACTGTAGCCAAGAAACGTCAACCAGAATTGAAGTTCGGCGTTAGCTTCTTCCTGAGAAACGAATTATAAACACTTCTTGTTAATCATGGATTAGTCAGAAGGCTGGGAGTCAATTGATTATTTTTAATTCTGAAGAAATGAAATCTGAAGCAAAATTTAAGTAAAAATAATTGCAAATACACAGATTAACAGTACATGGTATTTTTTATTCCATTTTGATATAAAATTCAAACTACTATGAACGGAAAATTTGTATAATCATCGCAGATGTTATTTGAGAGAATTTATTATTATCGCAAAAGGTATTAAAAGTTAAGGATTCGCGGACTTCAAGCTCAGCCGTTCAGCAGTTTATGAAGATTCGATATTGTAAAGAAAAAATTCTCAAATAAGCAGCCTTGATTTGAGCCATAATCGTGGCAGTTAGAGGCCCTATCTAAATCAGCCAAATTCAAGAAATAATTCATAATAAATTTAGCTCATGTGTTAACAATGTGGATATCTAAAAATTTTGACCAAGAATTAAATCACAATTACTTTGAATAACTATATATTAACAAATTTAAATTTACAATATAATTCACAACACATTTTTTGCAAATTAAAAGAAATCAGCAGAAATAGTAATAATATGACACAATTTAAGACGTATTAGGTAAACTTTACCATGAATAGAGATAAGACAATTCAGGCATATACTCTGTAATTATATCAACCTTAAATACAAACTAAATACATTCACAAAAGCCTTAAATACGATAATAAACGTTAGCCATTTTAATACGTGTAATTCAAATCAAATAAGCGTGGTATCTACCGCCTACAGTGACAGCTACAATGACCAATAAAATGCGCAAGTACAGGTAATATATACGTATTAATAACGTTTAAGAAGTATTAATAAACTTCAAGACGTTGCTAGGATTTTTCCCGAAAATTTAAAAACTTCATGATACTATAGAAAATTCTGAGAGCCTTAAGCTACGAGTATTTCGTATCAGTAATCATTTTTCAAAGTTTTTGTGAATTCGCTGGCTTAATTAATTAACACTAAAATGCAACTCACGTTCATGTCGTTCATGAGGGAGAAAATTACAAGGACTTGCAAAGGTCCCCAGCACAGGGTGAAGACCAACAATAAAGTGCATGATAAAGCCACCACCTGCCGGGTATAATGTCCAGTCTAGGTTATACCTGAGTTATTAATGAAGTAAATATACTCTATATTTTAACTCCGAGAATGAATTGAGCTGGTATTAAAGTTTAAACTCCTAACTTTAAATTTAAAGCTCTTAAACTTAAAATTTTGGATCTTAAAAATATCCCGCAAAAAAAGTTTGAAAGTCCTCTACTCAATGGTAATTATTTTCTTGTTTTAATGTTCGGACAAGCTGGGCGTTAAATGGTTCCTCCTTAAGAAATTACTTGTATATAAACAATTAACAATAAACCTAAAGAAAAATAGATTTCTGACGTAAGTTTAACGCGATAAATAAAAAATATTTGATAAGAAAACATCAATGTACTTTTTTGCGAGCGGAGTTCTGAGCCCTGTTGGAGCAGGCCGACTGCTCGCCGACGACTCTGATGCTCCAAAGCTTGGCGACGATGCGGGAGTAGCCGAGAGTCATCACCGTCACCGGCAAGAAGAAGAGCAGCGTCGAGAACTGCGCACAAGTGATGCAAAACTTTGATTATTACTTAAGAAAAGTCGACCGCAATAAGAGGATATAATACTTTGATTATTGCTCACAAAATAGCAATAACAATCATACTTTCAAACAGCACAGCAGTTCGAACATTCAAAAGTTTAATTTTTGTTTTGGATTTGAGTGGATAGCAGCAATAAGATGGCCTTTGAAAACACATCAACTACTATAACCAGCGTCTAGAACTGCCATCTGAGAAACCAAGAGAATTAAGTGTGGGGTTGATTAGTTTCGAGAATAGAAACTTCAGAACCAAGGTTATTTTGCAGATATCATCTGAACTCTCCAGGCATATTATGTAAGTGACTTCAATATCTACGCAGGAATTTTTGCCCAAAATAGATTCACATAATATGGTCTAATTTTAAGCTAGTAAATGATCCTATAATGGAAACAAAAAAAGTTAAGGTTATATTCATCGATTAGAAGAAACACATGAATCATTTACAGTATTGTTCGTGGCCAAAAAAATAACGTAAAACACTGATCTTTGTTTTTGCGTTTGAACAAAAGCGAATTTTTGGTGTTGACGAACTATAGATGAGGAGCCATAAATCTTAAGGAAGGCCACATACTCCACGTGCAGAGGCTCTAGTCTCACAACCGCAAAGCGCAAATTCCAGCATGAGACTCGGCATCAGGTTGGGCCAGTGAGACTCAGCATCAGGCTGGGTATAAGAAACTCGAAAGGAGCACATACACTAGGAGCACAAACTCGAAATTTTAAGTAGTATGTTAGTTAAGATATCACTTCAGGGTTCCAATTCAATATGTGGGGTATGATTGAGGTTACTCACTGTAATGTGGTAGTAATGGACGAAGTTGTGACGAGGCCGTACGCAGGTGTTGTTGATAACGACCCCGGGAGGTTGGGTATATCGGCACTGGTGGTCGACGTAGTTCGCAAACTGGGCAAACGAGGGAGTAGAGTGTATACTGTATAGAGTGATCTTTTTCACACTTGCTGCAAATAGGAGGACTAACACAAGTTCCTATATTCTGAACTATATATATAGAGAGAGAGTGGGCCAAATTATGCGTAATATTTAACGTTACTTAAGCTCAGAATAAAAACTAACTGGTCCACAAGAACATTCCAACTTCTAGTGAATTACAAATTAGTATCAACCATCATCGAAAATCCATAGGTATTGGCATTCTCTTTACATTCATTAATGTCGCACAGTAACATTAGTAAAGCAAACTAACACCACACGTCAACTGAAGACCGCTTTCGTACTAAAAATCTGGAATCCAACCAAATCTGAAATTTAAAGGTAAATAATCGTATTTTGCGGTAATATAAGGGTGCAAGGTGGTATTAAAGGTCGTGCAAAATTTTACTACATAACGTGCGCAATAATTGCCTTTGAGAAGAATAAATAAATCCGACTTGCTTGGGTGAAGATCGTGTGTGAAACGCACTCGTTATAATCAAAAGCAGTTGAACAATACTTCATTGACATAAGTGAATGGACACCCATGCCCATAATATCTCACCATAAAATGAACAACATCTATTCCCGCAAAACATAGCGAATATGTATAGCATGTAATAATTCGTATCAAGTATACCATAAGTTCAAAACTCACCAAGTCTTCCTGGTAAGTCTTGAGAGCAAAGAAAGGCGATGCTCCCGCGGCAGCGATGAGCCACAAGCACATCACTGTCAGGAGATGCTGGCGGGGTACGCGTCGGGCACGCAGAGGCAGCAGCACGGCGTGTACGCGCTCCAGAGACACTACCGCCATCGTCAGCACGGAGCCCAGTACACACGTCGCTGTCCACGAATAGAGTGTGCAATATTTATGGGAGAAAGAATTATGGGATTAATTATGAATATGGCAATAATTATGGACCATATGTCTTGCATTAATAAGTAGGAAAAAGAGTGACTCATTAGCGTTGAAAACAAACTGCGCTATTTCACTAGAAGTGTGTGCAAAAGCATTGAACAAATACGTGGGGAATAAGGCAATTCTATAGTGTTGAAAACAGAACACAATATTTTGCTGCTAAAATAGAGTAACATGGCACTGTTCGCATCGAGCTCAGGACGCTCGTTGCTGCTCATGACCCTGAAGATATCATAGATGAGTCATCGTGCTTTTTACCATCTCGTTATACTTTTAACTATTTAGCAACGAAGCGTATAAAACACGTCCTATGCAAAATAACTAAACCTAGCTGAAATGCGTTGAAAATTAAACGAAGCAAGATCGAGCATAAACCAACTCAGTCATGCTACAATAAGTCGTGGCACAATAAAAAGTCGTTTTTAGCAATGTTAAAAAGTGAAGAAAGTACAATACTGAATAATGAGAATAACGGGAAATGAAATGTACTCGTACTTGATTTTGAATTGCTTCATATTAATTCATTTTAGGAGGAATAAGGACACATATATTGCGTTTGGAAAACTGACAATAACACACATTTGTTAGTAGAGAAATTATTGACGGAAAATCACTGAGCGCAATTTCGCACAGTTCACACTGACCTTGGATTACTGATGCCGATTCACAGACCCAGCGTCCAAAAGGATAAGATTCTTTTACGTCCACAATCGTGTGTGTCCATATGCACGTGAAGGTGATAAGCAGGTCAGCCACAGCCAGATTCAGCAAATAACAGTTTATGGCCGAATGAAAGCTTGGGTTTAGCCATATCAAAAATATGACCAGGCTGTTGCCGATGGTAGCGGTGCTGAATATGATGCTGGTGAGTGTAAGTTTTAGGGGTAAGAAGTCCTTGGGAGTCGGATTCGTGTAATTCATGAATGATAAATTGTATCCAGAGCTTTGTGCTCCGCATGTACTGTTCTCTATCGCAGCATTCAGAGCTGTTATTGCACTGTTCAAGAATGTACTGTTCAAGCTTTCGTAGCTGTCAAGGCTGTAGTTGGGTCCAGCGTATACAGTATATGCCTCGGACATTGAATAGTTGCTTATTCGCTGCATTTTTGGATTGTGGCAGATTAAATTTACGGATTACATGTAAATAGTTTAATTTGATCCATTTTGTTCAATGGAGAGACAAAATTTACTCAACCGCTAGGCTGGGCCGACTTCGAGGAGTTTGTAGATATATTTTCGTAGATAGATTTTGATCCATCGCATTCGCGTGGTTTCTGTAATTAGTTCATGTAGATGAGCATTAAAAGCTTCATATAATCAATCAAGTCCCAGAATTCGATCAATCGCGCCGCAATCTCGCGGTGCTCCGAGGTTGTTGAGTTTGGCAGTCCAAATGGGGATTTGGTTCCGCGCGTTTGCCAGAGGAAGCCGGCACAATGATCAAGCAATATCACGCTGTAGAGACGCTCGTAAATCGGTCATTAAAGTTCCTTTTAAAACGAAGAAACAAAAGCAGGCTGGTCATCTATGCGAACGCGTCACAGACAGCTGGCATCACACACCTCTTAGCCAGGCAATGAACAAACAACCTCAGCACCTTTCAACACAAGCCTACGTTGCACTGCAGAGGAATAGCATCAGTCACTGGGACTCTTATATAGCGTGCACTGAGTCGAGCAAGCTTATCGCGTGCCTTGAAACGATGCATTTTATTGCCCTCAAGATAAGAATCTAATGAATGCGGGCATTCTGTGAATTTCGAGAAATGATTGAACCTGTAAAAACATATAAATGGCCAACACAAGCAAGTTATTACTGAAAAAATTATAACTCAGTACTCACGTCGACGAAAACTTGAGGTCACGGACGGACGGACAGACAGACAGACAGATAGACAGACAGACGGGCATGGCGAGCACAATAGTGCATTTTTTCCATAAATGAGAAAATGCGCTAAAAAGGGCTAATTAGAAATAATTCTACTGTCCCTGCTCTTCAAACATTTAACGGGCCATTGTCCTCAACGTTCAATCAAATTCAAAACGAGTTAGACAAACAAGGCTTGAGATCGAAATGTTGTTGGGAATTAATTAAAAAAAATCATGATGGATTATTTAAAAAATGTTTATATTAATCAATGAATGATTTCACAAAATACGTTATAACTTTTTCCCAACAAGGGGATGGAGTATTGTTTTAAAGAAACAGGGTGGAATTATCCACGCGAGTTATCTGATCGGAAATTTTTCTCAGGACAAGAAGTCTTTCTGTTCCCAATTGCATGCTAACAAACCGGGTGACAATGTTTGCACCTCCAGTAAACATTCTGCCGTCAAGCCCTAGCCTGTTGACTTCAATGCCTTGATCGGGAGAGTTTGGCACTGAGGTAAATCCTCAGCCACCGATAGTTTGAATCTCGGGTTTTTTTAATTTTTCCACTTAAAAGAAAGACGGCAGATTGTAGCTGACTTCCCTTGAAATTGATGGGCATATTTTGGCGCAGTACCTTTGATAAGGACGCGAGAGACATTTCGTTTTTTCGCATGGCTGAGTGTTTCAACGAAAACAACAGAAGAATACAGGCATCATAATAAAATTCCTATTTATTTACCATATGTCTTTCTTAAAATTTTCAGCAAAAATATCACAGATTTTCATGTTTATTGAGTTATAAACCTATTGAAGAAAAGCAAAATGTTTAATAAATGAATATTTTAATGAAGAGAATTCCGACATCGTATTTTCTCTTGGAGTACCGGCAGGCAAGTTTATCTGTTTGGTGGTCGTCCTAGTTTCCTGTGAATGTGAAGGCAATGAGGAGCAATCAAGAGGTCAACAGACGTGTGTCCACCCATTTCACATTACGTGTGTCCACCATTTCACATTACGTGTGTCCACCCATTTCACACGTATGGGCCTCCCAATGCTCCATCTTGCACTCGAGACCAAGAAACCAGAGCAATCCAGACAAGTAGAGTACCTCACACATTTACTATACCTACTACCAGATTATCAACAACGATAAAAATTCTGAGATGAAACTGAGCAGGTACTTTTACCGCTTTGATTGTCAAATGGAATTGAAAACCGAGCATAAATTAGTAATAATTAGTAGAAGGAGCTCATAAAAGGTTGAATAGTTTCAAAGTAATTGTAACTAGATTTTTAACGATCGATAGCTGCATTCAAGAAGTTTATGGTGAGGATTTTATCCACAACTAATAGAACTGTCTATGGTTAGGGGGATCCAAAATAATATCCACCCATGACTGAGAAATTCCAACTCCAATGCAGTTAGGTAATTCAGGTGTTAGAATCCAATTTTCCCAAATCACGTCGTGCAAGTAATCCCTAAACCGGTTAATATCAATGAGGCTTCTTTATTCTAATTGAATAAAGATCCTTTCAATCACACATTTTGTAAAGAAAATTAGCTAGATCTCCATTTCACTCCCGTTTTAAAATATTGAAAACTATTTTACGGCTTTCAAAATATATTCATATGAACCAATTGCAAACAAAATTTAATTTTTGATCCAATTTTTTCTTCCTATTCAACGATCCTTTCATATTCCCACATAAAGAATAAAATTTCAGGTAAAGTTTATATCCCGACACGAAAAGTATTATGGATACGCACCCGAACAGCCCCTTTATATATAAGATGCTAGACTTTAAATACACTAAAAAACTCACACATAAACTTAAATAAATATGTATAAGATAAAAATAGAACTTCGAAAATAACATCAGTTTGAGGAAATATGTTCACAGTTGAAACATTTATTTGTTGCACTACAGGACACTCGTATATTCTCTCATCAGCAGCACCAAAAAATCTGAATAAAACTTGCAACCTGTTCAAGTTCCGACACGCTCAGACATAGGACCTGGCATGCTTGCAAATTTTAATGCGGATAAAAAGAATTACATGGCAAATAATGAACTACAAACAATAAAGTTAGGCAGTAGTGAAACTGCTTAACTAGCAAATGAAGTAAACACAGTGAGTGGTGGAGATCGAATCGCTGGGCATATATATAATCGCTGTCTAATAATCATAGCGCATAATCTAAAAGAAGATATACTTTACACTAGAGGGAGGGCTGGGTTTAAACGTATCCTATAATCTAAAAGATGATATACTTTCCATTAGAGGTAGGGATGGGTTTGAACGGATCGTGTAATGAAAAATAAGATATGCGTTACATTAGAAGTAGGGCTGGGTTTGAACGTATCCTATAATCTAAAAGATGATATACTTTCCACTAGAGGTAGGGATGGGTTTGAACGGATCGTGTAATGAAAAATAAGATATGCGTTACATTAGAAGTAGGGATGGGTTTGAACGTATCATATAATCTGAAAGAAGATTTACTTTATATTAGAGGTAAGGCTGGGATTAAACGTATAGTCTATTCTGAAATTAAACGAAGGACATTGTTCAATTCAAGTTAACAAAATTTATTTAGTCTAATTAATTCGTTAATTTATGATCGAAAAGAAGATATTCGTTACACTAGAGTTAGGGTTAGTAGCAACCGCATAACATAATCTAAGCGATTAACGTTACTCTGGAGGTACATGACTGCTTATAATCGCATCGTACAATCTAAATGAATATTCTCCCTATTCAACAATCTTGGCCGCAATCAACAACATTCAGTGCAGCATAGGTATGTATATATATAGATAGAACGTAAGTTACACTGTTAATGGAGTTATGTAAGGATCGTGTCGTATAAACTTACGTTAAATAAATATATAAGTATGACTTCCATTACTAAAAATGGCTCAGGGTGGGCTAAATAACCTGGGATAAAATGCCCATCATACTGAAAATGAGAATTAGTTTACATATGTTTGCAGCATCTTATGATATATTTGTCAAAGTTTGAGTGTTTGTGTGGTGGAAGTCAGGCGTAGCAAATATATACTAGCAAGTGGCTGTTCGGGCGTGTATCCACGATACTTATCGTGTCGTGATTTTAACTGCTTACTTGAAAACATTTTCTTAGTGGGAGAATAGTTGGGCCTTGCAAAAGAGTGAGGCAATGATTGGGCCAAAAATTTTAAATTAATTTTTTTATTTGTGTACATAAATTTAATAACTAAATATTTTTTATATATTTTCAAGCGAGAGCCTTATAAGAGTTTTATGTTCGATATTAAATTTGGAGTTTAACGTGTCTTTTTAGCGCATTTTCTCATTTATGGAAAAAATGCACTATTGTGCTCGTCATGTCCGTCCGTCTGTCTGCCCGTCCGTGACTTCACGTTTCATCGACGAGAAAATGCGCTCTCTGCCACTCACTGCAGTGAGTACTAAGTTATATTTTTTCAATCAGTATGCATTAGCCTTAAACCCCGAATTTCCTTTAATTAACCGCTGGCCTATCTCACCCATGACCAGGTCACTGGCCTCAAAAATGCCCCATACTCGGAATTAGAGCCAAGCAACAAATGCCTTCATTTGGTCCTGAGTGCAAAGCAGTAAATTGGTTTATACTTCTCACTCAGAGCCTCAATAAAGCTGTCCATGATGCTTCAAGCTGAGCTCTGAGGGCACCTAGGCGAGCTTTTCTAAGGCGGAACGATGAGCTGGCAAAAATATCTATGGTTTATTCGAGAGTATGTTCGTGAACAGGTTTTCCTGGTAGAAAAGCTTAGAAAACAAACACTTGGGTACTTTTTATAGCATGATTGTGAAGAAATACGTGAGTAACGATGCAGCAATTTGCTATAAAACTTTGGTTTAAACTCTTCGCTCGCTCGTGAGATTTTAAAGCATGTTTCTTGAATAATCAGAAATAGAAGTTCGACGTGAACAGTAAGATCGTCTCTAAACCTAAAATTTCAAAAAATGTCTTCAATTAAAACCCTAACAGTATATACAATATTGGAATGGTATCATGTAAAGTGGAAAAATCCTGCGAAGATGACAGTGTGAGAAGCATTAGCGGATATAGTGACTAGTGCGGAGCGAAGAATTATTTCGCGCGACGACGAAGTTTTGAAATTTTTGGAAAACGTTAAAGTAAAAAATATTACTTACTTTTGCTATAGACTTCGATCAATGGTAGCAGCAGTATATATATAAGAAATCAGATTTAGAAGTGAATTTATCCAGTATATGGCAATAAAACATAATAACGCATAAAAAATAACTGTAGGCTCCGTGGTTTCATAACTGTCCACAGTACAATGCTAAAAAAGTTATGAATATTCAAAGCAATTGAATATCACCAGGTAAAACAGTAATTCTCCCATGAAACAATTTTGCGGATTTAACTATCCATGCATGTAGATTTGGGCAATTTACAGAGACTCATATATTAAAATAAAAAAAAAACACATGAAGAAGCATTTCTGTTACTATTAGTTCCACGTAAAAATTTCTCCAGATTGAATTTGCACGTCAGTCTTTCGCATCTCGCAAGTCATGGAGCTCCAGAACTCGCGCATGCACAACCTTCTCACTCTACGGTCAGAGACCGTCTGCAGCCACGGCTACGCAGCTGCTGGCAAGGTAAACAAGCTGTCTCTGACGCAAGCGTCTCACCCACGCAAGCCTCGAATAAAAAACATAATATAAACTTATCTTGCAATTTGAGGGATGATTAAAAAAGAAATTAACTTTGGGCAGTGTAGCCAGTGCTCTTTTTTTTATTCCACGAGTATCCGAATTGATGTTTCTGCATTCTTCATCATTGAACGCTGTCTTTCCACCATATATTAAGGATTGGGGAAGAGCAGCTGCATCCAAAAACTCTTTAAAGCAAATTAAAAAAGAGAGCTTCAGAGATTGTCTAAAATTCGGAACATATTTTATTATTCTAGCGACATCTTTGATGACTTCATGCGATTGTGGTAAATACATGCATCCTATAAGGCCGATTCTGTTCCAACTGTTCTGATAATGATTGTATTTGGCTCGTGGAAGCTGACTCAATAGTATGATTAGCACTGCCATGAATTATTATTGGGCAATTCAATATTTGCCGCTTTTATTTTGACTGCAGACCGAGTTAATTCTGAATATTTTCACTCGAATTACCTACACTCAAAATGAAAAACGGGTTTCTTGGCCGGAAGCAAAAGAATGGCGTTTCTACAAGTTTTGATGTTGTGACCTCATATATAGCTAATAATCTTCACCTAGTATTTCGCTGATATGTTCTTATTCAGACGGAATTTAATGTTAACATTCAGATGCAAATGAATCTGTCCTCAACAAACTGCTTCGTTTGAGTTAATTTACCAAATGCATTAACGATTTTAGCATTTCGACAAAAAACGTTATTTCAAGATCATTCAAATGAATAGGACTTGCATTCCAATGAAAAGTACGTAATTTAAATCTGCTGTACTATGGAAAATCTACTGTCTGATTTAACCCTCTGATTACGAATACATTAACCCTCGACGAAGTTTTTCTTATATAAAGGATGAGTAATTCCGGTCACAGGTTCAAATGATTAACTTAAAAATTCGTTCAACTCCAGCAGAGAATAAATGAAAAATATTGCATAATTTCTGATACATTTGAGTGTATGACTTCTCCTGTCATTCCTATGGTGTGAACTGGTCAAGTATCAATTCACGTGAGATTTTATCGCAGCGATGACATGTGATGCGATGCGAGAACTTCACATTGGATGCTTGAAGGCAAAACTGGGAAATTGGGACAACTTCGGCCCTGCGATTTACTGTCCATGCTCGGTTGATTGCACCAGTTTCATTTTATTTTGCTGAAATTCATGTGCAATTCTATAAAGGTTTTCAAATCAATTCATGTTGTCGTGTGATTAACATGTTGAGATAGGAAATGAATTTCTATTATTATTTTCCGGATCTAGCGAAAATTTCAAAATCCATACATGCTTTTTCAGTCAAATTCGTTAAGCGGCAATTTTTAGACGACTAAATTCTTGACGAATTCCTTGGGCGTGATCCATTCCAAAAAATTTCGAATACTCGTAATTTACTTTTATGTAAACTCACAAAAACCAAGTAAATAAAGTTAATTTCAACTATGCATATGGTAGTTCAACGAGAGAACAGACAATCTTATACAAAGCGAATAAAGCGTCAATAATAAAGACTATTATTTTGAATTAAATAAAAGGACCTTGCTTTCTAGGCCACATCTCGGCCGCTGTGATGCATCACCACACCGCATGCTTAGTTTGAAAGCAATCAATAAACTCGAGTTTTGTCAACTTTGCCAAGGGCTTCATTACATGTAACCATGACTCCCGTTTACGCGAAGACAGAATGGTAACAAAGTGGCCGTTTATAGCCGATCGCGACTTACAAGTTCGAGCAGAATGATGACAATAGGAGCAGCTTTCGTTTACAGAGGGCAGGCGTCACCGCGCTCTGAGTAAACATTCGTGCTAGGGAGACCAAGTGAGTATTGTTAGATTCTCACATTCGAGGAAGATTTCGAGTAAGGTGAAGAAGTAACAATTCTTACTTCAGGGTCTAAAGTATTTATGTTACAATGCACTTGCAGCTGATGCAACAATTACAGCATCGTTCAATGCTAAGCTACAGACGCAGCCACAGCAAGGTGATTATTCTTCATCATTGTAGGTGTTCCAGCCGAATTTTGGGCGACTTGAGCATTTTTTCTTTCCCATTGGATTCACAAGTCCAAACTAAGCATTCCTATGATATAACATCGTATCAAAAACTATGAAAAAAAAAGTTTTACTGTCAACATAGGCGTGTGTCGTCAATAAGTATTGAATTAATCGCAACTGCGAAAAGTCTCATTATTACAGGTTATATTATTTTTGAAAGATAACTCGCATAGATGATTTTGTCATTTGGTTTACTTATGAAACAAATTTGTTTGGAGGCGGTCCAAGAAAACTCATTAATCATTTGTAGTGATATTCTCAAATAAAATACAAATTATTCAGTTGGTAAATAGCTTACTTCAACTTTAAACACTTTAAGGTTTAAATCACAATAATAAAGATAATTAATTCAAAAGTCAAGCATTTAATTCTGAAAACATTCAGCGCTTTCGTTTCGAACATAAAACTTTGAAAGGTAGGAATAGCGAATTTGCATTACCTCATCGCCAATTTGAGACATATTCAATTCCACAACAATCTACGTATTACTTCTCATATTATTTTGCAGACTATAACGTAATTATAAAGCATTTTTATAACATTTTTTTGCGGGAGCCATTGCAGATGATCATTCATCACAACGAGATGGTAATTCATTATCCTTCTTGCTCGCGAACAAAACTAATTTCCTGATGAATTACGTTGTAAATAATTTTTTAGACATTTCTCTCGCTGCAAAAATTTTTTCCATGCAAAGCCATTAGCCCGACCTTCTTTTTCTCTATCGTAAACTCTCAGTCGAGAGACCATCGTGATCGACGAGGTCCCAACCACACACGCGCCAAAGACGCTAAGGAACAATGGGAACAAACCATGAAGATAAATACATACATAAGCATAGCAGCGGAGAGGGAATAGGGAAAGAGAACCTAATTATACTGACAAACTAAACCGAAAAGTAATTTAAAGGTTACATTGAAGAGATTAAAGTATAGAGGCAAATGAAAGTAAAGTAGTTGTTAAAGCAGCGCATAACGTTTGAAACAACTCAGTTAATTTAGTGAAAGTATTAAAATCATTGTAATCATTTTAATCATTTTTTAATTTGTCAATTAGTATGAGAATATATAGGCAGTTGCCTACGCTTGTTTTAAATATAGTTCCTGCAGTCCTTTATATAATAATAATTTTATATTGAGACATTGTAAATCAAAAGAGAGCACACATTCAGACAGCGGATCAGTTAGCCTCGCAGTCATCAATTGTTATTTATTTAAAGTTAATTTTTCGCAGTCAGTATTAGTGACAGCTAGTCTGCAAGGGAGCAAAGTAAAGCAACACCCCGCAGCACCCAGTGCTCGGGTGGGAGGGCGGTGGGAAGGTCTACACTCAGGATGTAGTTGGTAGAGTGACCGGTGGTGGTGAGCTCGCCACGCCGCCCGCTGGTCTTGTACACGGGACAAGAGTACGTAGCTGAGGTGCTGGTGCTGGCGCGCTCGACGGGCTGCAGCCAAACCTGTGGTGTACAACGCTACTCGTAATAATAATAATATATAGGGCGGTGGGAAGGTCTACACTCAGGATGTAGTTGGTAGAGTGACCGGTGGTGGTGAGCTCGCCACGCCGCCCGCTGGTCTTGTACACGGGACACGAGTACGTAGCTGAGGTGCTGGTGCTGGCGCGCTCGACGGGCTGCAGCCAAACCTGTGGTGTACAACGCTACTCGTAATAATAATAATATAAATAATAATAATAATATAATATTATTATTAATAAATATGTTATAATAATATTATTATTATAACATATAAAATAATATTAAATAATATAAATAAAAATATAATAATAAACGCTACTAGTAATATTTGCTCCTTGTCCACCTGGAGGCACCGGTGGCCACTAATATAGATCTTAAATTATCCTTGCTTTAGACATCATAATTAAAGCTGAGACTTGCTGGTGATTTTGCTGTAGATCTACGGCGCCGTGGCTTGAAACATTAACTTCGCAGACTACTATGCCTTCTAGCGTGCTCGACCACGGAAAGAATACGAACTTAAGTGTGAAATAGGGACTTGCCGGATTCTAGCTCGCATCCAGTCCAAATCACTCGAGTAATCAAAGGTCTTTTTAACAACCTGGGCAATGTATAGGTTATTTTGTATTTGTGAAGTGCAAAACAAAACATTGGGAATCCACTTTTGAAAAAAAAATTCCCAAGAAAAGTTTGGGAAATCTTTGTAAAAGCTGTTAGATAAAGGACAATTTCGAGAAATTGGAGGAACTGCGCTGGCAGTAGAGATTAAATTCACTTACATATTATCATGGATAAAATCATTCAAACGGGACAGTTTAATAAAATAAAATAGAATACGCGCTACTTATACTAATACAAATAGAAGTGCTATGGTCTGTTATTTGAGGTATTTTTTAATGATAATGATATAATAGCTGACGGGGGGCAAGGTGTCGTGCAGCTTCCTGGGCAGCGCCTCTTCAAGACGCTGCAGCTCAGGGCACCAGCGGGCGCCCTCCAGGAAGAGTCCATTAATAACGGCGCCTGTTGACACGTCCGCCTGCGGGGCCTCCTTCAGAATCTGATGATATATCATTTAGGTATTTTTTAGTATCAATTTGCAAAGTTTAAGCAAAAGTTTATTGAGCGCAAAGATGAGTTTTGGGAAGGTAGATATTCGTGTGATTTCGTGGTAGATGATTCGTGGTAGATGATACAAGTGCTGCTTTGAAAAATTGAGTGACCTAATTAAGGTTTACAAAGATGAAGACAAGAGGTTTTTGAATAATTATAAGATTGATTCAAATTATTCGGTTAAATAGGAACGGAAAACAGAAATATTATTTATTTTTGTGGAGAAGGAGTAAAGCAGAAATATTAACGTATTGATTGCAAACAATTTAAAAACAGATAAATCAGAATATTTAAATATTACGCTATAATATCCGACAATAGAAGTCATTAAAATTATTGATCTCACAGTGAAGCTGAACTCGAGCTGGTCTATCGAGACGCCATGGGTGCGGGCGTGGTTCTGCAGCACCGCAGTCAGGAAGGATTGAGTGAAGAAAAATCCTGACAGCCAGAACACTCTTGGCATGCCGTCAGTGAACCAACTCTAGTGTTGAAATGTAAGATATTATTCTGTTAGTAAAACTATATAACTAGAACTAATTTGTACAGCTATAAAATGTGATCCGATTATCTCATTGTTGATGATGACGAATACTGAACATCGAAATAGAAATTGAACTTAGCAACAGGCGAAACTATTTAAAGAATAATATTGAACACTTCGGAATTTAGGTAATGGAGAGCTTTAAAACAAGGTGGTTTTCTACTATCTCTAACAGAAATAAATCAGAGGTGGCTCTAAAATTCGCTCTTAGTTAATGGGAGTGGAAGAATTTATAATTTCGATACATAATTATAATTCCGATGGGTTCCACCTAAATGGGGGAAAAGATATGAATCATTAAAATATTAAGAACGATTGTAAAACCCTAACCAAATAGTAAAAGCGGGCAGCATTAAAAGAAAGAAATTATTAACTGCATTCGTTGAAGTTGAGACAGTACGGCTCCCAAAAATGTCCATTTCTCACAAAATAAAAGTTTCAAATTCATGAGTCGCTGCGCATGAGTTAAAAAAAAAACTGAGCCCCGAGAACCTCTAATCTCAAAATAACAACTAGAAAGAATTTGTTGCTTGACGCACCTGTAAGAAACTGAGCCTCTCACACAAATCTTCAATGTAGAAGCCAAGACTTTTTAGCGTGGGATAAGACTTGGCCAGCCACAGCTGCGGCACCCGACCTGTACGGATGCTTCTCAGGACCTCTTCGGTTTCTTCGGTTAAGCTCTCACTTCCTGGAGTTGAAATGATTCGAAGATAATTACTTTACAGCAGTGGTTCCCAAACTTTTTCAGGCTGGCGCCCCCTTTGGCTCCCTAGTGAATTTCTAGCGCCCCTCACAGACACATATAAAAACATACGCCTCTTTCTTGAGATTTAGTACGCTGCAGTTTCAAAAGATAAAGGTCAAACACAAATGTATATTTCGCAAATAGAACCCCATTTAGTGAACCAATATGTTTTTCAGCTGTTTTAACCGTTTCAGCACTAGAAACCTAGCACGTCTCGCGCAAATTTACGGCCGGACTCGTGGCCGGTCTCACGACTAATCTCCAAATTCAATTATCAAGTAATATCTCCCAAACTAATGAATGCAGCTCAATGAAACTTGGAACATGTATTCATCAAAACCTAACGGTGATGTTTAGCATGGGAAAAATTGTAAATTTTACCTTCATTCGTTAGTTATATTGCGATACAGGCCGAAATTCGCAGTGATCAAAGAATTTCTCCCAAAAATACTGAAAAGGGCCTATACTTTCAAAAAAAGTTATGAGATCGTAAGTTCATCAGCCAGTCAATGACGGCCTTTCAAGCAAAATCCACCAATAATAGACGAGAAAATAGAGCGTAAGTACTTACGTTCACTTAGCGAGTTTTGAAAGTATGGCCCCAGATTTGAACGAAATTTTGAATATACATTCCTAACTACCAAACGGTGATTTTTTAGCTTCTAAATTTTTTCTTATTTACCTTCGTTTGTGTTTTTTTTTTACATTTCACTGTCATTCTTGATTTCACACTTCTTTATATTCGGCCCGTATCGCCGGGTAATTTGTCGCTTAAATTTGTGGCGATCAAAAAATTTCTTCTAAACTACTGAACAGATTTCAACGAAACTTTGTATATAAATACCTAACCTCCCAACAGTGATGTTTAACTTGTGACAATTTTTCAATTTGGCTTTCGTTCGCGAGTTATTCAGATACAGGAGAAACGACCTGCTTTTCTACCGGCCGGTTCATCCAAGAGCCGTTTACGTATAGCCGTATAACCCGAAAACGAAGGCAAAACCGAAAAAAATTGTAACGAGCTAAACATCACCGTTGCTGAGGTCAGGTAACTAACATAACTATGGCAAAAGCAAATGAAGGCAAATTAAAAAATTTTCACGTGCTAAACATTACCGTTAGGCTCTAATGAATACGTGTACCAAGTTTCAGCGAGTTAAGCTCATTAGTTAGAGAGATATCACTTGATCATTGAATTTGGAAATTGGCTGTGAGACCGGCCGCGAGTCCGGCCGTTAATTTGTCTGAGACGTAAACCCAGGAGAGGTTAAAAAACATATCTGGGTGAAAAAACCATCGCTGGGAGTCATGTGCTGCTCGTGTTGTGTACAAATCGTCAAACAAACGTTCGAACTTCTGTTCTGACTTCGACTTCGGACTGCCGCCCCCCTACCGCCCCCCTTTCGCCCTTTTCTTTCTTACCGCCACCCAAAATCTTTCCACCGCCCCTATGGAGGGCGATATCGCCCACTTAGTGAACCACTGCTTTACAGTAAAGCTACTGTTAAAGCAGTGCATTAAAGCTATTGTTAAATTACCGTAAGCTACTGTTAAATTAAAGCTACTGTAAGAAGAATTCGAAGTCGTTCGAAAGATGTAAAAGAGAGATATGTTTAACATGAGCTTTACCATGAAAAATGAATTTCAAAATACTTTGAAATGGCCAGAATTATTACTCAAATTTATTCCGCCTGCATCAAAACGCAAATATAATTGCAATGCAGGTCCATTTTATATAATGAACGGGAACGTTGCAATAAAGTTATAATTATTCAATTATAAATCAAACCTGATTAACAAGGACAATTATTTTAGTAAGAAAATCAAGCTGATGGAAATATTCCATACTTTCGTGAAATTGAGAGCAATTTGGGTCGAAATTGGTCGAATTTAAAAGTTATGGGTCAGAAAACGTTTCTAGAAACAACTAAATGATCACCGGCATGTGGAACAGCCTCCCCAATGACATCGTTGGCGCTCCAAGTATGAACGCGTTCAAGAACAGACTAGAATAACTAGATAAAGCTATGGAAAAATATATGTTCAGATTTGAAATGCCTAGCTCCTTATCGAACCCGGTGTAATTTAGATCTATGAACAAGGCACGAAAAGGAAAAGAATCGGCGACAGGCCACATCAGGCCTACACTTTAGCGCCGACTTCACTATGTTATGTTATGTAATGCATTTATCTAAATCTAAAAATAAAGTAAATTTAAGTCTAATATAAAGTGAATAAATTTCAGATGAATGGGTTTAGTTTCTCAAAAGAAACCCTACACCATAATTCAACTGCAGTCCCTCACCTTTATACACCCTTCATTGAGTTTTGTACCGTTGAATTTTGTAAATATTTTGTGATTAGAAAATCCTCAGGGCCTGTCAATGTGTCATTAATTCATGTGAAATTTTCAGTCGTACCAGCAAGAGCCTTTGTGACCGAGTCCAGACTAGATACGATGATATCGAGGAGGTTGTTGTAGCGGCACATCTCCTGGACAAGCACCGTGTTGAGGCTCTGCTCGTGACGGGGCGGGAACTTCACAAGAGCGGCGTCGATGTTGAACAGCGCTGGCAGTCGCTTGATGATGTCACTGCATGTCTTCGAGAGCACCTCACTCTCACCTCCACCCGAGCTCTCCGCTCCCGCCGACAACGATGACGACTGACCCGATAAAACACATAAATACAGAAAGGAATTACCACGAATGAGCCTGTCAAATTTTGAGTAAATTTCAATTTTTTAGCGAGAGATGACGTAATTACAGTTGATTCAAATAATTTGTTCGGTTAATACACAACCCCACATAATATGCGGTTAACTTTATCTCTCGCGGTTAACTTTATCTTTATCCAAGTCTGAGGACTTAGTTCTTCAGCAAAATAAATTTTAAAAGGGACCTGAGCCTGCAATTTCGATTCAGTAAACGAATTTCCATTAAACGAATTCCTAATCTTTATATGGTATTCGACTGCTGATTGGTACTTAGTAACTTCCAATAAATTGTAATCCACATTTTTTAGATCTTTTTTAACTGATCAAGTAACTTGAAATTAATCGAGCATGCAAGATTGACTAATCAACAGGACAGGAAGGAGTCAGAGGACTGGGTGATATAGACAACGGTTAAAACCATACATTATTAACAAAGCAAAAGGACAGGAAGGAGTCTAGGGGCCGGGTCCCTAGCAAGCAGTAAAAACCACGCAGTATGAAATGAGGTAGTGGATAGGAAGGAGAGGAGGACCTGGGTGACGAGGACGGCGGCGAATAGTTTGCAGGTTTCGTTTTGGTCCTTTGCGATGCTGGCGTTGGTGTTCATACCGAAGACGTCGGGCGGCGCGTCACGAGGCAACCCGTCAATGTGGCGCAGGTAATCGTCGTAGTCACCGTCAGAGGGTACGCGGTATGCCCCTGAAAACGATAAAATTATTTATATCATTTGGGCTGCATGCGATTAACTTATGAGAATACAGCTCGATGAACAGTTCGCGTAAAATCGGTTTCCCTCTAATTGACTGCCAAACAAAAAAATCTACAGTCTTAGCATCATTAAACCAATGGTTGAACATATAATCTTTCCGCCACAGTATGGCGGGGATCACCTTGATCATCGAAGTAGTAGTCGGTGCTAAGCAGCACTTTAGGGCAGCAGAACCTCTGCAGCAACATGGCGAGAGTTCGTCGGTCTCTCTCATCCGTAACCTTCCCTCCGTAGTTGCATTCCGCCGTCAAGTACTGAAGAGCTTGCCATGGAACGCCCTGACAATTAAAATGAATGAAAATTCTCGGCGACAGGCCAAGCGTGGCCTATTCTTCAGCGACGACACTAAAAGTCTACACTAATGAATATATGAAACGAATAAATATTACAAAATTCATGTCTTCGTGAAATCGTAGTTAAATTTGAAGGAAGAAAAATGTAGCATAGCATTAAATAATTTTTATTTTGAGTTATAAAAAAGTTGTGAATAACATTAATATCGATCATAACGTCAGCACATAAGAACATGCATCAATAGGACTGACAGAATAAGCAGCAATAAGATTCCTGAGTTGCTGAGCAGATATGCGCAGGTCGGTGTCGGAGAAGGAGTAAGGGATGTTCCAGCCCAGCGGACCAAAGAGCCGTCGTTCTTGAACCACGGCATGGAAGAAGCACAGGGAGAACACCAGGCGTCGAAAGTCGGAATCTGTTCCGCTTCCACTGAAGAATTCTTGGTCACAGAGCGGGTCGGACAGGTAAAGCCTGCCAAGAACAAACAAATGGTGGTTTCATACTGTCGCCATACATTGTTTTTCTGGTCGTTCTTTGATAATACACAAGTTTCGTCTTTGGCAGTACACAATTCACAAGTTAATGGGAACAGAACAATTTTCTTCAAAAATTTCTGTAACAGTGGTAATCAGGAGTTCTACGTCAATTCTTCACGGGAAGAGCGTCTGTTTCTTAACCATTCGATTTCCGAATTAGTTTATCCCGCAAGAAATAATGGAAAACCGATTAAGTCATTCTGAGCATGCAATTTCTATAGATACAACATCTTTCTTGGAAATTGCTTTCAAGTGAGCATTAGGATGAAAAATAGACAAATAAGAACAGAAAAATGATATAATAATATAAAAGGATAATAATAAACGAATGAAGTGCGCTCATGCAAAAAAATCCCATTTGCGGTGGATAAACGAAATAGATCGGACGTTGTTTATAAAATTCATGTTAGTTGCGTTGCAATTGCGTAGCATTGCAGTGTTTTTAGATAGTCATAATTAATTTTCAAGTTTATTGATTCGTTTATGATCAATTTCTTTCTGCGCATACTTTCTGAGGACTTGGTTGTTCACCAAGCGCCTCACGTCTAGACGAAAAAGTGATCAACTCCGAATCTTCAGGAAACTATTATAGACGAGAGGTGATAGGAATAGCAAAACTACATTCAGATTTCCGGAGCATCAATGAATAGGAAACCACCTCTTAAGGTTGGCCTTAAGTCCCTCCGGAGGCTCAGTGACCATTTTGATCCCGTTCTGCAGCACCGACACCGGGAAATGGGCAGCTGGATAACTCGTGAGCCACAACCGAAAGTCCGGATGCGTTGTTTCTGGGTTTAGATCGTCGCACAACTGCAGAATTTAATAATTCGTAAAATATATTTCACTTTTAGTAACGCAAACACAAAAGTATTGTTTAGACTACTATTGTGAAATGAATTACACCCAATTCTCATGTCAATGTTCAAGGGAAAACATACCTGAATAAATATCGTAAGATAGGAACAATAAGTATAAAAAATTTGGTAGATGAGCGTACTTTTTCGAGTGCGGGCATGAAGGACTTGGCGAGGTGACAGTTCTGCAGCAGCACCCACGTGCCGAGCCTCACGCCCTCTTCTATGAGGCGAGCAGCGAAGGGGCCTTGGCCCTGTCCAAGGGAAACTCCTTGTAGACGCTCGCCCCCCATACCCTGGTGAACAGTTTGTATTGCACAGTAAAATAAACGAGTGGTCACTCTGGCAAACGATTACTGAGATTTTTTCTATCGTAAAATAACTGAACTTTCCAACAGAATTAACTAGACACAATAGCATTTTTTAACCCTGATTTCCTTTCCCCCGATTCCAAGTTTTTCGACTCCGGTAATTCAACAAGTCATCTTCATGTTTAGGTCGATTTATAACATATCTTCATCCTTTAGATATTTCCTGTTGACATTACGCACACATGCAGAATGAATCACTCGGCGACACGCATCAGCAATGTAGAAGTTTCTGAGTTCTGTCAAATGTCAACAATTTTTACTTTCTCTACATCGTACTTAGATGACAACATTGCGATACAAACTTCTCATTTTACTTGGTATAACAATGAGGTAAAGTAGCGGAATTTAAAAGGAATCTACGGTTTTACATTAATTTACATAACCAAATGAGTGAACTTGCATACACGATTTTCTACCTGGTCTTCTGCAAACTTGAGGATAAGGCTGGTGGGGTCGGCGCCTGGGGTGAGCAGGAAGATGAGGGGAATGGTGCAGCTGGAGTCCACGAAGGCTCGGCCGAGGTCGAAAGGTGGGGGCTCGATGTACGTCTTGCCGAGTACATCTGTTGAACGTTTTTTTCAAATGCTGGTGCTATATTAAATGTTTGAAATAAAGGTAATTTTTTATCCGTTTGAAGCTTGAAATGTTGACTATGTTCTTCGTAAAATGAGGTAGAATGTTCTTGTTAGTACAGACATGTTACGTAAATCTTACTCTCAATTATAGAGCAATCGGCATTGCTCGATTCAAGAATTTCATTGAATCATTATAAAATTGTGATATGGTGAGATTATCCAATATAAAATACTTAAAAAAACTTAAAAAAACACGTTTTTCTTGTGGACTAAATAGTAGAAAATAAATTATGGCTCGCCCCAAAAAACGTGTGTCGGGCAGATCTATGATTAAAGCGAAAAGCACACAACACACTCTGGTGGGGTCGGCGCCTGGGGTGAGCAGGAAGATGAGGGGAATGGTGCAGCTGGAGTCCACGAAGGCTCGGCCGAGGTCGAAAGGTGGGGGCTCAATGTACGTCTTGCCTAGCACATCTGTTGAACGTTGTTTTTACATATGCTTGTGCTATAATAAATGCTTTAAATAAAAGTAATTTTATATACGTTTGAAGCTAGAAATGTTGACTGTATTCTTCGTAAAATGAGGTAGAATATTCTTGTTAGTACAGACATGTTACATAAATCTAACTCTCAATTATAGAGCAATCGGCATTGTGTTAGAAATTTCCACATTCCTTAGGATCTAAATTTGTTCTTTTTCTCCATGCCTATCGTTAGGCATGGGTGTGTAAATAGCAGAGTTGGCTGAAAGACTTGTTGATGGAAACATCCGTTTAATTTTGATCCGTAGGAGTGTATTAAGCCATTCCTTCCTATTTTCTGTATTTAAGTTTGAGTGATCACTCTTTGTTTTTCGTTTTGTTTATTTACGTTGATAATGCATGTTCGCGCTTTCTGTGATTAGGAAAGGGCGGACTCCAGTGCTAACTTTGGGCTTGGCCTATTTATGTGGCTCGACCACCTTAACTTTGAGCTTCGGCTTTTTACTGTAATAACTTTGATATTTGTTCGCAACCTATTGGGAAAGCTTGGTGCTTTCCTAAGCTTAAATTACTTGTTTATTTTGGAGTCTGCCCTCTCTTTCTTCTACTTTCATTATTTCCCTTTACATGGCCTCACAAGCCTCTTAAAGTTACAGCTTAACCGCTTGGTGGCTAAAGATTTTAAGGTGGGTCCGAGGCTGATATAGTGACATATTGCGTCTTATTTATGCTCATAAAACTTATGATTTGATTACCTATTATCTAACAGCTATTTATTCCTTTCATTTGATAGAATAACTGCGTATCCGGTGGAAAACAACCTTCGTTCTATCTTTTTTTGAGGACTTTCAGCGAGACTGTTTGCTATAGAAAGAACCTTCAGTATGTCATGGTGTGTAAAACGTGTAAAGATTTTCTTCTATGAATGTATTTGATTGAAAGTTATTGCAATATTGGAATACTACTACTGGAATGCAGAATTGTTAAATTTATGAGATATTTCTTGCTTCAACAGTTATGTTGGGCCGGGTTTATTCGTCGGCATAACGGCGATAAACTGTAATGGAACCGCTGCCAAGCGTAATTTTTCGTGACTTGGTTCAATCCTAGATTTTTGTGAATACGTCTGCTTTCTCAAGATTTGGACCAGTCATCTCTGAAATAAAAGTTCCTTTTGTTTACTGTTTTTTGTATCAAGCCTAACAATTGCTCGATTCAAGAATTTCATTGAATCATTATAAAACTGTGATATGGTGAGATTATCTGCTACAAGAAGCATCACTTCCAAAGCGGCTTATCAATATGTCTACAAGCTCTTAGTAAAAGCAATCTTATGCGTTTGACTACAAATACCGTCTCACCAGCGACATAGTCGAGTACGGTGGCTACCATCTTGTCTCACCAGCGACATAGTCGAGTACAGTGGCTACCATCTTGTCTCACCAGCAACATAGTCGAGTACGGTGGCTACCATCTTAACGCCTCACCAGCAACATAGTCGAGTACGGTGGCTACCATCTTGTCTCACCAGCAACATAGTCGAGTACGGTGGCTACCATCTTGTCGGGGCGCAGCGTGCGCAGGACGCACAGCTTCTGCAGGCGTGTTAGGTGCGCTTCGGGGGGCTCAGGTAACGCTTCCCTGTGGGGAGTGGACGATTCTCCCACCACCCGCCAGGCTTCCTCGTTCGAGGGGAAATCTTCGACTACGTTCTATAGGTGTTCATGTGAAAGGGATTGAAAAACTAAGTAAAACGCGGTGTGAAAATTTTAAAATTAATCGGACAAAAGTTATCTTGAATTTCCTATATAATAATATTTGCTTGCATTTATTTCCTTTACCCATTATGTAATGTCATTCATGTCGGCTACAATGTAGAGAAAAATTTTGCGATTCCATTCCTTTGGGGGGAGAAAAATTCGACAAATCCAGAACTACGTAGGAATTCTGATCAATTTTCATTTTATTTCTGGGACGCTCATTGTTATTTTCATCGTAGCTAGTTCGTATTGATCTTTTCTGCTAAGATAGTTTAAATTTTATATTTAAGATCCCGTTTCAAATAAACCAGGATAGCTCCAGTTTTAGTTCAGCAGTACCTCATTAATATTTATTACTTATTAAAGCGTAGATTCTCGTGCTCAATGAGCAACGACCTGCTGTTAGTTGGATTTGTTTCTTGCTGGTATAGGCTAAATCGTACTAACCTTGAAGGCAGGTAGTGTGGCCAGCGACTGGAACTGCTTCCATGCGCTGTTGTGCAGCCACTGTGGGGCAGGGTTGGGAGCGTCGCCCCCTGTCATGGCGGCGCCCCCCGTCACCAGGAACAGCCACTCCTGCTCACTCACGCGGCCCTTAGCGCGCTCCAGGTTCACGCTCATCAGGAACGAAAAGACGAGCTTGTCCTGCGAGGACGAGGATCATGAGATAGTAACATTTATTATCGGTAAAATTAATTATTATTAATTATGCTGAATTGTGTTAAGATGTGAATACAATTAAAGATCACTATTTAGGTAAAATAACAAATATTTTATACTATGATATAGATTTAAAAGAATTCCATTTTTATTTAAAACATCTTTGGAGTTTGGATTCTCCGATTTCACCAGGAAGAAACGAACACATAACAGATGAATTTTACGTCACGAACAGGTTACAAATAATGGAAATAAGTCGAAATCAACGATATAATTCACTCAGAAACGACCAATTAACTGGAACTCAACGTAATTTCAAACTGCACAGCTAGATCAACTGTAACCTGGACTAAACAAGATCTTTCCCCGTTCTTTACTTGCTACTTTAATCTAGTCTCTTTCTATAACAGAAGCTATAATACCTTCGTGGGCGCTACGCCATATCTTAATCAAGTAATCAAGACTCTCTCCTGCAGCCATCCATGCATGAAGCAACTCGTCTATTCATCTGCTTCATTTTAAAACCCTGGAGAGGCTTTGTGATGAGCGAAGCAAAGTGGCCAAATTTTATAAGCCTCTCATTTGGAGAAATTTTAAGACTTGTTGACTCTACTATTATATATCAATTATTAGACAACAGTAGAAACTAATTTAGAAGAAGATATGAATAAAACTGGCATTCTCTTCCAACAAACATATCATGAAAAAGGGCTCTACGAGAAATAATAACTATGATTAAGAACTTCTTTGTTAGAAGTCGAAGTCCAACTTCGTTTCCAATGATTCTTAACAATTAAATTGCTGAGGTTCAAAATTTAGAATGAACACTTCATAGTGGAGCAAATTCATTAATGTAATTAATTTGTCTTCTTCTTGTCAATGCAGGAAACTACGCATCAACTATGGAGCTGTTGCCGTTTTATTGCATGTTAAGGAGCGCTGGGGAAAGTTCAATTCACCCTAGTATACTGCATCGCTATAACCTAATATCCTACAGTTACGTTTTAAAATGAGAGTTGACCACAGGCACAGGGTTTGCTAGTTGGAAGTCTCGTAATGAGGCAAGCAGGGACTTAATTGTGGCTGTGAGAACTGTAATCATTTTTCCTTAGCTAGATGCAGCGGTGCAGCTTTTTGTTTGTATTTGTGCTGAGAACTTTTAAAATATTTGAGGCGGAAGGTGTCGTTATAAACTTTTAAAATGGACTATTTTGCTTTCGAAACGCGACTATGTTTTAAGAGAATGCGAAACTCCTCGACCAGGCAACGGACAGCATAACTTTCTTGTCTTCACACAGCCGGAGGCAAGTGAGCGAAGTTTGTGCCTCGAGCTGCCAGCACGACTTTTACGACAAGTTTCAGCTTCCGAAGATGCATAGAACGTTTATAGCCAGAAAAATGAGCATGTAGAAACCAACCGACTCAGCTTCAACGCTGTTTCTTTTGAAGGCTTCTCTTGCTACGCTCTTGACTTGATATGGGGAACAATATCATGCATGCAGCTTTAAATTATGACATCAAGCGAATTAATACGACAAGCCGTTACGTTTTCAAACCAGTTAAGATGTTACTATGCATTCGCCAGTGGTTCTAGATTTTTAAAAGACAGACAATAACAAGGGTTCACAAATCTCTAATTGGTGGATGGCGCTGTTAATTGGATGTCGGAACGGTTACGTTTTTAACCCGGGTTGGATTGATTCTATAAGCAGAGCGAATTATAAGAATAGCAGTGTGAAAACATGAAAACAAGGTGGCATTGCTTGGGTGTAACGAGGCAGGTTTTGTGAATTTAGGGGTTAAAATGTCTACCTATATAGCTACGCCAAAGTTCAGGTATGAGCGTAGAAGTGAGAATACGTCTTAAAAATTAATTAGTCAAGTAGAATATCGATACATAAAATTATCCACTCAAGTACAGTTATTGAGTATCTATAAATTTTTACCAAAAATCTATGCTTAAAAGTGTTAAGGAGTAAGGGATTATTTGTTCGTCCTATGAATTTCACAGGGTTAAGTTCAAAGTTTTTTAAACGAACGAAGTTAAGCAGAGGTAATGATTGAAGGGCAAAATTTTCAAGACCAATATTAAATCTAAACATTAATGAGTCAAATCCAGGGCACTCACTTTTTCAAAGAGTCCCATGCAGACGCAGCGGTAAAGACTGAGGGTGAAGTGGGTTGTGAGGGCCAGCAGTCTCCCCTCCAAGTGCGAGGAACGCTCCGAGTTGTCGATGGAGTTAGAGAAGAGGTTGACGAACCAAGACAGCGCGAATTGGTACATTGGGTCCAGGGTTGACAGGTCGCGTAGGGTGAAGAATAGGATTGACGCGTGCTCCGCGATGCTGCGGTATCCTTGTCGGGTTACGTTGATCTTAGGAGTAACAAATTTTTTATTTTATATTTAGTTAGGATTATAAATTGTAAGCTGCCTGTGCTATGATATATCCGTCGGGTCTTATACAAATAAGACGAATTCAGATATTGTTTCATAGTTCAAAGCTTTCTTAATGTAGAAAAATCGAAACTTATGTTGAGTAAACATCAATTAAAAGTCATGACTAAATAATAATAGGATTAAAACTACAGTAGATATGAACTGTCTTAGATGAAGTATATGGAGAACAGTATTGGGATCCTATATTGTACGTAGATAAAAATTTTGATATTTTCAATCTGATACGTTCAAAAGAGAAAACTTATTAAGGATTCAGGAAGCATAATGTAATTGTATCAGGTTGTATAGACTCCGATTATAAAGTATTCATTTAACGAAAATTGTTGAAGTAAAAATTAAAATTTTTTCATACTAAACTATTCTGATTATTTTGTTTATAGCAAATTGTTTGTTTGATTCATAATTATTAGGTTCATATTTTGAAGAATGTTAACTCAGGAGTTTTATGGTGTTCTGCGCCTATACTGCGTAGGGGCTAGCGACATTAATTGTTTTGAAAAAGCACAGAGCATCGAGAAAGATGACAAATGGCACCGGAAAAGTGACGAAGTAGCGTCCTAGAACAGACTCAAGGCGTAAATTCTAAGATATAAAAATGGGTGGGTGGGGGGTGGCACTGGAGGACCTGTGTAATATTACGTCAAGTTTGTTGAACTAAGAAGAACGGAGAATGGACCCGATTGTTTACACTGAGACAAAAACCACTGCCAAAGATTGGGTCTCAGTCGAGTTTCTTGAGAGATTTAAACAATTTTGAATAAACAATAGAAGAGCAATTGGACTCAAGATTTTCTGCTGATCAACACGGGTATTGAAGGAGAAGTTTTGAGAAAGCAATGGCTCTTTTACCAGCCCTGTTTTTCTTTGCCTTCGGCCTCTGTAGTGAAAATACAAGGTCTGTTAATGATCAAATGTAGATCACTCATCTTCATATCTCCAATTCATAAAACTTGATAACTTACTCCGTGACTTTCAGCTGTGCCTTCAGCCGTGCTGAATATTCGGTTTTTCTAGCCAACGCAACGTGCAGCTATAGACTTTATATTGAGGTCAGTACGTGTTAGTGATTCCCTGCTACAATACATCCCAACAGAAGATTTTAAATCGATTATTCTGCAAAAAAAATTCGGATTGCGCCTATCTCGCGATCCTAACAGGAATTATTTGGTCGAACCAAACCGTTCGCTGTCTCCAACTATCATGAAGTCAGCACCCATGATATGCACTCCAACTATCAGCACTCCAACTATAAGTCAGCACTCCAATTATCATGAAGTCAGCACCCATGAACACAAAACTCTGTTAAGTCACTGTAAACACAACCTTGTTTTTTGGGCTCACCTTCTTCTCTGTTTCGTCGGCGACGGCTTGCTTGTCTTGCGTCTCAGTGACGAGGCGCTTTGCGTCACTCAGGACGATGATGGTCACTCAATACAATTTAACGTATTCCAAATTCGGAGATGGGGTTTCAATGGAGGTCGTTCTTAAAAATCCTCAATGAGTTTATTTGCAATTTTCCTCACTTTTGTTTTGCAATTAAGAGTTGATCTAAATACATGACTTTGGGGATTATCACATTCCAGTTTTCATACACCCTTTGCAGCGTTGGTGGATACAATTCGTTTCATTTAGAGCAGCGTTGATTTAATATGAAAATTCAAACACACTGTTATCATTTATACAGATGAAGATCCCTAAAAAACTAAAAAATTATTCCAAACTTGTATGATATGATGAGAGAAAAAGAATTATAAAGAGTCTACACGATTTCCAGACGCCTTGGCTTTTAGCTTCTTTACTTGTTTCTCGGCTCTATTTTCAAACTTTGTTCATATAACTTCTCTTATCGTAAAAATTAATAAATTTTCAAAATGAATTCTTTCAATCTTTTGTTTGCAGTATTTTCTTTCATTCATTATCCATTTAGGCCATAGAATGTGTTATTATAGTTTAAATATTAAATGGTTTTGTTGCTAAATGGGTATGGGCACGTACATAATGCATTATAAATAATGGTCTGTACAACAGTTAAGAAATAATCCCGTATAAACCATTAGGAACAGCAGACGGACTTTTTATTGGCTGCCGTCTGAAGCATGAGTGTGACCCTCTCCTCCTCGAGCTCAGGCTTCTCATGCGCGACGACGAGGGCCAGAAGTTGGTCCTCCAGCCCCGCGGCCGTGAGGGCGAAATTGACGAGGGTAACCTTCACCGAGACCTCAGGTACATAGTTCGGGTTGCTCAGCTTCGTGGTCAGGTACATCCTGCATTTGAGGGAAGGATGAGGGAAGGGTGAGTGAAGGGCGAGGGAAGGGTGAGGGAAGGGTGAGGGAAGGGTGAGGGAAGGGTGAGGGAAGGGTGAGCGAAGGGTGAGGGAAGGATGAGGAAAGGTGAGGACCGCTGACAGGTTTAGGAAGAGGTTACGAGCTAGGGTGAAATCATGGGACGAGGTCAGATGTAGGGATTCGTAAGTGGTGTTGGGCTAGGTTAATTCAATTTGTTCATATGAGGTCACACGACGAGGTCAAGTGTGAGTATGGAGAACAAGGCTGAGATAATTATAGGTGAGCGCATCACAATAACGTCAGGGAATGGGCATAGATTAAAGTTTCTATAATTCCTGGTTAATATCGGTTTAGCCACGAATTTAATCTAGGCCCCAGTTTTAGGGTGACGTTGTATTTTCCCTACTGTCTATTTAGTCACATCCTAACCAGTCTACTCCATGGATGTTTACGCCCTGGCACAGAGGCGACTGTAACAGCTGCTGACCAAGTACGTCGCATCCTAACAGATAATTGACGATGAAAAACGTAATTAAAATTTTTTTCCATCGAATCATTCTGTAATTAACCCTGTTTTAACGTTATTTGCTGGAGATAATTAATTCAACGTACCCTGACTGGCTAGCCTGACGCCGTCATCTCATACGTTACACTAACATATGCTCTATAGAATTCCTTTTTTATTCTCTCACTCATTAGGTCTAATTCAACCTAATCTTGAGCTCGAACTCAAGTTGAGTAGAGCACGCATGCGTATGTTTACAATACGCGTAAAATTATATAAACTTCAACCATTCAAATCCAGAGCAAGAATTTTGAAGTGAAGTAGGGAACAACTTCGTATGCTAAGCAAATTTATAATATTATTCGTCCAAAAATAATTTGAATGTTAGAGGCTTATTATCGCAAGAGGCTTAGCAACACGCAAGAAAAAGTTCAAAGCTCTTCTAAATTGAAATTAATCCCATTAGTTATTTGTTCTGCAAATATTCTGACCGGAATTCAGGCGAGTATTCAATGGTGGCGTCGCCGAGCTTGATGCACGTGGAGCCGCTCTGCTTGAACGTCTGCTTCAGCAGCAGCGGCTCGAGGATGGGATCCAGCTCCTCGCCTACGTTCTCGAGTAGCACCTTCGAGCATATAAGTGTCAGGATTGATGAATGTGCTTCAGAGTTATTCGTCTGTGAGCATAACTTATTAAATCTTTATATATGTAACAGTGTTATATATATGTATATATAAAACAGTATATATTCTGAAGACGTTTTACTGCTTAATATGCAAATCAAATTTAAATAATATTATCACTCTACCACCGTATGTCACTCTCCGGGAACATAACTTTCAAATTAAATTATGCGTAAACTATTGAGTGCAGCAATCTGAGGACGTCTGTACGCAACAGAAAACATATTAAAGTTGCCGTACGTGGCGGAAACCATCAGTAGAAGTCATTTTGCGCTCACTAGAATGTATCCTTTTTGGGAAGCAGACTTGTGACAATATTGCTCCGGTTACTCGTGTCGTATCAGGCGGTAGAGGGTTAACACATAAATAATAAGCACAAATAGATTATATCAACTCTTTTAAGACGAAACTTTTACTTCTACTTTTAAGCTGTAAAATGCTGATAACGATTATGTATTATGGGACTTGAAATATTAATAAGGTCAGAGGCGATCTCACTGGCTGCCCGAACTGGACGCAGTTCTCGAGTGTCCTGATGAAGTCAGGGTCTGACAGCTTCAGCACTTGAAGGCTGTTGTCCTTCTCCATGTTTCTGATCCATTTGTTGGCTTGGCCTTGCGGGTCAATGAGAAGCGGCCACCGTGTTGTGTTGCTGTGAGTTTGTATGGTTATTTTTGGTGTTTAAAAGGTTCGACATTGAGAATTTCGTATTTGTAATTATTTGATTATTAGTATTTGATCAATTTGAATATTATTGTATTTTTGTTATATTTGGAAGACTTTGTAGGTTGAATTTTCAGAATTACGAATTTTCGACCATAATCAGTTTCGTTAATAGAATTTTTTGACAACTCAATAAATAGTGACAAAATTTTTCTTCTTATTCCCATTAACTGTTATGATTAGGGAAGTAAATAAAGAAATTACGCAAAAATGGAAAAAGATTCCGCGCTGCCTTGAACAAACGTGTCTTGTGGAGCTCACCTGATGATAACGCCGTTATCGATGCTGAACGCGTCGGTCGGCAGGCCGTTGAGAGTCCAGTCCCTTATGGTGAGCGGGTCGCCCAGGATCTGGCCAATACAAGAGAACATTTGGTGAAGTTCAACCATAGAAAACGATTGAATTGAAAACAATTCATGTATTTGATTTCCTTCGATTGAGAGGCAAATGAGGGAAAAATTGAGTGTCTTTAAAAAATTTATTTAACGCAAGGTTTGAAATAGTCATTAAATTACAGCTACGATCTGAACGTTTTCTAATGTACCGCAAAAAAAAGACAATAAGATATACTGTCATTTGAAACGCTAATTAGCTATCGCTTCTTCGCGTGCGAAAAATGCGTTATTAAGGCAAAAAAGATGCAAAATTATAGCTTCATCAAATATTTTCGTTAATGTTGGAATTTAATTAATGACCTCGAAAAGAGGCATTGAATCGCCCAGAGATCAACTGAAAGATACAAGTTATAATGCAATCTAATGAGGAAATTCATTTCTATGAAAATCTAACAACTTCATTTCCTGAAAAATAAACTTGAAATTAGCATCTCTGAAGGTCATTTTCCTTTGTTCAATGCAGTGCTATTGAGACTGACGGAGGCAAGGTCGAAGGTGGAGGAGCAAGGCACTTGACGGCTCCTGCAGGCGGTGACCCAAGAGGCGGTCTGGCAGGTGCGGAACTCGGGGGTGAAGGCACCTAGGTAGGCGATGCTGCCGGAAGCCAGCAACACATCCCCTGGGCGACGCAGTGTTAGAAAGTTATAGGCAAGATAACCCGAAAGTTTATCCCGTTGGGTGTGAATACGAAGTGCGGAAATAAACGATGAGACCCTATCACGTTTTATGGAAGTAAATACTTTTTGAAAGAAATAAGTTCTTGGTCGGAGTTGCGATGCATGAAAAGCCGAAAATTAACTGCAAAAAAAAATAATAATTAAAATTTTGCAACTAATTGATGAACGCTGAAGAGAATTTATGAGGGGTGACAATTTGCTGTTAGAATTTGATTCAAATTCGATCTCCAAATAACAATATTACATATAGAAATCACTGTTTCGCATAGATTTTAATGCCAGATCACCAGTGAGTTTGATGTAGATCTCCGCGAGTTGACGAGCGTTTTCCGTCCAGCGACTCCTCTCTCCTCCGAGAGCCGACAGCAGCTGTTCCGCGCGCTCTTTCTTGATATTGCACAACTCCACCTACGGAAATAGAGAACAGGCCTGGAAGTACATCTATTTTCGGAATGACGTTACGATGTAAACCAGAACAATATTTTGGACATGATATATTTCACTGATAGTCTACTTCATGACAAGGAACATTGCCGTATAAAGCTATAATATTCCCGGCCGAATATAATACCGAAATGCCAACAAAGTTGTCCAACCTGCTTTCTCTAGCAGAGAAACATGAAACATTAGTGTACCAAAAACATGCAAAAAGAGCACATAACACAATCGTAAGTTACAACACGTCATGCTTCACTGACTGTCTGCTCGAGCTCCGTCTTCTCCTTCTTGACGGTGTCGAGCTCGGCCTGCAGTCCAGCCAGCTCCTCCTGCACTCCTCGCAGAGCTTCCTGCTTCTTGCGCAGCTCTGCCATGAGGCTCTGGTAGTCCTTGTCTGCCTTGCGCAGCGCCTCTCGCTTGGGTGCGACTTTGCGGTCCACTTCTTCGAAGCGCTCCATAGCAAGAACCCACTTGCACAGACCTACAGTCCGCAAAATGTGAGGTTAATATGGCGGCAATTAACGTTGATTAATGCATATAGCGGCCAGTCACTCTTAGAAATACACTTGATGTTACCAGGTAGACATTGATACCGCTCACTGATATTGTGCAAGAGAACGGACATAGAATTTTACATTTTAAAATTAAGAATGATGAAAAAATGTATAGATTGAAAATGTTGTCTAGGGCTTGAGCAAATTAAAAGTCAATTTGAGCAAATTAAAAGTCAATTCTTGCTACATGATGATTTTCAAAATATATTCACTGCTGCAGACGTCACTGCCGGATAAGTAAGTAATATTGCTATTGCTATTGATTTTGATATATCGTCCATTATAGATCCATGCCATTTAAATGCCATCGATACGTTTCTTCAGTAATTACAGGAATATAATTCAAGCTTAAACAATAGAATAAATACAATATCAACTATATTATTTATAGCTCACTTTCAGATGCCTTGGAAGCGACTTTAATTTTTTCTGGCTTGAACTCGTCGTTGTCTCGGTACTTAGAACGGATCACTTGGATAGCTTTCGGCGAAATGTTTTCCTTGTCGAAATTTAGTAAATTTTCCTGGCAGAAAAAGGCATGATATTAATATTTCATTGGGATTAAATTTCCTGTTCAATTAACTTCTACTACGTAGACAATTTTCAATTCATCGATTTACACTCACTAATCAGATGGGATATTTTTTAACCCATGAATTTTTCGTTTCAACATCCTTGTCCAATAAAATGACAATTCGATGTGCAGATTACAAAGCTCGAATAACGTTGTATCTGAAAATTATTTGAAAATTCAAAAATCTTTTCAACATAACTGTTCGTATTTTTAGCGAATGGAAAATAATAACCTTGAACTTGATATCTCCGAGCAGCCTCTTGCTGACAGACCAGTAGTCCTCCACCATCTTGCCTGTACCCAGTGGATCAGGGATGCGATCAGGCTTTTCTCCCTGCAATCACATATATTAAATATGCAATTAAATATTCAGCGAACATTTTGCGTAAACTTTCGTCGATAATAAAAATATTCAACGTACCAGCAAGACACAAATGGCTTCCATGACGAGCTTAACGCCTGAGGGAGGATTTTTCATGGCTTTGATGAAGACGATGTCGTCCTGCTTGATGGTGTTGAGGGCAGCCGTGGCATCCTCCAGCAGCGGCAGCGCCAGGTTGAGTTCAGCCTCGCATTCCAGCCTGATGTTGTTGGCCTCTCCGGCCGCTTGGTTGGCAACTTCTTCGTCTTGTCGCACAACACGCTCGACCTTGATGACAGTCAAATGATCAATGATACACAGTTTTAAGACCTTAAATAAATTTAATTCAACTATTAATAATCAATTGCTTTTTCACTTAGTTACACTTAGCGTATGACACAAAGAGCGCACAATACGGATAATATAATGTATATATAATAATATTATCCATATATAATATAAAACAATGTTCATATATTATTATTATTATCCATAATATTGCTTTAAAATATAATGGATAATAAAAATTATTATAATCTTTAAATATCTCTTAAGCTGAAACTACCTCGGCCACTTCCCCACGCCGTTTCTCAACCATGGCCATCTTTTCCTCGACCTCGCGCGTCTTGGTGAGCAGGATGGGCTGCAGGTTGATAAGCTCTTGCTGCATCGCCCCCACCGACGACGCAGCCTCTTCCAGGCGCTCCAGCCCCGTCGTGTAGCGGCTCTCCTGGCACTTCACTTCCCTGAGGGAGCAGGCAAATTTAGGGACGTTGCGGTTTTCTATGAAAGCAATTGCGTGCAGCGGTGTTACACAGGTGGCTTAAAATGCACTGAGATAATCTTCTATGTGCTTTTGTTTTTCTTCTTAAATGGTAAATAAATTTGGGAAGAATTGATTTAAATTAAAGCGCAAATTTCTTGTTGAGGAAAGTGGCGCAAAGGGGAAACACAATTTTATTAGATTATTACTTTCTCATCATACCTGATTAGCCAATTTAACTTTTATTTAATTGTAATAATTATATTTGAAGTACAATAAGAAAAAATTGATATGACATTAAAAATTAAAATATACTCATTTCTAGCTTTAATAAAACCATCGCAGAAATGAAGCGTTTCTATTTCGCAGAGAAATTTTTTCGCAAAAAAAGGACGATGGCTCGCACTCATTTTTATGCACGCTGTGAATGAAAGAGATACCACTCGGTTCCACTCAAATAGAGAAAGTAATTTTGGTAATATTCTTGTTTAAATAAGGTGTCATGAAGGAAATATGATTTACAACGTTGATTTCGTAAGAACAGCTAAATAGTATTAAATTGCCATAGTATTTTATCAGCAGATCAACAATGAATTGGTAGAAAATAATACGAATCGGCTTTTACATGCAGAGACCAAATTGTGAAATTAATAAAAATTCTGAAATTTATTCGACAATTTAGAGTTCACAGAGAATTGCTATAGAACTCACTCTCTTTTTTTCTGCAAGATGACCATGTAGGTGTGCAGGAGTTGCAGGTATGATGTCGGAGTGACGTAGTTGTAGCGGCCCAACTCCTCAAAATATCTGCGAGGGAGTCGTAAAATACGCATAAGCCGTCGTGACAATATTGAGACTCTTTGAAAACGACCTCATATCATTCAATCAACGATACGGCAGCTTAACTACGCAGAATAAAAAATACTACAGCGGTGGATTTTATAACTGTAAAACCCAGATATTATGTTATAAATCTTGAGCAAAAAAAGATGTATGATTTCTATGTTGTCGAGAAGGTCATTTATTAGTTATCTCGATCATAGGATCATAAGTCGTGCCTGATATTTTTCCACGAATTTGCTTCAGGATCAATCTGCCGCTGTGAAAAATGAACTCAACGGAATGAGACAGCATGTTGTGTTTAATATAAACATGCAATAAAAGCAATAAAAGAGCAAAATTTGTGCGAATTTCCAACAGATGTAAGAAGATACCTCTGGGACAGCGTCTGGGTGGAGGTGTGGAAGAGCTGGCAGAGCGCCACGCACCCGTCGCGCGTGTCGTCGGGAAGCTCGACCTCCTTCAGCAGCCGTACTGCCACCGCCTGTAGGGCGTCCTCCGGCCACGGCTGGTCAAAGGTTCAGGTAAATAAGTACGTTTTATAGAAATTCGTGTGTGTTATTCCTTATGACGTAAGGATTTCAGATTATTCCTTATTTATTATTTATATGAAGTGATGCATATACATCAATATTGCCCATACATGCTTCACTTCATTGATATCAAATATAATATAGCTTTCAAACAACTAGGAATGGAAAAAAAGAGTCAAAAACGTTCGCATAAAACAAAAAATATTCTGGTACAATTTTTCATTGGCATGAGTAATGAAACCCAGTCATGAATATGACACGTAAGAAAATTAAAAAAATGTAACTCGTAATTTCGAGTGAAGGCAATACCTGGAACCAGTCGATGGTGCAGCAGGAGAGGAGGGCGGGGAAGCGACGCAGGCGGTTCCTGAAGGTGTCGCCGCAGGGGCTCATGGCGATGACGACGTGCAGCTGCTCGCGTACGCGCTCCACGAACAGCTGCCACAGAGCCGTCGTGCTGCCGTCCGTCTAGCGTGCGTCATTTATACCAGCATTTAGTTGCTTATTTTCGGGAATTCAATCAGATTTATTGATTAAATTCGAGTAAATATTATGAAAGCAATTTAGAACATCGCAAGAATTCGGAATGCTGATTGTTGTATTAATTTCTAATGCTGACGTCAATCTGGATGAATACAAATATTTTTTCAGTGACTATCCATTTCACTATTAATAGAAAGAAAAATATAATTTTTAACATATATAGTAACTTACATCGGATAAACGGAATTAATGATATGTAATTAGTTTGTGGCTCCAGTGAATAACAAAATACATAGAAAATGAATTAATGAAAACTAAATTGATCGACACTAATTCGTCATGTGCTGAAGCTGAGGAATTGAAGCTCCATGGAGCGTCAAGAATAATTTTAGGTTCAAAGCAAGGCGAAGAGTCATTATAAGCAAGAAATCACTCGATCAATATCGCTCATACTGTGATCTACGGAACTCCCAAAAACTCTTTAAACTTAGAATAAAATTATTTCCATAAAAAAATTTTCAGGGTTACGAAAAAATTAAGGGTATGTATCGTTCATACTCATTTGCGTCCTAGACGCAATTTAAACGTAACTAAAAATTTTTTTTAAATTTAAATGCAATTTAAACGCAAAAAAGTGCTCGAATTCCTGTGCGTTGTATCAATTTCGTATCGGTGCAAATTAACTAAATTTCATGATATGAGCACTAGAATGAGCATGGTCACAAGAACACTAGAATGAGATCACTCACTAGAATGAGCATGGTTAGTGCTTTACTCCAAAGAGGCAACTTACCTACAATGATGTCTATTGATTCTCATATACCTCTAGATAAGAATTTTTATCGAATGTACGCTCGGATTACAACTATAGTTTTGACAATTCTTATCTATGCCGCACGGCAATCGTGTACAAATAATCGAATTAAAGATGAATGAACTAAGTTAAAGCAAGAAAGGTGAAATCAAATGAAATTTAAAACACGAATTATTATTTTCCTCCTAATTGCTATTACAGTTCTAATTTATCATTCAGATTAATGTATAAACGAATTCAAACGGTCGGTAATCGTTTCACTAGAAACTTTGAATTTCGAATCTTGGTCGCATTACTTGGTTTTAAACTCAAGCAGTTGAGAACAAATTTACTACGTTATCACCTGCTTGCTTTTGTCTCTCTGTCTGTCGACGTTCCTCATTTTGTCGCAGATTGTGTGCTTCTCATCGGACGGGAAGAGTCCTGGAACTTCTCCGCTGCTCAACAGGCTGCAAACTCCTTCTAAAAATACCTCCTGCTTGATCTGATGGAATTAATATGCACGTTGGACTCATAATAATTCAACAGCAGGAAAGCCTGGCTAAAATGACAGGTATTAAATTTATTAATAATAAATCAGTAGGAGATTAGTTTTTTGGAATGTATCAAGAGCATGAAAATGCGTTGCGGTAAAGCGATTAGACCACGAATACAACATATTTGAAGTACCAAAATGGTTCGCTATATATTCCCCTGTAAACAGCGAGAACTTAGACCTCTGTAATAAGTGAACGTATTATTGACTGGACTATTTAAATTAAAAATCGGTGAACAAGACCCCAATAAGGTGGACATACAGACCTGAGTGTCGCTGAAGAGGAACACCACAGGCTGCTCCCCGAAGCCCGCCTTCTTCACCAGCAGCTTGAGGTCCTCCCGCCACTCGGTGAGGCCGTACGTGCGGCTCATCTCAATCTGTGGGATTTGTGTGCAATCGCAGTCAAGTCTTGGAGGCTGAAGAATGGACTTGACCTTCGCATACTTAACATCTCGAGCATGAAAACTATAGTTATTTGCATAGTTTCTAAAAATTGATTGAGAACTACTCCGATTAAAACACCTCAAGCATTGTCAATAATATTAAGTTTATTAGCAGTAATTACAGTGCGTATTTGAGAATCAGTGTATCCAGGAATTTCAGGGGTTACTGTTGTTATTGTTGCTGTAATTAATAATTATTACAGTTGCTCTAATTATTAAGCGACCTCGACGAGTTCGTAGTCAGCGATGTGAGCAGCGAGACGCGTCAGAGAGTGGCGGCCGCTGCCGCCGACGCCCGCAAGCAGCGCGTGGCCGCGACTCTGGCGCAGCACGCGACTTACGCGCCCCAGGTGCTCCAGGGCAAACCTTTGGGGAGGTCGGACAGATATTGGGGCAGGAGGAGGAAGAGAATATGGGGCCAAGATTGGGGGACATGGTGGGGTTGAAATTTGGGTAGGAGCAGGGGAATATGGGGCCAAGGATGGGGGACAGGGTCGGGCAGACATTGAGGCAGGAGTCTGGGAAAAGGGGCAAGGGGTGGGGACAGGGTTGAGCAGATATTGGACTGGGGAGGGGACCTTGAGGTAAGGAAAAGAGACATGGAGGCGGGAGGGTAATTCTGGAAATGCTTCACTCTATATTTATGCTGTAAGAGGCAATTCAGAAGTGTATTCTCTGCTGTTGGTTTATCTTTTCCCATTCAAAAAATCATCCCACTTTATGTGAATGCACTTTCTTCCGATGCACAATAGAAGTATAATTTTTTCAACATAATTTCATTTTAATCTAATCGAAATTCCTGATAGTAACTGTGTATCATTCTGTACATTTGCCGAGATAATTTAATCCAGATTGTCAGAAAACTCAGAAGACTAACCAAATGAAGTCTCTCTAAATACAGTGGTCACAAAAATCATACTAAATAAGTTAGATAATGTCCTAAATAAAATATTTGCATTCTGAAGGAAAACTTGAACGAGGATCATATAAATACAGTAAAGGCAGCCGGGAAAAGTTTGCATGACAAACAAAGAAGAAAGCATTACGAGAATTGCGTGCTCGCAAGTTCATGATATAAGAAAGATTTGTAGTCTTTGGCCCGAGGTTACAAAGTGTGCTAAAGTTAGTAAAAATATTCCGGTCGTTTATTGGAGGATATGAATTTATGAAGGTTGTCTTATCGTGCATGGTCAGAAAATAGAAGACCCTGCAATATTTTTAATTGTTTAAAAAAAGACCCAATTTTAAATCGGGTTGCACATTTGCTCTAGATTCAAAGCTTAGTTTTGCGAGGTCATGCCAAACCTCTCTTTCATTCTTCGTCCGTCACTTGTTGAGTCGATAACCAAGATAGGACCAGGAATAAACTATTGTGAGCGTTTTAGCTATCGTGATTGAAGATTTGAATGCATCTACAAATGTCCGTTGGAATCATTTGAAAAGATTACTTTTTTCATGAATATTGCTGAATCTTGGTATACAGAGAAGAAAGAACTCCAGCATACTGTAAGCGCGTATTCAATTATTATTTTAGAAATAAAAGTTGCGCTTGGAAGTCTTCAATATTCCACAACAACTCATATGGGGAAATGATTAACTTCAACTATTCATAAATAGTTTTTTTTCTGGCCATAATCGAGGAATCAATTTGATGAAAGCGAAAAATTTTCTTTTATGATATCTAGTGATTGAGATTATCGCAGCTATCGTCACTCATGCAACGTAATGTAAATTTGACTAACAGTCTGATTTGTTCTTCGCGAACAGAAATATCAAGTGCCAATTCATGGACTAAGTAATTATTCATATCTGTAAAGGATAATAAAGTTAACAAGGATGCAAAGGTAAAAAAAACATATATAAGAGACGCTTACTTGAACATGACGAGGCTCATGGGCTTCTTGCTCATGTTGTTGAATTCTGAAAGGTAGCCCTCGACGACGCCTCTCAGCGCCTCCAGATCTGTTACCTAAATTAAATAAGTTTATTTCACAGTTAAACTCATGACATAAAAGACAACCTTCATTACTAACACAAATTGCAATATTTCAGTTAGTTTGCGCGTCTTTATTTCTATTCAGTGTGAATTTAGTCGTCGTATAAGAAGATGAAATAATTATGTCTTCTCCGAGTGATTTCCATTTTAAAATTGTTACTATAGAGTATTTCAAGGCTCTGAGACTATATATTGAATTAAATTTGACTTCAGCCTCTTTTTTCGGCAAAATTAAATAAGTACATGATATTAGTTACATTGTTTATAACACTAAATACATGTTCATATAAATCTGGAAGATAATCGGTTAAAATTTAATTGATGACATTCAGAACAAATTTATTTTAATAATTTCAGGAAAGAACGTTGTTTCTTATATGAAATTGCTCCTACCCAATTAACAACTCCATAATTACCTATGTATTTGATAAATTTGCGGTAGCTACAACTTCGTAAAGTTATTATCTCTTGGATATATTGTAATTTATCAGGTCTTGAAGTCTCACAAAAAATATTTGTTAGCTTGAACGAAGACTTACAGGAACGTACTGCCGCGTCTCGCACTTGGGATCAGCAAAATCGCAGTAAAGCAAACTCCTCATGTCGTCTTCCGAGACCTGCGTAAAAATGCAAAATATCATTTGCATGCGGTCCTCAACATTTGTAGGCGAGAATTAAAATTTAGCCACTCAACTGATATTGCACGGAGTCACGGCTCCATCGTCATTCTGACCGACGTGTTGCAAGAACTCACGATTCCGTCGTCTTTCTGACCGATGTGTTGCAAGAACTCACGATTCCGTCGTCTTTCTGGCCGATGTGTTGCATGGACTCACGATTCCGTCGTCATTCTGATCGAGGTGTTGCAAGGACTCACGATTCCGTCGTCATTCTGACCGATGTGTTGCATGGACTCACGATTCCGTCGTCATTCTGATCGAGGTGTTGCATGGACTCACGATTCCGTCGTCATTCTGATCGAGGTGTTGCAAGGACTCACGATTCCGTCGTCAATGACTCACGATTCCGTCTGACCGATGAGTTGCAAGGACTCACGATTCCATCGTTATTCTGATCGAGGTGTTGCAGGAGCTGATGGAAGTCCTGATGGAGGTGCTCTGAGCAAACGGTAGCCACAGTGCCCAGCAGCCACTGACGGTCAGTGGAGTCCACGAGGCGGTCGCAGAAGACGCGCGTCACCTCGTGTACCCAGAGGGTCTTCATGCACGACACTTCTTCCATCGTCTCCGGAACTGACAGCAACACGCCCTGCATGCAATAACTTTTAACTGTGTCATAGCTTAAGTTATAATCATTCATTAATATAAGTAAACTGAAGGGAAAACATTGAATTGACGTTCATCTATTTGATAAGAACCCTATCAGGGATAATATTCATCCTGAATAATGAAAAGCGAGATTTCTCCACTAAAAATATCGATTGAAAAAGTGAAATTACCAAAACTAGCAAGTTTTTTACGTACACTTTTAATCTTGAATAATAATTACTGCCAAATTGATCGAAAACATCCTTGGAACTGTAGAAATAAAATAAAAAATTATGTATAGGAGGATATTTGCCTGTATGACGCGGTAGTAGTCTCGCAGGTTGAAGATATAGTGCGACCGTGAAGGCGTTGGAAGAAGATGGGCAGCGGCAGCACGGTACACGGCCAGGGTCCCTGATACCATTTCCTCGATGCACGGGTCGAACATTTTGCTGAACCCGCGAGTGTCCAGGTGCCACAACAGGATCTTGGTAGAAGAGTTTTGATATAACCTATAGTGCCGGAAATGGCTATACGACCACCCAGTTTTCTCCAAATATTTTTTCTTGCACAAAAAAACTATGGGAAATAATTATACGAGGTTAAACTACGTTTAAAAACGGTTCCAACGCTATGCGAAAAAAATAATTTTCTCAAAATATATGAGAACAAATTATGAAAATTAGAAAAACCTAGGTGGAAATGGTTAAAAGACCAGCTGGATACGTTTTTCTCCATTTTGGTATCTTTCTGTAATAATTTCACTTTAAAAAGTACTGCAATATAAAGAATATCTTGATTTTCCTCATTTAGGGCCTTTCTGGTGTACTTCTGGTGTAGTTCAGTGTCCCCACGTATATTTTTTCAAAGCAAAAAATATACCAAATGGGACAAGACTCACTGAGGCCGAGAAGGCGCAGATTTTCGGTTTTGTGAAATGCAGTAGAAGCCAACGGGACATCGCAATGGGAATAAAACGCTCAAAACCCATTGCACAATAATTTTTTGCTAATCCGGACGGCTACGGGTGAAAAAAGCACACTGGACAAACCCCAAAATTAACCGACAGGGATCTTAGGAGACTGTTTTCTGAGGCTTCTTAAACTTGCGCTACCTAGCTCTACCTCTATAAAATTGGCCACTGGAGTTGATGTGACAGCACGACGCATCCGTTAGACATTGCATGACTCGAAGAAATTCAAATACATGACGAGGGAAAATGACCCTGTGCTCCAATAAATGCATATTATCAACCGACAAAAATTTGCTTATTGGTAAAGGGATGGCACAAGATTATCTTCAGTGATGTAAAAAGTTCAATCTTTATGGTCCAGATAGATTGCAATGCTGTTGGCACCACTGGACCGTGGTGCGGCATTTTTTTCAAGCGGCAATCTTGTGGTGGTTCGGTCATGTTTTGGAAGGCGTTTAGCCGAAAGGGAAAATCAACTCTAGCTATTTTACATGGGAGACAAGATTCCAAGGCTTACAAGAACACGCTTTTTTACCAACTTCTCCCTTTTGCCGATGATAAACATGAGGGATCATATGTTTTCCAACAAGACAATGCTTCGATTCACATCTCAAAATCACAAACATATGGTTCCTAGAGCAGAATATTACTCTGTTTGCCGTGGCCGGTGCTTAGTCCTGACCTCAAACCCATTGAAAACTTATGGGGCATCATGGCGAGGGATGTTTACCAAAATGAGCGCCAGTTCCTATCTGTGAGTGACCTGAGCACGGCTATCCTTCGTTCTTGGGACAAAATTTCTCAAAAGACACTGGATTATATTGTAAATAGCAAGGGGAGAAGATTCATTGAGGTAATTATGACGAAAGGAGGTGAGATTGCCTATTAAAATGAGTGTGTGTGATCCACAAACGGAAAAACATATTTTGGCCTTATAACCATTTCCACATAGGTTTTTCTAATTTTCATAATTTCTTCTCATATATTTTGAGAAAATTACTTTTATCGCATAGCGTTGGAACCATTTTTAAACGTAATTTAACCTCGTGTAATTAGAATCTCATAATTTTTTGTGCAAGAAAAAAGATTTGTAGAAAACTGGGTGGTCGTATAGCCATTTCCGGCTCTGTATACAGAATCCGTGTATCTGTAATCATAATTCGCACGTTTCCAAACGGGAAGCATGGAAAATCATGCAAGATTTTATCTTTTAGCTCCCTTACGACTGTAAACAGAACCTCATCTGTCCGGTGTACATTTAAAAAAATAAATCGAGAGTCTCATTTTGACATTTAGGCACATTTGTTATACAAATAATAGAAACTCTAACTTTTTATGATTTCGACAAGATCCACTGGTTTGTTACGCAAAATTTGTGAGATGCCGAACGAAGAAAAGCTGAATTCTATGATATATTTCAAAATTAGTTTTCTTAGTACGAAATTCCAAATCGGAAATTTCATACAGCTACAGTTTATATTACTCAATTTTAATCTGTTTCTCTTAACACTTACAATGCAAAATTAGAACAGGAGAAACCGCTACAAAAAATACTACTTCCATGCCTACACATTTACAATTAAATCTGTCAGCTTTACCTGCTAAGTTATATCATTGATTAGATGTCAGGACAAGGTACAACCTTGGTAAAAATGGTCCTGATGCTGTGGTCACTGAACTCGCTGATGGAGATGACGTTGAAGTGCCGCAGGAGGCGTGGAGGAACACCAAGTTTGGCACTCTCTCGGATAGTCATGGCCGACACCAACTGCAGCACATTTTTACTTTACTCAACTTTGTGCACAGATTAACAACCATGTCTTCTTCGATCCACTTCCATTAGTTAGAAAAGAAAATAGTACAAAATATATCTAAAGACCGTTAGACTAACGTAACCTGAATGTCTTCGAGGTGTAGCGTGTTGACTTCCTTCTTGACGTCGTACCAGGTGGCGTGGTCCAGCATCTGCCGCAGCAACTCAAGTGGAGGGAACGCGCCGTGAGGGTCGGCTTGAGGAAGACTTAAGTCGTCCACAAACATCACGCACTTCTTGCCGATGGGAGGACCAAACACGCCTGAATATATAATTAATAGAAGGCTTTAATTAATATGAAATTTTATATTAATAAAATTAAATGTCTTACTGATACTGGAAAAAGAAAGAAAATAATTATCACTATTGATTAAATAACAAAGTCTATAGCTAATTTGAAACAAATAAATTTTCAAGCAAAAAATTCAATAACATTATAAGCGTCAATGCAGGACAAGAAACTAACTACTTCAATGCATAATGAAATAAACTAAATTTTTGATATGGAAGCACGTAATATGTCCATAATTAACTGTAACAAACCGATAATATTTGCAGACACGCTTTGAGAACATTTTGAGAATCATCGGGACTAGAAATTATTCTTGGAATGACGCAATTATTAATATAAAATGAATGGAAGGGAAGGTCGGATAACTCACTGAATCAAATTTATATCAATATAATTTCTAATAGAAAACGAACTCATAAGATAGGCAAGACGTTACCTTACATTCTCTGGTCAAGAATTGTTGTTATTGTCAGGAAATGAACTAATCAATTGACCAGACGCGACCTTTGAACCTCTTTTCGAGATTTGTTTTTTTTTTATCAGAAAAACAACAAATTAAGGAGATAGACAAGACATGACCTTTCTTCCTCTTATCAAGCGCGGCCATAACGAGCTCCTGTACGTGTGTTGTGGTCGAGTGAGCCGAGAAGCTCAGCTGCAGAGGCTTGTAGGACTCGCTCTTGAGACGCGTCATCAGGAAATCCTGGATGGTGTTAATAAAAAATATATACTAAAAAGTAAATAAGAGTATATGGAGAGCTTTCTGATGACATTCAAAATGTTTACTATAATTATTTCTCCAGCATTGAGTATGTTATGCTTGGAGAAAAGTTTTAGCTCATTTATTGACTGAAATGCTGGAAAATTCGATGCCACGTTTACCGTAGGAAGATGAAACGTTTACCGTACGGAGATATCCTGTATTATTTCAAGATAAAACTTTTCAGCCGATAATTTCACTCATAAATTAATCATTTACTGACAAGCATGATACTTGAGAGCCTAGACTATTCACTGTAAACAAGCAATTGGGCGAAAATTATCACTTACATAAGAGAGGCAGGAAATCCTGAGACACGATGAAAACAAGGGAAACCATCCTACGGCCTTCTAAAAACCTTTTGTGTTTATTAGAGAACGAAATTATTATATGTAAACACGATCAATATCTGTATCACATAACAATGCCCTCACGCGAAAAGAGGAAAACAATGAGGTCTGACGTTGGTTTTGAGGAATTCGGGAACAATTTCTTCGAAAATAACAATCCATTTCTCTTGTAAATTCCATCACATTTTCAATGAGCATGCGTACTGTTTCCGAATATTCCGCTGAGATTTGCGAACGAAGTTTTATCGTACAAATTTCTTGAAGCCACAAATCCATATCACAATATATTCTCAAAATTGTATTTCATCTGTTTGCCAAAACTGAAAATTGCTCAAAAATTCGTAAGCAAAGAAAACGTAAAATAAATCCAAATGTAAATTGAAAACTTTTTCAATAAATTTCTTATTAGGAGCGTCGACACGTCTGTGAATGTCATCTGCCTCAGGTCTTCGGCAAAGTCTTGATCTTTAAGCTCTTAACTTCCTCTTAATTATGGACTGCTGTTCAAGAAGAGGTTCACTCCTCCTTAAGAGAACTAATTATCTCAATTATAAGTTATAAGTGGAGCGCATGTTTGCAGAGTAGTACAAACAACACTGCAATAAAATTTCTAAAACTAAAGGCCAATTTCTCGGAATATCAACTCTGAGTGGCCGAGAAGTACCAGGCCTCTTTCTCCTCCATTTAAATCGCAAAATTCTTAGTGATAGTGTTTTTGTCCTTACAGTTGGCATACCATTATGATGATGAGAGCCTTAAAAGTAGCCTACCATGATGATGACGGCCCTACAAGTGCCTTACCATGATGTAGGCACCCCTCATATGGCAAACCATGATGTAGGCGGCCATGCAAATGGCTTACCATGATGTATGCGCCCCACAGGTAACCTACCATGATGTATGTGGTCTTCCCAGTGGCGGGAGGCCCCACAAGCAGCAGTGGCACGGAGGACTTGGTGACGAGGAGGTCGAGCAGCGCCATGATGCGCACGGTCTCGACGGTGGGCACGAGGATCTGGTGGGGGGCGACGTCGCGGGGGATGGACGAGGCGTTCGCCAGGTCCTCGCTCCACTTCTGCCAGAAGCCGCGGCCCTAGCGGCAATGAAACGCGGTATTTAAAAGTAGCCAATTGCTTGCATTTATTTTCGACACATTTTATTTAGATAATGCAGAAAACATTGCCGTATAATTTCTCTAAGGACTACCAGTTAAGGTTAAACTAATCATGATGAGGTTTAAGTTAACACGCGCTAATAAAAACTTTTCTTTCTAAATTGGAGAGGGAGAGGGCTTTAGCCCCCAAAAATATTAAGCACCCTTAAATAATTTTATGTTACATCTTTTTTAGCTTTTTTCTTTATACAAAAAACGATGAGAAACTAATCATTATGTATGCATAATATAATTTTGTTAATTTGATCATAAAAATGTGATTTTAATTTAAACATGATATATTTTGGAGAACTTAGCCACCTTTGTCCTATAAGTCACGTGACGCTCAGTAAAATATAATAGTATGAAGATGAGCTACTAGTTCTCGTTGGCATTAGGATATCTTGTGAACTAACATAAGATAACTAAGTTTTTAAGCCTTCAGCAGAATTGTATTAATTTATTTTCTCAGTATCATCATTCATGATTGAGCCACACACAAAAACGCTGTACCGTATCGCAAGAATGACGTTTAAATTGGCACAGAATACATTTCTTCCATACGGAACCCTTAAGCCGCACAATGAAAAATGGTTGAGAGTTTGTTACTCCATTTGCCAATTACTGATGGCTTTTCAAGCTTAACCTCTAATTACAGACGAGAAATTGGTCTATACGTGTATTTCGGCCTCTACGTTTACTTGGCTGCTACGTGTACTTCAGCCGTTACGTGTACTTCGGCCGCTACGTGTATTTCAGCCGCTATACGTGTGCTTCGGCCGCTACGTGTACTTCGGCATCTACCTATACATCGGCAGCTACCTGTATTTCAGCCACTATACATGTACTTAGGCCGATAAATGTACTGTTTTTTTATATTCGTGGCTCCTGAAGGGAAATAATTCCTACGCTGGTTCACCTCCTTGACAAATTTGTAGTCGAACACAGAGCCGTCGTCGGGGATGGGGAGCTGGTAGTCGTGCGGAGGTGCGGGCACCGCAGCCAGGCCGTACCTGTCCATCGGGTAGCGTTGAAACAACGTTTAATTAACGGTAATTGAAAGTTGAAACAACGTTTAATTAACGTCGATTGAAAGTTGAAACAACGTTTAATTAACGTTAATTCGTAGAAAAAAAGATATTTAATTCAACACAGATGCAACGTTAGAAGTCTGGGAGGCACAGTGACCTCGTTGTTGGGATACAATGCAAAGTGTTATTGTACTTTATATTATTTTGCGCAGTATTGGTACTATTTTGCTTGTATTAGTGATAATGTGCTAATGTTGTATTACTGCATGTTGTATAGCCTTACTCTAAAGTATTCCCAACTGAATGTTACTTTGAAGAATCGTGAGGATCAGCAACAATTTGCAGTGGTCAAGCCTATTATGATATTGGAAAAGTTTCGTCGAAATTACGATAAAAATTCCGTCATAGATGCCCAAGAAAACCTAAAGATAGTGATGAAAATAAATATTAATTAAGATGAATTATATTATAATTATGAAGTTAGAATGCGTTAAATTCACACAGAGAACGTGGAGAGGAAGCTGCGCACTCCGTAGCTCAATACCCTCAGGTCTGATGGCAACGACATTGCGAGTCGTCGAGCACGAATAAATGGAGTGAAAGCAATTTTATAGTTACGAGAATGATAAAAAATCATCCATAAAAACACCTAATAATGAAGAGGTAGATTTCCGCAACTTTCTGCATCGTATAGCGGTGCGAGGGTCGTCATAGAGAACGGAAAAAAATGCAAGGATAAAAATTCACGGCATTTCAATTGCGGGGATTTTTTTCACACAACTTATTGAGACTTTGTTTAAAGTTGACAAAAAATATGATCAAGGCCTACAGACAGGTAAACAAACGTAGACTGAAAGCACAAAACTGAAACATGGCGCCCATTTCATTGCATTGACATGGTTCCATATACATTTATATGGCTCTATAGCATTGAGAAACTTAAGAAGAAGAAGGCTTAGCCGTATGCTGGAGAGGAGCATATGAAAATACAGAGAAGAAACGTTCTGTTTATATGGAAAAAAATAAACTTGATATCGAAAAAAAATAAACTTGAAGTTAGGAATAAATTGACAATATGGAAATGGAAAAACTGCACAACAAGCTAATAAAATTACAGAAATTATAGAAATGAAATGGCCGGGATTGGACAGTAGAAAATTGTTAATATGAACAAGAAATAACATGGAAATGAGGGAAAAGAGCAACGCGAAACCACTGGATATGAATGCCAATTCATGACGAATTTAATGGCGAAAAGGAGAAACTTGACAATATACGAATGGAGCATCAAGGCACAAAGGAAATAATCATTTCACACAATATATCTAGGGAACACCGCGTCGTCAATGGAGGGGGATCCACACGTCAATACGGGATTCGAAGAACACGTCAACATAAGAAGGAAAAAACACGTAAAAAGAACGAGGGAACAACACGTCAACACAAAAAGAGAACAGCACGTGTCAATACAAAGAGGGATCAACACGTCAACAAAGGAAAGACATAACACGTCATCATAATTAAGGAAGGATCAACAAGTCAACATAGGCATGGAACAACACGTCAACAAACGAAAGATACAACACGTCAACATAATTAGTAAAGGAATAACACGTCAACAAAGGAAAGATATAACACGTCAACATAATTAATAAAGGAACAACACGTCAACACAGGCATGGAACAACACGTCCACAAACGAAAGATATAACACGTCAAAACATCAAGGCAACACGTAGTGCGTCGTTACCACACAGCTCTAGATTGGTTCTTTACTTTCTCGTGGCCTCGTCAGACGGCGGTCCACGGAAGAGCTCCCTGACGAGGACGTCGAACTGCGCTCGGTGGGCCTCGTTGAGCGGCCCGCCGAGCGACCAGATCGCCGAGAACAGGAAGATGCTCTGCCCGCCAGTCAGGCCATTGAAGTTAATGGTAATTGTGGTCAAGGCAAATGTTGTAATCATAAGGGCAGTAATGGCAGGTGATGTCTTGCATAGGACAATGGCAGTTGCACTTCTACAGCTTAAATTTTGAACATATTTTATAATCATATTGAAATAAATTGATGAATTTCTTGCGAGGAGTGACCGAATAAAATTTTTATCTTAAAGTTGTTATGAGTTAAATGCGTTATGAAGATGATATGAGCTTGAATCGTGAATCATAAATTGATGAATTTCAGTTTCTTTAGTGCAATCCTGAAAGAATAAAGATTTCATGGAAAATAAAGTATTTTACAAAATAATTTTAAAAATTACATTTTAAACGCTCCCACGGGGAAGAAGCAAACGTTTCTCCCAACGATTTATGAACGATTACAATTAACTTATGTGAAGTCTTCTAAATCATACATGAAAAAGCGTCTATTCAACATAGCGATAGCTAAACGACAATAAGCAATACACATAATTAGGTCTTTAAAATGCAAACAATGTTGGTGCACGTGTCACCTCGAGGTGTGCCCTGATGTCCGTCTCGGGATGGTGTTTGGTGTACGCGGGATCTTCGAACTCTCCTTTGAAGCAGTCAAAGAGATTCATGAGAGACCGTACCAGATTCAGATCAGTTGTAGGCGAGACGTCCTTCTGGATATAAGATTCACTTCGCTCCAGCTTAAACCAGGGCAGATGTCGTCGCACAAAAGCCAGCAAGGGCGGCACAAAACGGTGGAACAAGGCAGTCAAGACGGCTTTATGCGTACGAGTGAGCGTTTGAGGAAGGTTAGAAAGCCACGACTCCACTAGAGGCTTCCACCCCAACGCCATGGGCTCCATATACACCATGCCGCAGCGGGATACCTAGTTTCAGGAAGCAAAATATGAATGCGATCACAATTAGATTAATGTCAGTTTTTGTGGAGGGAAAGAATGTACAGGCAGGAAAATTATTCATGAATATTTAAAGTTGTAAACGCTTAATTACAAATTGAACGTATTATAGGAAGTTTAATTATTAAATCGTTTTGGCATCATAATTATACGTTATTATATTTTGGCACTTTACATATATTTTTAGCTAATAAAAAATTCTAGACTATGTCCTTGTGAAATAGTTTATGACAAAACGACAAACACTCGTTGCATTTTTCAAACGATTCGTCGACGTATACTTGGGTAAGAAATAAGTTTTCTGTTGTTTATACATGTAAACGACGATTGTAATGATAGAACTATTTTAGTGTAACGTAACTGATATTCGAACAAAACGGAAACGAAAGCGGGAAGCAACATGACGGTGAGAATTATATCGAAAAACGCACCGTTGCTGGTGAGGCGTTCTCTAAGTGGCCGACTTCAAAGACGATGTTGGTTGAGGCAGAGAGGCAGATGATCTCGCCTGACATGAGGCAAAGCTTCTTGTTGTCGTCTAGAACAGAGTTAATGTTCTCAATCCAGACGCTGTCCACTGGACCGTCTAGCACAAGCCATTTTCTGCACTCGAAGAAGTTTGAAGATACATTCGATGAGAAAATGGCGGGCAAACAATAGAAATAGCTTTCAATTAAATGTGTTTGAACAGCTAATACTTTCTGAAGCACAAATCATCAATTTATTATAGATACAAAATGTAATGAAGTAAAATTTTCAGCTCGGGTTCTTCTATGGAAATTAAGAAGATAAGTGACAAATAAGACATGAAGACAGATTACTGATCTTAACCTAAAATTTACAATGAGTGCAGTACTAAAGTTGTGATTGGCTATGAGATCAGGATTCGATGTCATCTTTGGGCACCAATCTTTTTATTATTAGTGTGTAGAAAATTCATGACTGCCGGGTATGGCATAATGTCGATGAATAATGTTCCATTGTGACTTAAATTATCATGTTCAAAGGAATGTTTTATGTTGAACAATAATTATGTTGAAACTATGCCGATACTCCATCCATAAAGATACAGCTATTTTAGACATGAATGAAAATTACTGAATTTCGTGTAAAAAACCACGAGTTATTGAATTTCATGCTACATTCTAATGTTGGGCCGCTGAAAGTCAACAGTAACAGTATACATAATAGCACGCAAAACCATAAACAAAAGAATAATAAAAAAATCTGCAATTAATGAAAGCAAAAACAATTATTTATTTTGATGAGACAAACAATATACCTGTCAGGAGACGCTGACATGGCGTATTTCCTGAAGAGAACTGCGAGGACGCCATCAGTCCACTCGTGCGAGACGGGGTCGAACTGTCCGTACAGCTGCCCCAGCGTCACCGACTTAGGGTTGATCACAGCCATCTGCACCTTCTCTTCTTCCTCGCCCTGACCTCAGTAATAGTGACAAGTTGGAGCTTGTAAATAATCAAAATTCGCAAAAAAATAAACCGAAAAGTAGGACACGTCTTCAAGGGTTCAAAATGGTATTCATGCATATTCACACAGTACATAATGAAGTAGAACTTATCTAATTTAGAGTAAACATAGAAGAAAATATTCATACCTTATATTGCAGTAATAATAAAGCTTACATATTTTTTATCAACTCGCACTCAAAGCAAGTAATGGTTTCTATCAGAAGTGAACTCGGCCATGTTGCACCATGCTTTTTTTCTACAGAAGTCGGCAAATTAAATAAATGACTATAATTTTTTCTATGCTTGGCTATATATTGGAAATTGTCAGTAAAAGTTATTTAAATGAGTCCACGAAAAAAAATGTTTAATTTTCAATATGCATCATTTGCTGTAGAACCGCAAACCCTTTCTTCACTCGTCTTTGCATGTGATTGTTTCCATCACGCTAATCTGCATCTCTCAATGTATGTAGCTCTGTCAATTACCTAGTACGGTAAGCTGAGATACTATAATGAGACTGGTGAACTCGTGCCGAGGTTAATGAAATCGTCTTTATTTATGTCGTGCTAGAGATGTACGTCTCTGGGCACTTTCCCGGCCATATATCATTAGCAGCTTATTAATCAATGCACGATAACACGATTATTCTCTGCCTAAAGCGACAGAGTTGTGATCATTCAGCGAGACTCGATTCGCCCGACCATTCAGCGACAGAGTTGTGGTCCTCACCCGATCATTCAGCGACAGAGTTGCGGTCTCACCCGATCATTCAGCGACAGAGTTGTGGTCCTCACCCGATCATTCAGCGACAGAGTTGCGGTACTCACCCGATCATTCATGGCAGCCAGGGCCCTGGCGAGGACTCGAAGTCCACAGGACTTGCCGCCGATTGGGTTGCCCACGACCATGAAGCCGTGACGGACCTTCATCGTCTCGTAGATTTGCTGGATCTTACCCACGAAATAATCGTTCGTTCGCAAACCCATCTCGGCGCACGACTGAAAAAAAAAAGTTTTGCGACTCGTTGATATCACACACACAATATTACAATATTATTACGCAAACAACAGGAACACTTTATTCAGTTTTTCAATCAATAAATTTGGTTTGGTACCAGCTCGCATGACACTTAGTACAAACATTAACGTGCAACGAAGGATTTTACGGTAGCATGGAATGCTCAAATAAGAACACTTTTTGGGTCGATTGTAAATTTTTTACAACAATAACCTCAATGTCAGTTGGTGATTTTTGATTTACCTTACATATTTGCTCAGAAAATCTGTTATCTTCACTTAAGCTTAGAGCGTTAGACATGAAAACTATATCCACGAACCCTCCCCTATAAACAAAGTAATAGCCAGACAGCTCCTAGTAGTCTCAGTTGCTTCAAATTTTTATCCTCAATATATAATTCAAATGTTAAAACATTTTGCATGTCCAGTAGCGTCAGCATATGAAAAAGTTTAGAATAACTGATGCACAGTTTTCTTGTCTAAGAAGTTTCAAGAATTTATGTTTGATATATACATGGGTTTCAGAGTTGCCAGCGGAAACCCAATTTGGTTGCCACGTCAACGGACCTCTTTGATGGCGAGATGCAAGCCGCTGTAGTCAGGCTCAGGCAGCACCACGTCCCGGAACAAATCTCTGATGATGCCCTGCGTATAGCAGCCAAAGTATTTTATTATTTCCGGCATCTAAGCCACAGTTATGCTCATATAACTACAGGGCACTGCAACCACACAGGGCATGGCGTTGCAGAGCATATTTTCAAACATGAAGAGGGAACCAAGGAATTCTGCGACATTCTATGTTATGTATATTTTGGCAGGATGTCAATAATATTTTACTGATTTTTAGAAGATTCTACAAATATCAGGACTTCAGGATGCCTTGTGATACTGCACATAAAATGGTTGCACATGCAGTCATTTTACAAAAAAAAAACAACTGTTATATTTGGATTTTGCTGAGTTTCAAGAATTATTTATTAGAATTAATAGAATTGCTTTTTAAAAATTTAAATTACCTCAAAAAGTGGCAAGTCGTGGGCTAAGAACTTCGGTTGATTAACATCCTTTATCGACCTGCGATTTAGACAATGGAAGGATCAAGAGGATTTTTAAAAAAATCAAATTTCCTTCTGAGTAAGCAACTTTCCTTAGAAATAATGGAAGGTAAAAATACAAATTAAATTAAAATTAAAGGTAAGGGAAAATTAAGGGAGGGTAAAAATTAAATCAAATTAAAATTTAAGAAAATGTTTGTTCCCAAGTTTGCTAAACATTTTCTATTCGTTTCCTTTGGTCATAACATGAGAAATAGTCTAATAATTTGACATTCATGTTAGCTACTGTGGCAATTCAATTCATTCTAAATTAAACTTTTTGCCATAGTTGATAAATTAACTGAGTATTGTTGATTCTGTTAAAGCAATTACGACAGTATGCAAATTAAAAAGTAGGTTAAACATATGCAATGCAATCAGCTTAAGCAGCAATGCTAACCTTAAGCACATTCATATTACGAGGAATATGCACAAGAAACATAAAAAAAATTAGAAATATAATTTATAATTCCTGCAAACATAAAATGTGTGTTCGGTCTTCAATAGAATATTACTTCATTTCAAGTAAAATTGAAGTATTTTGAAGCATTCGAAATGATGCCGACCTGAGGACGAGAACGGCCTCCTGAGTATCAGGGTAGCGGAGCTTGAGGGAGCCCGCTGCCATCAACACAGCCTTCACCGTGCGCATGCCTGCATACCAATTAGCTCTTCATTTTTTTATCATTCAACGTGAGGCACATTGATAGTTAATTTACATGTTAAAATAACCGGATAAATTAAAAATGTAGGGACATATATAAAAATTAGTAGTAAACAGTTTAGTCAACTAAAGATTCAAGTTACACATTACTACCTCCATGGCTATGAAGGGGGACTGACTGCCTTCACTATGACACAAAGTCGAGAATCGCACTCACTGTACACTCCTGATGTTCATTGAAATGAACTTCAGTGCAGGGGAAAATGAAGAAGGGCATTGATTGAAACATCAATATACATTTATGTTCCCTACAATAAACGAAGTCCTTCATTAAGGAGTAAATCTTGATTTTGTTTGGTCGATGCTGGAAAGAATGCCAGTTGATGTCAGTCCACATAAGATTATAAAACAACATAACTGGATTCTAGAATTTGACGTTTGTTACCTGTGAAATTTTATTCCTCTTTAGTCATTATACGTATTTATTTTATTTCTTCGTTTTTCTCCTTATAAATATATTTATTTTGTGATATTTATTTTTAGTGGCGCTGTGAGGATTTTTACTATAGACGTGGCAAATACCGTAGTCGTAGTGAGGCTGGGCAGAAAGCTGTTCGGAGCAGAGGCGGTACGTGGCAGTGATTTTACGAGCCATCGCGCGGGCGTCGACGAAGCCGAACGCGTACAAGGAAATTTCGGCGATGAGACCGTAATCCGGCACCATCATCGCGACTGAGCGGAACAGCGCCTAGGAGAGAGACTTGCTCTAGAAGTCTAGAAGACACTCAGATGAGATAAAAAAGAATATACTTGCAGGTCAAGCTATATTCTTCCTGAATGGCCAAATGAATGATGAGAATGAATATTTAGGGACAAACAAAATCTGTGATGATTCTTCAATCATGAAATATGAAACAAGATTGATGTCGCACCTTCAAGTTATCAGGAAGTTCAGAGCGTCCCGCGTATCCAGGATTCATGGTAATAAAGATTGCGCACGTTGGGTCTAGTTTTACCTGCAACAGAAAATATAAAGGAATAATAATGTTTTGTTCATATTTTCATAATACTACTTGACATTGGCAAGTATTGGTCGTTGAAAAATTACCCTAAATTTATTTTTTTTAATAAAAAATACGCTAGCCAAAAGAAAATGTAAAAAGTCACCTCCAGTTTTACTAGTATACAAATTACATGAATATAACAAAAGTCTTTGGATTTCAAAACAAAGATTTAAAAACATATGAAATGGAACATAATTGTTCGGCAATTTGCAAAAAAAAAACTTTAAAATCACAATAAATAAGCTACCGAGATGAGTTGTTAGAGCAACTACCTATTCCACTGAGCACCGAATTTGTTAAATACATTTGACGATTTTTTACGCTTGAAAATTCTATGGATATCTTAAAACGGAGCATTATTTGTACCTCAGTGCCGTGCAGAACGAGGGTTGGCATGGCAGATTGGATTGCTCGCTGTAAGCTCAAGATCTGTTGAGCAACTACGGACAGAACCTCGAGTTCAATTCTGTTGAACTCATCAAAGCATGTCCACGCTCCGCAGGAAGCGAGTCCCTGGCAACAGGAACAATCGATATTAAAGTTAATGACTTTTTTTACTACTGCATGATTAATCGGAAACTTCGGTCAATTTAGCTTTAATTACAATCTTAGTTGGTAGATTTAGTAACGTCAATAAGCCGAAAACATCCGAAATTTTAATGAAATAAAATTTATTAACACTCAAGGCAATAAAAACTCATAACTTCACTGACGTCAGCGAAATATTTCTACAAACTGTACTGACTTTGAAGAACTTGGCAAGAGAAATGTAGTCGAGGCCATCGGAGCAGTTGAAGACGACGCACTGTTTCGCCACGGCTTTGGCCAGATCCTTCGATGTCTCAGTTTTACCGGTGCCAGCAGGTCCCTCAGGCGCTCCACCTGCAAAGTACATCTTACATAACACCTATACATGCTTATCATAGATACCTACATATGTACAGCATACATATCACCCAGCTTATTCAGATGAAGCTTCAGTTTATAGACAAATTAACCTTCGTAATAAAACTGCGGCGTATTCTAGTTCAGACATAGCAGTGATTCTTAGAATTTTTGGATCTTCTAACTGAGGATTAAATTGGGAATTGCATTCCCACGTGCCAACAGTAACTTGCCATTTTTCACATAAACTTTATAGAAGCAAGCAGGTTATGCCAGCGATGCTCGGATGGTTTCGAGGAGTAAAAGGAAGCATTCCAAGTCATTACATCAGGATACAGTTGCTCACTGAAGGATCAGCGAATAATTTAGGAAAAACATTCGCAGGATGCATGCATGAATATAGACTAAAAAATATATGCACCTTGCTAATTTAATAGATCCTACTGAACGTTAAAACTGAGATCTGGATTTAGTTTTCTGAAGTACCACAAATGAAGAGCCCCGCAACTAAGACACGATAAAATATGTTATGGGAGAAGAGTGCATACACTCTTTCTTCTTAACCTACTATCCCGAGTATGAATTTTAAACTATATCCCCAAGTTATGGATGTCAATAAGATATCATCTAAACATATTTTCGGTACTCTGCAAGGAAAAAATTAATAAGAAATTCAGGCGGGAGGAATTAAAGAACCTCGTTTACAGAGCAACACCTGCTAATAGAGTTACAGCCTTAACGAAGAACGGAGGTTTTCCAATTTCATAAAAAAAAATCCTGCGAAATTGGGTAGACAGCGACCAAGACGAGACAGCGACTGAACCTCATATTTGGGTGCAAAAATACAATACAGATTAAAAGAAGTATTAAAAATGTAAAATAAATTTTAGTTCATCGTCATCCTCAACAGCTTATTCAAATTTTTAAAATGACGTTAGGATATAATTGAGGCCTTCTTGCAAAGCCACAGAGGAGAATAATTTCTTAGATTTTCATAAATCTCCCAAGCCTACATTTTGAATTTCTTTGAATGTACAAATTACTGTCACGGCAAAAAAATGAAATTATTATTGTGAAGCTATTCATGTATGGCACAATAAAAAAATATGTTAATTATCGAGATTAACAGACTCGTACTATTGATGGTCGAGCTTTTTCACACTCGCAGCGAGTACAAGTTCATAAGTTAAGAAGGGTCTCGCTACGCATTAAGATCAAGGTATAGGTATTTTATATGTGCGTTCGTATCCAAAACTAAGTTTGTAAACAGTACTCAGGTAATCTAGTTGATATGAAAGTTAAGTACGCGCCTGTTAGTCTAATATCCAAAGCTACAATCATCATATAACAATTCACAGTTTTTCTTTTAAAGTCTCAAATTATTAGCTTGAAGTTTACTACCTGAAGTTAACAACAGGAAATTCAGTGCGTTTAAATCATTCGACTGACCGAGATGCAGGTTTAGTGCTTGTGTAAGCGTCCGGTAGCACCTGTCGGTGAGAGCTGTGATGACCAGACGTCCTGTGTTGCCGAGATATTCGTAGCCGTACGCCAGCTCAGCGTTGATCATACGCACTTTCAACATTTCATCCTGCGAGCAAATGTTACAATTGAGGGATCGCACGCTAATATTCATATATTACAGTTGAAATGTTGTTAATTTTGCCTAAAAATAAAATATACTTCATTTGTTCATTACGAATTTTAGATTTTGCGTGTTAAAAAAAATATATTCGTGAAGATTTTCGAAGACTAATAAAAATAAACTCTTTATTTAGAGCGTGTCATAACGGTATATAAGCATTAAGCTCTATATCAAGCTTGCGGCATCTTCCATCCGTCTGTCTTTAGGTTTTTTTCTGTAAAAATATTTGTTCATTTTACTTCAACCTATCGTCAAACCTGCCAGTCCAACAATATGAATCGCCTAAACAAATATAGCCATGTGCAGCCCATGTTTATAATACGAACTATGTGAGATTCAATCCATAAGGTGAACATTTACGCTACTCCGTGCTTGAGTCTCGCTCTACCTGAAGTCCCTGAAATCATTGGGGAAAAAGTTTCAACAGATTCCTTTTGCAGGAGCGAGATGTGTAAAGTCCTTTAGACTACATGCGGGATAGCTGTTTTTAGAATTTTTTAACGTTTTGTTCCATCTCGTCACGATTTTCAGTTACAGAAATGATTGTTTGCCAAGAAGTCATAATTTTTGTAGTATCACAAGAAAATTAAAAAAATTGTGCCGGGTTGAAATCACGAAGAGAGTGTCGCCCCTTATAAATTAGTTACAAAAAACTCTGTGAAGCCCATTTTTGCAGCTGTGACATGGCAAAAAAATGACAAAAATAACTAAAATTTAGACGAAATTGGTAAAAATCGCACAGTGGACCTTCGTATGAAGGATATACCTTATCTGGCCCTTGCTTATTTTGTTTTCATGTCATTGCGACACGTTCTGAATGACTTTAGAGCTAGTCAGCGTACCTAGCAATATCTAAAACACGGATTAATGGGTGGGGGGTTTCATTCCAAAACTCGACGTAAGTTTATCTATATAAATTTCCACCATCATTACCTAATGTTTAAATGGCTGATTTCAAAAATCTGAAATTTTAACGGCCACTGCGCAGGCGTAAAATTAACCTACTCGTCAAGTTTACTGGCTAATAATTATTAATTATGCTGTAATATTTACAGAAAGTAATTTAGCTAATTCAGAAACGTCTGAACCAACACATTTGAAATGGATGCAGTTTCTGCGCAAGCTTAAAATAACCTTATTTGATCCGTGTTCAATTGGGGGCAATTATCGCCCATTTGCACTATTTACAAACTACTTGATCCATATAGCAGAAATGATAACAGGCACAGCGCAGGTACGAAATTATCATTTTTATCGACTTAAATTGAGATCCGAGTAAATTTGAAGCAGGTATCGGTTATGGCCCACTTTTTTAACCGCTTTACTCACATGCCCTGAAATTTAACATTTCTGAAGGCGTAAAATTAATTTATTTCTCAAGCTTGTTGGAAATTCAACTACATTTGGAGGAGTTGTCGGTACAGACTTTTTTCATTACACACTTTTCAACTCATTACACACTTTTTTCCTCATAACTTTTGGAGAAATTGTTTTAGCAGTTTGAGATTTCATAAAAAGTAAGTCTTTTATTTTTTGCACATGCACAATAATTTTTAGGGCAGTATTGCAAGCTGTTTTAACAAGGAAGTAGAATTATGCAAAATTGAAAGAACCAACGTTTTCGCAAAATCAACCCATTTTGTTACCAAAAACAAAATATTCTCTGATTCCTTTATTTGTTTAAAAATCATTATACCTATAGTATTTTTTTTATTACAAGCCTTCCTCAAGTACGTTAAAAAGAATCTATGTTAAGATCTTAGTATAGTTTAGGAGCCAAAATATCGTCAGGTTTTAAGACATAAGTCTTAGGACTTTGCTCCCTTTATTTCATTGCAGCCCTCCTTCATTTCATAGACTTGACTTTGTGTTTATAGTAATGATTTATTTTTTTCGAATCTTCTTCCGCACTCCTGATCGCTTAAACAAAAAATAACATCTATAATGAAGATATAGACTCCTAAAGCCGAATGGATTCATATATCATAGATAAATTTTCTAGACTAACGTGTTTTAGCGCATTCTCTCATATACGGAAAAAAATGCACTATTGATCTCGCCATGTCCGTCCGTTCGTACGTCCATCTGTCTGTCCGTCTGTGACTTAGCGTTTTCGTCGACGAGAAAATGCGCTCTCTGTCACTCACTGCAGTGAGTACTGAGTTATATTTTTTCATATCCCACTTTGATGAACTACAGTTCGCGAATCAGATAAAGACTAAAGCTGAAAATGATGTTAGACTAACACTTCAGGTAGGACTAATATAAAATATTTTAAAAATCTCTGTTGAGCTTATCAATGCAGCAATGATGTGGTTAAAATGGCAAAGAAACTGAAATTAAGACGAAAATGCTTTAAATCGCACTGTGAACCTTCTAATGACGGATATATCTGGCGGTCGCTTATTTTGTTGTCATGTCATTTTGATATGTCCTGAATTGCTGTAGAGCAGATCAGCCTAAATGATTACAGTCGCAGCGCAAGTGTGAAATTATCATATTTTCGATTTTGATTGAGATCTAGGTAAATTTGCATCAGTTATCGGTTAATCGCCAAATCTTAGAATCCCAGTACTGACATAACTGGAATTTTAACATTTTCTGTGCAAGACTGCAGGAGTAAATATATTTTTCGAGTTTAGTGGAGATCCAAGTTCATTTGCGGGAGTGGTCGTTAATAGTGTAATCTCCAAATAATTTTCCCCCATAATTTTTCTAGAAATAGACTAAGCACTTTGTGTTTCATGTCAAAACGTGAGTCTTCTACTAATGCATATTTCTAATAATTTTCACGTTTGTATTGCTAGCTGTTTTAACAAGGAAAGAAAAGTAGGGAAATTGAGAGAGCCTGCGTATTCGCAAAAAAAACCCATTTGATTAAAAAAATTGAATTCATTATATGTTAAAAACATATCTAGAGTATATTAATTATTACTTATTTTTGTATTACCAGTCGTTGTTATATGTGTTAAGAGGGTCCTTATTAATATCGTAATTTAATTTAGGAGCCAAAATATTATCAGATAACACGACAGAAGTCTAAGGACTTTGCTCCCTTTATTTTATTGCAACCCTCCTTCATTTCCTAGACTTGACTTGTGCTTTTAGTTATGAAGTATTTTTTCATACTCGGTTTATCGTTGTCGACCCAACCAAGATTTTTCTTCAACCGATCCACATAAACATCGGTACGACGAAAAATCCCGTAATGACAAAGGTTCAGTAGGTCGTTGGCTCATATACCTGAAAGAGAAGTTTGGCAATATCTTGTCGGAGGCCAAAATCTAGGCTGATGTCTTTTTTGGACCGCAAATCCGACATATAATGAAGGACGAGACTTTTCTGACACCTCTAAACGCGAAAGTATTGGTAGCGTGGAGGAGCTTGAAACCTGTGACGGTCACGATCATAGGGCACGATCTCGCGGACAAATATAAAGAAATATGAGTAGGGGAGCAGCCTCCGGAGTCTTTGGGTGAATTTGCCCCCAATATATTCCTGATTCCTATACCAGCACCAGAATTTCTTCCCTAGCAACTTAGTGGCTGTCTATAGGACGAAGAAGGCGACTGATTCCCCAAAGATATTTCACTGATGGAGACCCATTGTATACCAAATGTGGCACAACACGAAGATGATGGGTTGCTTCTGCTGGTTCCTGCATCACGAAACTGACACAGAGCGGGACAAACCCAAAATGCTTGAAGCTTTTTTAAAAACGTTCTATTATAAATTTTCTGTAATTTTTATAATTTCGAAGCATTCATAAAAAATAATTTAATTGTTTTAATTTTCATTAAAATCCTGACTTCTAGGCAATAGCTGTGTATTTGTAACTAAAAATCTAAACATATAAAAATAAAAAGGGTATGATTTTTGAAATCAGTAATCAAATTAGTACAAGCACTTCACACATCTTCAGGTATAATTTTTTGTTGTTCGGTGTATTCAAAGCACTCACGCCCAATACATTATTTGGTACATATACTATATGGCACATTTCTACACCATGCTGCAACAAACAAATTCTAGACATTAGGTATGGAATATGCAGTTTCCTGCGTTCTTTGTGCTTTCATTAAGTTCAATTGATGTTCCTGTTACTTGTGCTGGTTATTCAAGTTTACTCATCGAATGTAAAGGTCAGATGAATCGCCAAACTGATTTACCGCCTTTAAACTAACCCCAAAAATGAATTCACTAGGCTACAGCAAATATGAGTTATGGAATTTTGGAGTGACAGCCAATAGTTTCTAAATTAGCTTCTTGGTTAAAATCTCTTATAATTACAGTCGAAACTTCTATAGGCGCTGCAGTAGAAAATCCTCTGACAGCAACAAAGGGCTGTATGAATTTAACAAGAGCATGTCAGCGCAGCCAAAATGAGATTTCCGGTCAAAAATTGGTTTAATTAAACTTGAGATTTTCACTAAACTCAAAAAATATATTCACTCGACCAGTTTAAAAGCGCTGTATCAAAGTTACGAGTATCAGATCAGTTGTTTTGAAATTAGCTTTCCGGTCAATTACTGTGGTAATTCTACAAAATATTTCCCTCCCCCCAATGCACGAAATGCAATCCCCTGACGTAAGAAAAAGTGCTGTATGAAATCCGCTGGTGCCAGTTCAATCGTTTTTAAATATTTCTACTCTCAATAATTGTGGTAATTCGCCTCGAGATTTCATGAAAGTTAGATCACACGTTTCCACATTAGTTTTACTTGCAATAAATGTGGAAATTCAGCTCAAAATTTCCCCTATACCATGAAATCCATCTATGTGTACGGGACGCAATACTATATTTAGGATTCATGGAATTCCTTGTTTTGATTTTAGGTCGCCTCTGGGTTGACCTCGATGAGGAATGTGTTTACTTATATTGTGCTCCGTGATCCCCGGACAAAGGAAGACTCCGAAGTTAGGAAAAAAAGTTTCATTTGTGATACGACTTTTGTGAACACTTGGTGTAAATTCTTATATTTATAGCTTGTTCATTATTATGGTTTTAATTTATCATTTATATCCATTCTTCAATTCAATTCAATTAGTCTAAAATATGGTGGACAGTAAAGTCTCTGATTTAAAATTTATTTATTGAATGGGCCCTAAAAACTGTAACACGGGAAAAATTCTGTATGAATTTCTTCACGAGTGTCAGTTTACACGTTTCTGAATGCTTTTTATTAACGATTACATTTTTTGAATCAACTCTAAATTTTCGCCAAAACCATGGAATTCATTCACTTGACAGCGGAAACAATTCAGTATGAATTCCACGAATGTCAGTTCAGTGATTTAAATTATTTTTACTTCCAATGACTATACTAATTAAACTCAAAAATTTTACCCTAACGATAACATGCATTCAATTGAAACCGTCAAAATATTGTTTCAATTTCATATGTGTGAGTTCAGTCGTTCCTGAATTTCACGATTCTCTCAGTAACTGTGGTAATTCAACTTGAAAATTTTCCTTAATCAAAAAATGCATTCACTCGAAAACGGCAAAAAGCTGCTTGAATTTCAGTAGTATCGGTTCAGTCGCATTTGAATTCATTTTAGTTCCAATAGCTGTGATGATTCAACTGAAAATCTCTCCTAACCCAATGAGTTAACTTGACAACAGCAAAAATGAAATTCAGGCGTGTAGCTCCTGTTCAGACCAAAAACTGTTAGGGCGACGTAAACGGTTCGATCGAAACGGTCTCCTATCTTCATTTACTTTTAATCAAGCTAACACAGCTGCAAAAAAAATCGAAATTTATTATTAACTATTATGCAGTCTTTTTCGGGTGATAATGTTGCTCTTCTTACTAGTGACGCCAAGCCAACTTGAAAACACCCCACGTGTTTATCGGGAAAAGAAGATAAAACGATTAAAATTTCTCGTTACTCGAAATTATTTATTCAATATAAATTAAAATAAAAATAAAACTTGAAAAAATGTTAAATACCAGCTATCTATAGACAATTAACGTAATTTTAATCCTGAACTTCGTTTTTGAAAATTTATTTCTGACCCCCATGTTAAAAAATTTGAGTTAAATGCTAATGTACGCACCTCATGGCCTCGGACACCTGCGTGGTCCAGTAGGTCTGGGAGACGCAGAGGATGGCTTGGCCGGGCCACTGGAGAGCCCAGCGCTCGCGGTCCTTGCCTGGGTACGCCTCCAGACAACTCTGAACCACCTGCTCCAGGGTACAATGGTAGCTCTAATTTCTGGGAGTTTTTTACCTTTTTGACTCTCAGCAAAAGCGCACATTTATATAAAAATATAATAAATATGCCATAATTATTTTTCATGAAAGGAGTTTCGTTGAAAAAATAGCTTACCATATATACAACAAATTGACCAGTTTTCAGTTCTATTTTTATGTAATAGTTTATGTCATTCAATATTGTCAAAGTTTATTTGTTATTTTGTTTCTTGGCTCGCCGGTCGATTTCTACGTTAAAGTGAGAAAGTCTTATCACTTTATTATTTTTTTTCATTCTTTCGAACTTTCATCGAGATATTTGTATTTTCTGAGCTAAATTCCGTAGTAAAATTTGGGATCACCTTGAAATAAATCTAATATAACATAGCAAAATAAAAATTGAATAGAGTTGTACTTCAATGCACGTTAAAGTGTTACCTATTTATACTATTGCTAGTCAAACAACCTGAATGTATAATAGAAATATCAAGCATTTGTAATCGCGTAGTTAAACTTATTTTCTTGAAAAACGATGAAATGCTACCATGAATGTCTTCAAATTCATGTTTTTAAAGTTTTCACTTAGTGTGAGTTTAATTTTAGGTTTATTTGTATATACACATAGATTCTCTGACCATCTTGATGCTCTCCTTGACGCTCGTCTCGAGCTCGACCAGCCACTTCTCGACCTGTCCTCTAGCGCTGGATGTGCTGATAGCCTGGCACAGAGAGATGGCTTCGCCCTCACTTGACTGCACGGCGGTCACGTCAAACTCGCCGTTAAACTCCAGCGAGTTGACGCCTTCAAAACACTTCTTCAGGTGCGGCTGAACCCTGCAAACATACAGACTCTTTTTTTTACATTTTAATTCATTGATGAAAAATATTATTAAAATTTTACCTCGGTCATCGTCAGGAAGAAAATTTAAATTTATTTATCAAAAGGACATATACAATTAATTTTTGCATGAAGTTTGAGTCTCAGTAAATTCTTTTTAATAGTTTTAATAGTTTATTCTTCTTCAAAATTAATAATTAAAATCGCTTGATTGCCATGTATCGCAAATTTACCAGGAATTTGTAATGGATTTTACGATTAAATATTATTGTAAATTCAACGATATCTTTGGCAAAATTTCATTCACTTTTGCTTGAAGTCAGAGTTTCAATAGAAACTGTTGAGGAAAGATTATTCGCTGTGTAATAAAAAGAAAATAAAACTACAACTTTACCCCAACATTAAAAAAACACCACGACATCATTGATAAACAATGCAAAGCGTTAATCGCGAACCTGCTTGGATCTTTAGTTTCGCTGAGAATTTCAAGAAGTTCTTCATTTGAGAGAAAGAAAAATCGCGGGAAGTAGAGTCTCTTTTTTTCAAGGTACTCATTAAGCCCTCTTTGGATGAGTTCCAGCAGTTCAGAAGACTTCCTCAGGCGCTCGAGGATCTTGTCGACCTCCAACACGGCGAGCACTTTGGTGTTGTGGTGCACGCTCTTCATGATGTCCTTCCAGGTCTTGTCTACTGTGTTGAACCTGCGTCATATACCGCGTAAGGATTATCTCTCAGCTGATTATTAACTTCGTTTACGTCCATCATAATTGTTTAACATGAATCAACATTCAATTTGACCATGAAGATTGAAATTATATATTGATATTGATTTTTATTTAAAAGTTTACCTGCGTCCTTCTTCAGGCATTTGCGCCATGATGTCTGGCGAACCGAAAATTGGTTCGAGGTACATCCAGGTCGCCTGCACCCTCAGCCACTCGTCCAGCACCTCCTGCAGCTGCGAAAGCGTCGTCTCCCAAGAACCCTAAATTTCAACAATGAAAATTACAGTTGGGGAAGCAACTGCCGTAGTTAAATTACTTAGCTATATAGATCAGAATTTACTGGAAGAACAAAATAAGAACGAAAACGGATGCGTAAAGTGTAATTAGTCATCAAAAAAACTGTTCAGATAATTTTTAAAACATATACATTTGGTTTAGTTTCATTTCCAGGGCCTTCAGATATAACTATGCGACAACTAAAAGTTTGAACTCACGACTTCGTATTCGATGGGCTTGATGAACGGCGATGACCTCATGGACTGGGTCTTGACGATGTGGTCGTCGAGCAGCAGCTGGATGTCCTCGACAGCCATGAGCACCCACGTGTCCGTGTCACGGTGGGGCTTCAGGCCTAACTCCATGTCTTGCCACATCCCCTGAGACATGAATAAATAAATATATATCATAGGAATACATTGAACATTTACGCATACTAATATTCCTCTAAAATTGTGATAAAACATTTTATAGACTCCCGATACGTTAGAATTTCAAGCCAACTTCACGTCCAAGACCTCTGGGTGCAATTTATAATTATATATAAAATGCAACAACGAACAAAAGTTTGGTAACCGTGCGCAGCTTCACACATAGGCTGCCGATCGCAATAAATAAAAAAAACTAGTAACAAAGATGCCTTACACGGCTGGAAGAAACGAAATCGAGGTTGAAAGAACGTAACCAAACATAAGCTTATAAATCTATCTTGGCACATTCGATTAATCAGAATTTAGCATCTAACACGGCTAACCTTCATCTTCTCCAGGTTGCGTTCAAACACATGCTCCTTGGAAGCCGCCTCAGACACTGTCTCGAATTTTGATAGATATTCCTCTAGATTGCTGTCAATTATGCGCTGAAGAGTCGTGGAGGGGTCGGATCTGTTGATATCATTATGGAATGATGAATTTTATCTAAAAAAAATACAGAGGAACATAACCTACTTGCTTTGGTAATCTTAGGTGAATTATGCATCTTAAAGGGTCGGTAAACAGATCATTCGTTAACATTTTTCGTGTCAGGTGTCATTTTTTCAGCAAAGTACACTATGTAGTTTATTTATGCCGAAATCAATGCCGGTTAAACCAGTCCACGTATACACAACAGAGGAGCAAGAGAAATATCACAAATAATCCTGAACATACAGTATCTCTGGTACAAAAGCTAGCTGGTTACTGCACTTTTTCAGCACAAACTAGCGTTGTACGTAAAGGGACAGTTTTAGCTAGAAGCTCGTGAATTTATAGGTGCAACTTTGAGGATTGCACTTGCATTTCCAAGGATAGCAAGTGATGCGGTATGAGGGAGAGACAAGATTACAAACAAAATTTTCTCGCGCCTGTCTCTTAACTCTCATGAGCAAATATTGCTGGTCAATGAGACGAGGGTCGAGACAAGTAAGACGACCTCACCGTAGCGGGTAGCCAACAACCTCTGAGATTTTCTCCCAGTGTCGCTCCTTCAGTCCAGGGTTGCCGAGCGTGAGCACTAGTGGCAGGTGCTCACGAAACTGTTCGATGCGCTGACGGACCTATCACGGAAATTCGGTTTATAAATAAAATAATTAAAATCAATCTCAAGCATATATTATACTTAATTTGCTGGAAACACAAATGAACCAATAATTTATAGATAAAGTAAATGAATTGAAAATTTCCTTATTTTCATTGAAAGTGTTCCGTAGACCAGGTCCATCAACGGCATAAAAATGTCAAGGTTATCCGCATAACGTTCTGATTTATGAATCAAAAATCTATTAAAACCAGTTCCAAAACCAGACGCCGTTGTATAAAATTGCTTCTGAACCGAAAGTATATTTTTTCTTTAATATTTTATTGCAGAAAGATTAGGCTGACCGTAAAAATATTGGTTAAATATACGTATATTTAAAGCACACTTAACGGTTAACTAGCATTGGGTGAATTATTATTTCACACTAATGAAGTTTTTACTTAAATTTCAAACGAATTTAAACGTCAATCAGCAGAAGTCACACACCTGGTAATAATATATCTTTTATAACTACTGGAACTACATTGAACCTTGCTGCAAACCATACAATTTGATTTCACCAGTGGCTATAGAGTTTTTTTGCAATTTTTAGAGTTTCACAGGCTTAAGTAAACTGAATCATTTACTCACAGCGACGACGAGAGTTTTAGCGGCTGGCACTTCAGCGAAGACTTTTTCGAGTTTGTAAACGTTGCGCCAGGTGGCTGCTACGTCCTGCGCGATGGCGTCAGGATCGTGAGTGCCCACTTGGGAGTTGAGCCACAACTCCAGCCTCTCCCACCACGACACTCCCGTCTCGTAAAGTTTAAGGAACGGGGAAAGTTTATCCGCCACCTAGGAGAGAGAAAGAAACGCTATAAACTTCAAAGTTAAGTTATCGAAATGAGGGCAAACTTAAAACCTTCTGACAAATAAGCTATAACCTAGGCAAATTTCAAGCTTTCTAGCTTGGAAAGAAATACTTTATCAAGCTTATAGGTTTTCAGGACTTGACGAACAGGAAGGATTAGCGTTCACCTGCTTCCTGAGGGGGTACAAGGTGGTATTCCAGCCGAACGCCTCCTCCTCCCTGTTGATGTGGTCCGTGTACTGAGCGGCATCATCCAACTTGGCCTCGAGGGACTTGGCCTTCTTCTGGTACTCGTGCAGCTCGGCCACGTCACCAAACTCCTGGAACTCCTCCAACAGCCGGGCGTACTCTGCGAGCTCTTCCTGGAAGCGCTCTCTGCGCTCCTAGGTTACAAGTTTTCTAGTATTTAGCACGATATCGTCACACATTTTACAGATATAGATCGCACCAGAAATAACCAGTAGCAAGTAACCTTCAAATGATTTGAGTTGGACTTGAACTGCATAAAACGGTATAGTCAATAGCAAAATGCAAAATATGCATTTTCATAAAGAATTTCTGATTTATCGCATACCTTTAGATGAGCTTCATATTCTGTTCTCTTCTCAGTGATGATTTGGAGATGCAGACGGAAGACCTCGGGAAGCCTGATGAAGCACACTAAGGGCCTGATAGACTCTTCGCACTCTTCTGAGCTCAAGGACATGTTTTCTGTGAGGAACTGTGACAGAAGTTGTAAGGGAATCTAACAACACAATTTGTTGACCTATCCTGTTCACTTATCACTCACTAATAAAACTAAAGAGCTGCTAATTAATATACCTTCATGGAGATGTGTATGGTAATAGCTCAAAATGATATTTTCAGCAAAAGATTTCACATTAAATCTGCATTTTCAGAGATTTTCATCAAAGTTCTTATAATTTTTTAATAAATTTGTAGAGTCTCTGATGCAATATAATGTGTATAATACCTTAACAACTACTTTTAGGCGTAAGGATGCGAAAATTAGTTTCTTCGGTTATTGAAACTATCAGGCAATTTGGTTGCTGGAACAAATTTTCGACCCTTTTCTTTAGATGCAAGTTATATATGCCTAAAAAATATAGCACGTGGTCAACCGCTGTAATACCTGGAGCTGCTTATGGAGACTCCAGACCCTGTGCTCCAGCACGGCCCTCTGGTTCTCCATGACATCCTCCATGTAGAGTTTGTGCGACATCAGCTCCAGAGTGTCCCCCGGCGTGCTCAGGGCGCGCTCGGTGATGCTTTGAAGCTCGCAGTTCAAACTATCGTAATTCAAACAATAATTTCAGTAACTACTTGTAAATTAATATTCATGAATTTATGATTTATGATGCATGTATTTCGCAATTGTGGCCAATGTTTCCTTCGTTTAGCTATTGCATTAATTATTAGCACTTTAAAATTACCTCAAATCACTGTCGATGTCCAGGCAGTACACCATTTCATTTTAAGTTCTCAGGAATAATTTAATCTTAGAAATGATTTTTCAAGTATAACTGAATTCTTTATAATTAAATAATTATAATTATTCCTTATGGTGTAGCAAATATTTTCTCTCATATATAACATGGACGAAATAAATAGTTTAAAAATTGCAACAAAATTTGTGGACCTATTGGCCGTTTGCGAGTGTCGGGAGTACAAGTGCGCCAGCAGGTCACGCTTCAGACTCGCTACCCTACACACGAGCGAGTCGATGAGTCCCTCGCAGTGTACGGTGTAGCAGCCCAACTCCACTACCTGTCTTAAAATAATGAGAGGCTGACAAATAAACGTGAACAGAATCAGCCGGGAATTTCAAATCAATATTCACATAGTTACTTTCATGCCAATCTAAGTTTAATTTGTCGTATCTGCTTATAAGAAAGAATTCAAACCTCTTCTTCCGATATATCGTGAATTACTCAGAAAACTTTATCCGTAAGTAAAACTCACATGCTTATTGTAATGTACTACGTTGACATTGGCCATGTATGCAAAAAGTTGAGCCTCCCTTATCACATTTACCTTCTAAATGTTATTCGTACTGCCACTGCACTTGCCTTCCTGGAGCTGGTGAGGATATCGACTTTGAGGTCGGAGAGCTGCGCTACTTTTTTCGTGTAGCTGTCGAAGTCAGTGTCCTCAGACTTGAATCTCGTCACTTCCTCTTCAGCCTTGGCAACATCATTAAGGAAATTTATTAATGCAATGTTGAACTATTAATAATAAATTTAGATGACATTCATTAATTATTTATGCACTGTTTGTGCGAAATACCCACCGACTTACCTCACCAGTGATGATGGTCTTGTATTTATCAAAGTGTAGAGCGAAGCGTCGAGGCAGGACACTACTGGCACGCACCTCCTTCTGCACCTGAGCTCGCAGCCTCTCCACCACGCTCTCGTGAACTATTGGCTGCAAAAGAGTACTTGGATAAATCTGCACCAATATCGCTTTTTTATAACCCGTATTTTAAATTAACAATCGACGTAATGTGAAAAATATAATTTTATGATTCAACTAGAACCTGATGAAGGCTTGAGCTTTGACTAACCTGCATTTTGCCGTCTACTCCGTCCCATTCAGCAAAAAGTTGGCATTCGAGGCGCGGCAGAGAACTGCACATCGCCAAGATTTTGTGGAACACGCCTAGCATTTCTTCCTCAATCTCTTCGAAACTTGGGCGAAACTCAATCTGAAACCAATCGCAGACTTTTCATTCCCATATGGCAAGCAAATTTTTTCAGTATAAAATCATAATTTGATGAACAAGAAAAAATGCATTCACTGGCTTAATAAAAATAGCTGTTAGATTATGAGGTAATGTTGTATTACGTCATCCCAAGTAAGCTTTTCAGGCACTCGCGAACTTAAATCTACGTACTTCTATCGATAATGCGTGTCACATACGGAATCAAATTAACAATTCTTCTAATTCTTCCTCCTTGTGATTACGATTCTGCGATTCTTGAAATAGTTTTTAAGAGTTAGTTTGATCATGATCAGCGAACAGTAGTTTACTTAAGTGATCATCAGTAGTCATGTGTTGTCGATAGATTCCAGAATAATTTCAGAATATTTTCGATGAATCTACAAGCCAAGTTCTGTTGAATAATCGTGATGTCGTAAATTATTCCGGCATTCAAGTGCTGGATCCATTATCAACACCATATCTTAACTACACTTGGCATGAGTATAGAGTATACGATCAAATTGCAAGAGCATACGGTTTTCCCTCTGACTACTTGGATCTGCGCGACAACTTTAGATTTATACGCATGGCTCCCACCTCCTTCTCGTTCAAAATGAGATTCAGTTTAAGCCGTAGAGGCTTGTTGGGATTCTGACACATCGCAGACGTCGGGCCGCACTCCTCTTCTTTTTCAAAGATGTCATTCATGGTATCCTTGTCTCTTAAGTCACTGTGACAATCTCCTTCGATTGCTTCCGGTAATTCTGAAATTGGAAGTATTCTTTCATAAGTTACAGAGTTTATCAAAAATTTAATTCTTCGGGCCAAAGTAACATGACAAACTCATTAAAAATCTAAGTCTTAGTAATAACATTTAATTCATCAGTTCCTTCAATTACCCATCGTGCCGTCACATTGTGACTCGAATTTTCACATTTCAAGCTGGATTAAATTCAATTAAAAATGTGTACGCCATATTAAAGTGGGCAATTAAACGCGAGCAACCTTTTGGTTTGGGGCTCCATAGGGCGTCGCATGAACCGTCCCTCAGGTCTGGTTGCTGGCCACATATGGCGGCGGTGAAGCTGGAGAGTGAGAGTACACAGAGGGAGCGCAGGCAGTGAGTCATCACAGTCACCGCGGCTTCGCACACGCAAGACAGGCGAGCTGGTTGAGAAAACCCAGGCATCTTGCCATCGTGGAAACCCTAGAAAAAATTACTTATAATTTTTGAAAGAAGTGGGTGAAGGAGTAGAGGCAACTTCCAATGGCGGAATTGAAAAAATTAATAATTATCGATGTACATATCGAGATGTGAAATAAGTTGATCTAGAAAAATTATTGAATTCGATACCCGTACAATGTTAGAAAATTATAATGACAGTACGAATGGAAACAATTATAATCAGGCTCACTTGATTTACAGCATCTTCAGTGGGTGGTCTTGATAGCAGTAACATGAATTTTTTCAATGTTATGTTTAAATCAACTTTAAACGCGCCATAACGCGCCAGGTACGTAAAAATTATAATACGGTAACTATACATATTGTTAGGGAATTAGAATTTAGTATTTTCATAATTTTATTTTATTTTTTTTTTAATTTTAGTTTTCAGTTTAGAAATGCGGAAGTTAGATTTGTAGGTTTTAGTCCGTCCTAGTCAGTCCCGCATTTGAACCCACAGTTTCAAAGTGAGTTATAACTTGGTTATTTGTTTGTTCCTATGTTTTAAATTTAGTGCTTATTCCGAGATGTTCTTTATTCTGTTATACTCTGTAAAGTTAGATTAGTTTATTCATGAGAAGGTTTGTTCATACTTTGTCTTTTGTTCGTTTATATGTTAGTTCAGGTTATTTATTCTTTGTCCTTTTTTCTTTAGGAGAGTTTTGGAACTACATATTCAAGAGAGTGATTTCTGAAGTGTCTTTTATTGCAAGCCTTTGTTGAGATTTACGTTAAAGTACTATAAATACGGCGGGCCGAAACTGGGTGACCCCAGCAATATAATTAATTGACGTCTTCTGCGGCACTGCAAGATCAGGTGATTTGTTCACAGATTATGATAGTTAGTTTGTCAATAAAATGATTTAAGTTAATTCAAAGACACAGAGAACGACTCAAAATTGAATTGATCCCTGTCGGGTTTTGTAAAATTTACAGTTAAGGAAGTACTTTCTTGATTTAACCGAGAAATTCGTCGTCTACAAATTGCGGGAATGCGTTCGGTAGTTATAATGCTTACGATGTTCAACTGAGAAAAATATTAAAATTTTCCTATGACAGGAATAATTTACTTTTTTTTCACGAGGAATGATAGCAAGATTCACCAGGAATGATAATGCCTTAATTAACTTCTTAACAATAATAAAAGGATTAAAATTACTAACCATAATTTTAAGATCGGAAAGGTGACATTTACCTAGAGTCCTTCCATGGGAATATCATGGTTAGCAGATTAATTTTAAATTGCAGGCAAATTTCTCTAAAATGATCCGTTTAAACATTTAAAACATTGAACCGATATAAGGCAGCTAGGAATCCTTTCTAATAAATTTGATCGAGTGTTTGTGTGTGCAATTTATGAAACTTTACTTTCATCTAAGAATGTACAATGTAGTCAATCATATGATGAGCTTCATAATTTTTTTTAACTTCGAATTAACAAGGGCTCAGCTAATTTGTCGTATCACTTATGTGTCTTCGGTCAAGATGAGTGAATATTGTGCTCTCGGATAAGCTCATATTCTGTCCACAATTAAGATCAACCCAGCCTTGTAGTAGACGAGCTTCTATTGCTCTCGTAAGAATAAACAAGAAGAAGAACTGAACCTTGTAGAAAACGGTCTGTACTTTGGTGAATAATTCTTCCAGCTCTCGTATGAATAAACCAAAAAGAAGAAGAACCAAACCTTGTAGAAAATTGTCAGTACTTTGGTGAACCATTCTTCCAGCTCCCATATGAATAAGCCAAAAAGAAGAAGAACCAAACCTTGTAGAAGATAGTCTGTACTTTGGTGAACCATTCCTCCAGCGTGAGCTGTCCTTCGTGGAACTGAGAAGCGATGGCCGCCACAAACTCTTCCAGCGCTACACTGTCGACGCTTCTGGCTTTCCATCCTGAACTTTTTCGTTTACTTTTAGCAGCGCTGCCAGACCGGCGAATGTTGTCTATCCGCACCAGTCGGAAGTTGCTGTCATAGGTGGAAAATTTAAATGCGTTCATCATTGCACGAAAAGAAGTTATCAATTAGGAAGAAGGGCTAACACTTTTGAATACACGTGAGAACTTTCTGACATACTAAGCGGCACATTCCATAAATTTACTGATGATAAATACAAGCCCTACATTAATTGATTTTTCTAAGCGTTAAAGAAATAAATGACCTACCAATTGAACGGTAATTAGGGAAGAAAAATTCCATACAGTTGTATATACTATTCTGAATACAAATGATAAAATTCGTTTACTAATTTTAAGATTTGAAACAGAAATTAATACTGTGCCATGCTTAGGAAAATTAAATCATGAATTTAGACGTAGAGGTATTTTGGCAAGTGTCCTCTATTTTCACTTCTTATTTTCTTAAGAAGTAAAGTTTCCACTCAGTTGATCGTTAACATGCCAGTCAAACAAGAACGGTTGTAGATGTGAGATAATATATTTCTCAATAGCTTAATCGTGTTATCACATTTGAAGCCAATTCATTTTATAATAAAAACTTCAATTCGCTTTCCAATACCTCCAGGACAGGTTTTTAATTCATAAATTTTCCAGTTTACCATTCAAAGTTCATCTTTTTTAATAGATCTTAACAAATTTTGCTTCTCGTACATAACAGCGTAATGACCTGTGTTAGGAACTACAGAGTTAATTTACAGTATACTTTGTACTCACATATTAACATGAAATAACGTAAATATGTACTAACATATTAACCTGGAAAACAGAAATATGTACTAACATATTAACCTGAAATAACAGAAATATGTACTAACATATTAACCTGAAATAATAGAAATATGTACTAACATATTAACCTGAAATAACAGAAATATGTACTACCATTTAACCTGTACAATATGCCACTGTATTTACCTGTATTCTCGGTGCCAGAGCGACAATGTGCTTGCAATGCACGAGTTTAGAAGGTGCAGGTTTCGTCTGATGAAGGATGAACTTGTCCCAAAACTCACCAGTTTGCAGCGAGAGTTTTTCTTCTATAAGAAAAAATATTGAATATGCATAAACAGAAACACGCATTCCATTTCCTTGAAACTCTTCTTTGATAGCCGAAATATTTAAATACTATGTGTCAGATTATTTTGGTTATAGTTTATCAATTTATTTCTAACAAAAAATACTTATGACTTACTCAAGGCAATTCAATTGAGATTGTTCAGCATTTCTTAGCATTGTTTACTCGGGCAATTCCAATTCACCATGTGATTTATTTATGACTTTATAATACTGAAATATTTCACCTGCTTGTAATCGTCCTCTTTAGTTCGGGGCTTCCCTGAATTGAGGACAAAGTCTACAGCTACACTCCTCATCTTTAGCTCGTACTCCTTCTGCAGCTGCACCAACAACGCGTTGTTCGTCCCACACTTAGCTCTGTTTCAAATGAAAACCTCGTGCGCTTAATTCAGTTGTTCATGTAAAAATCTATATCGCTATATGAATTACGGTAATTTTGCACTTAGCAGAGCTCAGCATTTTATACCAGTAATGAATCTTAAATGTAGCTATCCAAACGGAAAAATTTTCCACTTGAAAAACATAACACAAACTACATGCACGTGAAAAATTTGCCAAATTTTTCTAACCTCAGTCGCTTGGGTACGAGAGATAATATCCGAGATATCCACTGCTGCTGCAGAGGACAAGTTTTCATGGACAAGCCTCGGCTCACAAAGTAATGGTAGCGAATCTCAAGCTTCGCTTTACCTTCCGGAGTTTTTGCTTCGTCTTTGTGGAGGAGATTAACAAGAGCTTTCCGAAACTCTTGCCGTTGTTCCAGTAAGTCTAAGTAACTGGACCGCGCTCGGACCCTTGGTTTGGTGGAGCCTGTCAACAAACGACGTCTCTCTTGTATAATTTTCTTGTGGTCGCTCTTGAGTTTCTTTCGTAAGTTCCTGCATCCTGAAAGAACGCTAGAACTTTCATCTAAAGAAACTTTTTCCTTTGCAGGTTGCTGAGATTTGGTGGGGAGGTCATTGATATCTGGAGCCGTCATCTTGGACGACGATGGCCGCGGTATAGGGCCAACGGTCGTTATGTTTCTAACTGCAGCCTTGGAAGTCCCACTGCTTGGTGACCGAAAGTCAGAGCCAAGCCGGTTTTCTAAAATGAAAGGCGTTCATTCAATTTTGCTTCTCAAATGACCATTGTAATTACAAAACTATGAGACTGGAAAATAAACGAGTAAGTTAAAATATGTACCGGTACGCTAGTATGCATATAAAACTAATGGTAAAAAATTCTATGAAACGGTGTATGTAATTGTATGCTAATTTCATTAGTTCAAGTAAATTCGAAAGAAAAGAAGCATAGAGAGTTCAAATTCAAACGTAAACGTAGTTTACGTTTGAACTCAGTTGCACGAGTCCGGCGAATTTTGTGAAATGTTTAGAATACTTGGACCTGGTTATTCATAACAAAATTAAACTCCTGCGCTAATAAAATAAATTACAAGTCCAATCGATTTAGATTATCGTAGAAAAATATACTCCATCTCACTCAATAATCGGTTGGCATTGACCCTGAGTGGGAGGTGGTCACTGGCGGTGCTCATGCGCAGTTGTGATAGCGTAGCTAAGTTCTGACGGTAGACGCGCTTTTGTCTTGCTTTCTCGTCGAAGCTTTCGTCGAGCACGACGATGTTGGGGCGAAGACGAGGTCGTGCGCCTCCTTTCGTCTCCGACGTCCGCACGTCTGGAAGACGAGTTCCAGCCTCGACATCCAGAGAGTGATGAGATAATTATAAACAATTGATGAATTTTCTTACTAAGCAGATAAATATAGTCTATTGTTAATTTTACTTAACGTTATTAATCATCTAAACGAGAGTTGAACACCCGCTGAACAGTTCAGACGAAGAATATATTATAATGTGGAGACCGGCGTGTTTTTAATAAACATAATGCTATTACAAAATATACATAAGTAATACCTAGCCACAATGAGACGAGATACTCCAATTCGTAATTCAGGCAAGACCAATAAAAACGTCATAAATTTTCATTTTAGATTATTTTACACTCTTTCATTGTTAAATATTTTGCCGTCGGGACCTCCACATTTTTAAAGTGGAGGGTCCAAAAAGCATTTGAATTTTTAACATATTAGTGAATTCAACTAAAAAATTTCCGTTAACTAATAAATAAATATAATTTCCAAATGATTTTTGCCCTAAAGTATTTTTTTACAAAATCTTTTGATGTAAATACTTTCAATAAATTACCTATATTCTTTTCAAAATTAAGTCTAAATTTAACGGCAATTCTTATTACTTATTTATTCTAAAAAAAAGTTTTTTAATTATCGCAGGTTCGCAAATTATTCGTGCTCTGCAAAATATTGTTAACGACTTGCTGTTAGGGATATTATTCGAAGTTAAGTACAAGAATATGAACGAATCCAAATTATTTTGAACAATATTAAGAGTTCACCCGATGGCAGATTCAGATGCTTTGATGTAGGACTCACCATGTCAGTTCAAATGAGTAACTTTTTAATATCCAGGCGGCTTTCGTGAGTTTCGTTCACATGTCATCAGTTTTCTCTGCAACTTAAAAGATGAAACATATATTTATCAGGAATCTGAAAAGAAAAAATGCCGAAAAATATCACTGTAATATAGTTGAAAACTTTCAATATTATTCAGTTCAAAACTCCGAAAAATGACGATGAAGCTTGTCTCCGAAACGTTTTCAACAGTATTTACTTGGCATTTTCCTCGCTGTTAAATTCTTGGTTAATTAATATGCGATGAAACTGAACTGCTGATGCGAAACATGTTCACATGAAATGTAACAGAAACCTGGGCATAAATGCACAGAAATACAATTCTGCGACCAAGCATTCCGAGTACGTTTATTAGTACATTTATTCCGAGCCCTTGTTCTAAGTTTATGTAAATTCCCAATAACTATTTAACTTAAATGAAGTGTTTCCTCGTGAAGCAAATCATCTTTGAATGTGAGAGCAAAGTTTTATTCATGTACAATAATTAATTTTTTTCTCATTGTTACAAAATCGATAAAACCATGCTATATCCCAAATATGTAGCTTCACTACGGTTTTTATTGCTACATGATATTTTTTCTCAATAAATCGCAAGATAAATATTTAGCTGAATTTTTTGGCTCTACAGGAGCTTCCGTATCAGGACCAACGCGAAATGTGCGCTCTTATATTACCAAGCTACAGTTATAATTTTGAAGTGAAATACCCATCAATCGTACCTTTTCACATCAATTAACTTTAAATAAACTATAATACTTGTGCACGATACCTAAGACACAACAACATGAAGAAAAAATCTTTAATGGAAACAGAGACAGGAGGCAGGAGCGACCACACAGTCATTATGAGAATTTCCAGTTGACGTCGACGTTGCTTAGCAACGGCGTCGGTGACCTGCATAAACCATCAGGCAATCAGGAGGATAAAGAACACAATGACTTCCAGGCACAATTTTGCACTGTATGAGCGGGCGTTTTGGTATGCTGCAATAATGCATTTTGAAATGTATGAACGTTGAAAGATCAAGAATTGCTCATCAAAATAATATGCTCGAATTGATTTAAAAATACAATGAAGTGGAAGAGACAGCGATGAGATTAAGGCGCAAATTCGGAAGATACTTCAATTCAAAACGACAAAGAATGTAGCAAATAAACAGCTATAATCTAATGTCGGGTACAGTGATGAAAAATACTGCAAAAAATTCATTGTTTCAATAGACTACAATAACTACATCATTCATTTCTTCAAGGAACTGCTAGATAATGCTGACAATACTAAACGATGCGAAATATTTCTAGATTTTAAGTGGTTAACTTTGATGCGCAAATTCTGTTTTCACAGCATAAATTTTGATAACTATTTTCATAAATTGTTTGCACATCTGTATCGGCGGGGGTAAAAAGACCACTTCTCTTGATATGATCAGGGTATTGGATAAATATCGCCATGGAAAGTGTGACCCAATTTATGTGCGCGGCCAACATTTTCCTGACAATTTTTGTAATGCTTAGAGTGACCGGCGGGAAAAATGCAAAGCATCAAAGCGAAACTGTCATAGATGTGCGATTACTGCACTGACCAAATTTATGTACATTTTCGCTCTTATTGAAGTTGAACTCGTGACGGGCTAACGGCCTTCAAGTATAATCTCATCCGTGTTAACATAACCGAAGAAAATAAACTTATGAATAAAAGAAAGTAGCTAACTAATGTGTCCAACTTGATTAGTCCGCGAACATCGACAATAATTTTCTTAGTAAGATGAAGAAGAAAATATGTTGCCTCGAGAGGGCAAATTATTTTAGTATCCCCATAGAATATTAATTTTTTACGATGCTCATCTATGAAAACCACCTTATTTGAAGGTAAGCTAAACCACATTGCCCATGTCTCCATATTCAGCTAATTGTAGGTCCGGCAAAATAGGAAAACATAATATTTTTTTGGCTGAGGCCCGAGGATAGTGTTGCGTTTGAAGATCATGTGAAGTGCTACACGTCCTGTATTAAAATAAAAATGTAAGGCCAATTTTTCAAGGTTTTAGTATCGAAACATAATAGGAATTGGTTTCCAAATTGATCTCAATGATTGACGAGAGTACAATTGATTGATAACTGTTAACTGATTACTGATAGATTAAATGTATTCCCAAATAGATCTCTAAGTGATGGTAAACTCGCCCTTATATCAACTGATATGAAACTGATTTTGCTTTATTTAATTAACTCGTTTTTTCGCCTTTATGTTGTAGGCGCCCCATGATGACGTCTACATGACGTCATCCACCTCATATGCTTCCATTTGGCCTTGCATTGACTGGATTCACGCAAAACTCGATTTGATCCACCAATGTTCGCACCGCCAATGCAATAAATTCCTTTCGTGTTCCAGATGTTCAGTTTTTCCGCCATGACTTTCGTCAATTTATTCATATTAACATAAAGAACGGCAGATAATACTGATAATAATTCATCAATTATTGTCGATTGGAGGACTATTTTCAATATTAGTTTCGAAACCAATCGAGATTTTCCGAGAGGAGAATTAGAGTAGCATCAAATACATTATCAGAAACGTAGGCCCCTGTCTTGTACCATCATCATTCAGATAAAAGGACATAAATTTGATATTATGACAAGAAGTAAATCCTATATTAACTACATACAAAGGAATTTCTTTTCAAGGGGTAGTTTACTCTTTAACTGAATAATCGATTAACTTTTATAATCGATTTTTGGCTGTCTCAAGACCTTCATTTAAGAAATCATCACTAATTTTTCATATTTTTACAACATTACACAAAACATAACTCTCGATGTAATAAACAAATTTAAGGGAATTTGCTACGATTATCCTGCCTAAGCAGCCCACCTTAAATTGATGCTGACATATGCACAGAATCTACAAACCATTGTGTGAATACAGTAATGCCGGGACAACACTTGGCTGCTACTTACTCGCCGTTAATATGAAATTCTCGTAATATAAATGTAACAACTTTATATATTTAGACCAGCCCAAAAGAATCAAAATATAGTTTGTTAAGTTCAGACAAATTCGTCCGCCTCATTCGACAATATGAAGCTTGCAATTTAGATTAGATTTGAAGCCTTTATAATCAGAAGATTTGGGTCAAGAGTTTCTCATTCCTGTTGAACATGAGTTCGATGCAAACTGTTGGGGAATACCGTTGCTCAGTATATATAAATTTAAATACATAATAATTAGCCGATATACCGCATAATATGGGAGACAAATTGAAACGAGCATAGAAAAAATATTAAAAATTACAGTACCCGATTTGGCTCCGCCGCGCTGGCGTTGAGAGCTCAACGCTTCTGTTACTTCTAAACAAATCATGAAAATGTCGTTGACAAATCCCCGAAGACTCTTCACTTCTGTTTACACAGCCTTTTAGCTTAACTTACTACTGTCCCTATTGGCTGAAACATAATCACTGGCCACTCCTAATTGGTTGACACACTCAGATGAGAGCTTGAAGTTCGCTTCTTGTGATTGGTTGAGTTTTCTGAAGATGGGTATGGGCGGAGTGGATTTAAATTATTTATTTAGAATTAATTATATTTTTATAATAATTTACGGTTATTCGAAGAAGTAATTATACTTTTGCTGACTATATATAATGCACGTGCTTATTACCATTGGATTAACTGATTTATAGCATTCCAGACATGACATGCACGTTCTTTCTTATATTTTGGAATAGAATACAGGGTAATAATAGAAATATTTCTTTGCACTACCCAACCTTCATGTTACGAAGACTTTTTTTCTTAATTTTTATGACTTTATCTACTTGGGGTATAGCAGAGAAGGAAATTTTAGGCAAATAATAAACTTTTTCGTGCAAAGGCGGAGCTTGAAATTAGAGGGTATACTTGGTACCCTCATCAGTGCCCGTCCAACATTCATAGGGTGAGGTGTGCTCAGACTTTGCCCGTAAACAAGGAAGCGAAAGAAAACTTCATGATAAACTGAAAACTGTGGACTTGTAATCGATAAAAATATTCCTATGTTCAGGGCATAGAAAGAAGAACTGAACTATGCAAAAATATAATTTGCTGTGAGAAAGATTACGCCGTTGAATATTCGATTTCACTCCCAGAACGTTGCTCGTGACATTTGAATTTTATGGGGTGCTTAACGCCCTCAACGTGGGCCATTTTCGAAGGAATTTAGCCAGACCGACGTGATCGCGGATGTTTACTCCAATGCCAATATGAGACAGACGCTCGATCAATGAGTGAAAGTTCCTGCAGATAGATTGTGGTCAGAGTTTTGTTTAAAAATTTTATCAAAATCATTCATTTAACACGTGTGAAAAATGTTTGAAAGTTATTCGTTTATTTCTAACCGGGCTAAGACTCTAAAGAATAAGATAAGGGACAAATGTTATTTATAAATCATATTTTGAAACTAATGATCGGAGAGCCTTTTACAGCCACCGTTTTCCGCCATATGATCACAGTTTTATTAGTATTCAAGTATATTTTGGAATACACTGTTTTCAAAATACCACACTCAAGAAAACACCATGAAATCAAAGCTTAACTGAATTCAAAATAAAAATGCAATTCGAAATATTAAAAGGAATCTCTAAGTTATCCGAATCAAATTGAAATATTCTCGTCATATGTAAGATCGTGATTGTATTTAGAGCCTATCGCACTACTGCCAGCATTACTGAACGTTTCAATTGCCTTGTAAGCTTTGATTTTATGTACAAGTGATTCTTCTTGCCATGGAGATTAGTCTTCCACTAGTTCACGTATTCACTACTTACAAAAATTAACTTTTCACTAAAATAGTTGCAGGAAAGAAGTAAATGAAAATATAAAAGTTAGGAAGCGATGGTAATCTTGCTATTCAAAAAATAATATCACCAGGTAGCGGTGTTCAAGGAAGAAAATGAAAACGTTTCAGACAATTTCAGGATTTCAAGTTTTATCTTTTCACCAAAAAACAATCCTTTGAGATCGTTCCGGCGATAGGAATCTGGCGCCTTGTATCTTTACGAGGAATATTACCGTGGTCACGTCACACAATGAGATCGTGCAAGTATGACTCACTATACACAGACTCACCGTCTCCTCTGGACGATGACAAGCAGAGGGCATCGTCGTCACCGACGTACCGCGACGTTTCTCACTCGGACGTCGGCAGACCGTACTCAGCCTCGCCCTCAGACCTGACCAAGTCAGAGACAGACTTAAGCGACGAGTCTGACCAGGACCACGTGCCTCACATCCTAGCTCCGTGTTCAAGTCAGGAGTCGAGTCCAGCAAGCTTGAGCCACACAAGAGCTTGTCTCCTGTGGGCCTGTAAAGCCTGCAAAAGAAAAAACGTAACAGTCGACCGACGAAAAGCTGCCACCATGAGGGAGAGAAGACGATTGCGTAGAGTAAGTTATTTTTTTTCCTTTCTTGTTTAAGTAATAACGTTATCTCGCTGGAAATATATATAAATCAGTTATTGAAAAAAGCTCTTCTTGTGAGTGAAAGTTCATCAAGTTTGTTGATAGTTTGAAGCAAAGTTTTAAAAATCTATAAATACCTGGTGACACTTAATTTAATCCATCACCAAATAATATAAAAATCGAAAATGAAAAATGTTATTAAGAAATTTCTTTAAAATGTGTAGGATGCATAAAAAAATTAGTATGTAAAATTAGTAAAAAAATAGTATGTATAACTAAATGAAACAGAAGTTGATTTAATAAGAAAATAACTTCCGAATTTTACGTATATACGTATGTATATATGTTCGCAATATTTTTTTTAATTCACATTAAATTTGTTTTCATCTCAACGTACAGGTCATTAATTAATATATATATATATATGATTTCATAATACTTATTTAGCTTTCAATTATACATTGTTTTCTGTGGGACTTGGGATTTCCATTTCCATTTTCCAATCAATCTTAATCCATTTGGGATTAAGAATGATTCTTTAAAAGAATCTTTAAGAATGATTCTTTAAAAATTTTCATCTAATGATCAACAGATAAAAAAAAATAAATTAAGCACTCGAGTGCTTGTTTCAATAAAAATGGAAAAGTTGTTATCGAAAAACAAGTAGCCTTTTGCCACAGTTATCTCACAATATTGCCACAGTTATCTTCCGTAATATGATATATGGTATATATGCGACACAATATATGTGCTCAATGTATGCCAATATGAGTTTGGTCATAAAAGGTAATGAAAAGAATCTATGTAGAATGTATAGAAACAGATTTGCATGAGGTGTCAGTATTATTCAATTCCTATACTCAGTTTCACAGCAATACTATTGATTGGAAGAAGCTAGGCGTTTCGGTGACAAACAAACAATCTGGGCCGATTTGAGTGTAAATCTTGAATTATTACTCGAAATTAAACTACTACAATGGAAGCCTTCAAAGGAACTTTAATAAATAAATATAAAAAATATAACTCAGTACTCACTGCAGTGAGTGACATCTATGTAGAATGTATAGAAACAGATTTGCATGAGGTGTCAGTAGAATTCAATTCCTACTCAGTTTCACAGCGATACTATTGATTGGAAGAAGCTAGGCGTTTCGGTGACAAACAAACAATCTGGGCCGATTTGAGTGTAAACCTTGAATTATTACTCGAAATTAAAACTACTACAATGGAAGCCTTCAAAGGAACTTTAATAAATAAATATAAAAAATATAACTCAGTACTCACTACAGTGAGTGACAGAGAGCGCATTTTCTTGTCGACGAAAACGTGAAGTCACGGACGGACAGACGGACGGACGGACGGACAGACGGACGGACGGACATGACGAGCACAATAGCGTATTTTTTCCATAAATGAGAAAATACGCTAAAAATAATAATTAAACGCATATATATTTTATTCGTGAACGAGTTTTGCACTAATGTAGGCATGCACCTGCAAATCAAATTCAAAATTATTTAATGTTAGTTTTGGTCTTTTACATGTTTAACGTTTGATTTCATACACAAAATCGCGAGCAGACAAGCAATTTTGTTATATATACTTCTCAAATAATTCCCAAATGTTTGAAGTGAATGTCAAGACTACAGCGATAGATAAAATCGAGAGTACATAATCTTGATCGCCATGAATCGGGCACGAAATTTGGTCTGTAAAAACGTGGTTTTTATTCTCTGATTAATCTAATCTAATAGCGTAGCTTATTTACTTATGTTGAGACTACGGCCATCAAAGCCAAATCCTTATGACTGATTTAATTAGGAAATTAAAGATTGCATACCGCTTTTTCTAAGCTGTCTACCCTTGTAAAGTTCACGACGTCGCACACCCGTACGTTGCCTTCATTAAACGCTACATCCGTTCACACTAATGAAGGAAAAACACTGAACTGCTGTCTCAAAACTTCATAAGAAATATTCAGATAAAAAGATCGTCACGGATCAGACCGTTACACGAGATGTTCATATCGCTTATTCTGTAGCTTGCAAGTCTCTAAGTTGTGGTTGCACGGAGTGATGCAAACGAGCGTAACGTATTGCTCGCGTACCTCTGATGTTTGGTAAAGGATGAATTTAAAGTATATGCTTTAATGTGAATGAAATGGATTAAGCTGAAATGTCTCGATTCACATTCAGATTAAATATTTGGCAGGTTTCGAAAAAATGCGAGATAAAATTTTTCATAAGAAAATATTACTTGTCTTATGATTTTGGCGCAATATTCTCATCTACATGCACTATTAAGGCAATTATAATAAACTAGAATTATTGGGCATAATACTGTCTTATCACTGAGGATAAACGCAATTTTTAATGTGTAATTCGTTCACTTGACCCAAACTTTAAAGTTAATAAGAAATAAAGATGATCACAGTAAATAATCTCTTCGATTCAGATTCCATCGGGCCATCAGCTATCTTTTTTATACCCGTGTGAAATCTAAATAATATCATTAAGGCGCACGGGTTTGATTGCAAGCCAATCGTGAAGAATAATGAGGCAAGCGTTCTTATATTCATTCCGCAACCCTGAAATATTATTCACATTGTGTGCACCTGCAGCCATTACACCGCGCCTTCCCGACACCAGCATCAACACATAGCATCTCACAGATCAAATATTAATGTGTAATGAACCTCTCAGTGGGCTTTATAAACTCTTCCTATTTGTGTTCACGCTTATCTCAAGGGAGGGAGAAGAAATTATCGAGTTTCAAAGCGGTACTGGGGCTCTCATTAGCAGCAAGACGGCGCTAGGGCTTGTCACCGATTGCATCAAATATATAAGCGACCGGCACAGAGATGCGCTCGTTAGATCTGCTCCACTTACTGGCCCGACCTCAACACCGCCATGCCAACTTAACAGGAATATTCTCAAAAAGGATCATAGATATTGTTGAGAATAAAAATTATTTGGATATAAAATGAAATAATAAACGGATGCATTAAGAACGTGAATGCATCTAGAAAAATATAAACGAAGATAATGGCAGTTTGATATATAAGAAATTCATTTCGATGAAAAAGAATCCGTGAAAATGGCAGTTGGGAGCGTTTTAAACGTTAATGCAAACGGTAGGATAATAATGAGGAAATGAATACTTTTCAAAACTATGAACACGGCAAGGTTTTTCGAATAACATGTTTAAATATTTATTTGTGAATTTGATTATAGAGGCGGCGAAAAAAGGCAATAAGAACATTTATAAAATGTACTTAACCTTAGACAACACAAAATTGACGATTGAAATCAGAAGCGCTGTGTCGTAGACAAACTGCAGGATTACAAGAATAAACTGTAATGAATCATTGGCGAGCAAAGTAACTAAAAATACACATTTATATAATAAACCCTGAGGCACGCCAAACGTATATGGCATTTGATATACCTAAATTTTCAAAAGAAATTTAAATTATAGTATTGAGCACCAGGAATATATTTTTTAACATATTCGCTGGAAAAATCTGAATTAGTTGAAATTATATTCACTCTTCCCACCACAGGTAAACGAGGCATTTGAAATTTTGAAGAAAAGGACATGCAGTAACCCGACTCAGAGGATGCCAAAAGTTGAAATTCTGCGCAACGCCATCGAATACATCGAGTCGCTGGACTACATACTTCAGAGCGCGGCGACCACGGAGGCCGACTCAGACAGTTTGTCGGAGACCAGGGCTTCGACAGCGTCTTGTACGGTGAGTTTACGAGTATCCTGTACAGTGTAAAATTAAGTTTAAAGCAGTATTAAATTCACTGATAAAAATAAAATAAAGCTGTTGAATCTGGAGCTGATAATTTTGATAAATTAGGTATAATTTTCAAATGAGGATACATACGTACAGGATTAAGTAATATTATTAACCGGAAAACTATCTGATTCATTACGACTAAAATATACTTGAATTCACCTTAGTGAAATGTCTCTCTGATTAATGTCATGAAATGAGAGAAAGATACCAAGAACTGGATAAGATTTTTAAACTCTGAGTTGCGTTGTTTCTTATATATATATACATCTTTGGGTCGTCGCAATTATTAAGTACAGCGTTTTTTGCGTTCAGTATCGTCGAAGACAAGGAGGGCCACTTATAATAATTAAATTGCAGGAGTGCCCTGTATGACGTCAACTGCTCCATTATAAACCAGTGAAATCTTGCTGTATAAAGTCGTTCATCACTACCGTACACTTGTATTTATTTTAATATTTTCTTACGTAGCTGACGGTGACCTGAATTCATTCCCAGGCCTCAGTTATACACAAAAGCTTGGGTTGTTTACTTCGCAGTAATATTCCGAATGTTAAATGATGCGCAATGTGAAAAGATTATATAAAGCTGTACCCCTAAACTTGTTGAGAGTTTGATGTCGCTACAAGCTTTAAAAGGCAAAACAAATTAACGATCAATTTCAACTGTTTTATTTCGTTGCTGTTTCATTTTCTTTGTGCCTTATTCTTCTAGAAAATTAGACTGACCGGGAGGAAGCCTCCGTATGTCAGGCGATCAATACTGAGTTTAGTTTAGAATTTTTGATACGCCTTTCAATCGCATTTAAGGTCAGTGTTCAGTGACGTCAATCTTTCCTTTCTGATTCACGATAAGTTCCTTATACTTTTTATACTTGGGGTATCAAAGTTTTTTTCCAGATTATTTTTACTACCTAGTCTTTTGAAGTTTTGAACAGAATACAGGTATTGATTTTAACGGTTTTAACCATTTCTTCTTGCAACCCAATAAAGCAAGAATTATCCGTTTTCACTGGCTTAAGTCTCGTGTATTATTAAATTATTGTGCATCTTTAAAAACGTCACACGGAAAAATCACCATCATCTTCCGTATGCCGGCGTTTGAAACAATGTATAGTTTGAATCTTTATGAACTACTAACAATCTACGAACTCTTCTTAGTCTCAACCATTGCTGATAAGAGTATTAACATTTTTTGATGGATGAAGTAGAAAGGTACTTATAATCATTCCAAGCCGTAACCATTACTGACTAGAGGAACATGTTTTATTGACCTTCAAGTAGAGTTGGCTCGCTCAAAACCCAAAAATCCTCAAATATTTAACTATACATGTCTCAGTTTTACCTCAAATCAAGTAATCAGTTTTTAAACAGAATGAAACACAAATTTCCCCTGCTCAATATAAGTCACTGGAGGAGCATGTTTTATTGACCTTCATGTGAGTTTGTGGGAGCTGAAAACACGTTAGCGTTGTAAAGGAGCGAGTTCACTACCACACCGGGAGAGTTCATTTGGCAGCGGGTGCAAAACATACTCGGCTTGATTGTTGACAGCGGGGGCGCGTTTAGAGCTCCTGAGCACTCAAGAGTCTTATGGGGCTTTGTACTTTTAAAGCATCGCATAACAAAACGTCCTTCTTGGACACCTTGTCCATGTACTTGGAGCTACAACCACGCATGTCGTATTTTTCAACGCTGGCCACTATATCTGCTTGCACAGAAGCAAGTTATTGCTATGCGACTCGGTTTACAGTCGCTGCAGTCGTAGTCTTTGCACTAGTCACCACCTAATAGTATGTTAATACATATGTTACTAGGTAGTCAGGAGGATTTTCTATCATATTCTCTTTGCATACAGATAATAGGTTTTTATTATATCCATGCAATTCATTTTGAACGGATATGTTCGAATGTTAGCTTCAACAATTTTTGAAAAGGCTTATCAGCAAATTTGAAAATAGTGATAGTCCGAGTGTTATATTCATATGAAATATTACATCGTCTTTTGTTTTTAGTCACCTATGCTAGGGTGGAACGTAGAATCATGGTTGAAATAATATGATTTTTCTTTACAAAATGCATTGAATTAATGGAAAATTCATATTTTTTACAGAACACTAATATTGTAGTAAACCGGGTTCCAAACACTATATAATTAAAAATGCTTAAATAAGATTATAGTGACACCCGTTTGTTATGGACACGAAATGAAAACCTAGGGAACGATCTCCAATTATTTCACTACCTGTATGCTAAAGGTAGGAAATAAATCCCTAATTCTATTAGCTTTATTACTTATTACTTCAATAAGTAATAACTTCATTAATAAGAAATAAATAATTACTTCAATGAGTAATTCAATTGGCTTTATTACTTTGTTTTAATGCAGCCCTTTACTAGTTATTTACAATGAGAATCATATTTTGTGAATGTCAGAACCATTGGGGGCGTTAATTGCTGGCTTCATCGACTATTGTATTCATCTCCGATGAAGGTAAACCGAAGCAATATCTTTTACTAGAGCTTCATCATCTTTTCACTGGAAATATTATACATTAATAAAAGCATACCTGCAGAAAGAACAATATCAAAAAGTGTTACAATGAATTAAAATTGAAGTTGCGTGTTCAGTAGAAGATTGTACTTTAAAACTTGATAAATAACACCGCAGTCATTTGAAATAACTTTTCGCGGAAAGTTACACGCCAATTTCGACAAATCAAAGCGCCATCCATGTTGAAACAAAAACAAATAATGGTGTCATTTTATATGTCAAATTCAATTATTTTCTATGATTCGAACTAAAAAAAAACTTCGCAGGCAAAATTATCTGGTAATATTTTGGTTATCCCTGAGATCTGAGGATGAGCGCAAAGACCTGCATGCAGCCAAGCACTTAAGTGGCTTTAGGCAATAGCTTGGCGAGAGGCGAGGCTTCATTGCCTAATTGTCGAGATTGTCTGACTCTCTGAGAACCTAATGACTCTAACCAACTCAACCAATTTGCACCCAAATCGCTCTTTGCTGATGCCCCGCACAAACGGCACCGTTTCAACTGCACTCAGCTGTAAGATTCTGTTCAGGAATTATTGAAGCTCTGCTTCCGGCAGTAAATGTAAAGGCTTTCTAACGAAATGATAGAATGATGCTTTTCATATTGCAACAATACATCATGATAAGGCACGATGCTATTCACTGGCGTAAAAATGTGTGAATTCCTACAGAAGTGGCAAGGAAATTTGAGAACCACAAATTTGTTTTATAAAAGTTGAATGGTTATTTTGTTTTTAGAATTTTATGACGTCACTTTCGCTGATGGTCGACGAAAATTTCATATTCGTTAGCAAACAACAATTAAAGTGGTTTTAAATAAAAAATCAAAAAAACGTTGCCAGCAAGAAAAGAAAATTATTTCTCCGCATATCAAATGTGTTGTCTGCATTATGCTGTTGGTGTACTTTTTGGTGGTCCACAGATAAGGTGTAGCGGTCAATAACAATTGAGCTAAGTTGTATCGTAAAATATTATATTGTTTACACTGAAATCCAAATTGGGCTTTTTAGTAGAAAGACTTGGACATACTTTAAAATAATTTAAATTCTTCAAGCTGCCAACTCAGAAGTAAACTTTATTCGAAAAAATTGAAAATTTTCAAATGAATATTAATAATAAAATGTACATAAGATTCATTTCATTTTCATTCATTCAAACACAATTGAATTTATTATTCATTTATGTTTTTAATGCATTAAATTTGACTCGAAAGTGTAATTGAAAAATTTATTGTTATGTTCGGCTTATGAGATATTTCATGAAAATATTAATAATAAAATTTCGGTAAGCTCCATAAAAAAAGGAAAAACTGCAGGCGACTCTCTGAAGGTGCATTGTGCTTACTTATAATTCTGTGCGAGGGCTGAGCTGCACGTCGCTGTACCGCCTTATCAATAATGCCCTGCGCTCGGAAGTGTAAAAGAAGACCAGCACTAAAAAGAGTTCTAATGACAAATTTATTGGCCCAGGAGCTTCACGGCATCAGGTAACTTAAGCCACCGTTTTTTTAGCGTTTTCTTGCCTCGTCAATGCAACACATGGCCGTGGGTACCCACATACTAGTCTTCGTATAGCACGTCGTAGAGTCTTGAGGGCTATACGACCAGCGGCATTTGCTTAAAAGACACGACGCTCTTACGGCAAGTACATGCCATGCCTGATAAGAACATACTAGGGAGAAACGGATCTCTTGCTAACACCGCTGTAGAAAAAATGCAAGACGTCGTTGTTGTCGCTTCACCAAGGGACGGCCCATCGAGGTGATCTCCTCTCGAGTTTCGTGAACTTGTTTGAAATTTTCTCGTCCTCGGGATTAACATTTTCCGAGCAATGAAAATGCTATGGCAATGTTAATTCCTTCTGTAAGTTCTCGTTCGCATAAGCCGACTGGGCCAATTGATATACAGAAAGGACTTTATTCGTATTCACTTCTGACACATCAATAAAACTCGAACTTATTTGCGGTTAGAGTTTATTACTCCATCGCAAATATTCGATGCGTTAATTCCTTATTTCGTGAAATTTATTGCCTGTCCCATTATTTAAACTGAGTGATTACTAAATAACGTAAATCGCATTGTAGTGTTTTCCTACTCAGAAAAATGTTACATTTGTTTAAGGAAACATCTGAAAGTAGCCTAATTTTCCTTCTCGCTTCTTTTTTAGTAACGAAGTCTCAATTGATTCAGGGTTACAGCTAGTCAGCCTCAGAAACGATCGACGTCCTGTAATTACCAAGTGTGAACAGCCTTTGGCAATTATATTCATCGTCTATGTAAATTAATTATGTTGACACAGAATTCGAGTAAAAGGAAATTTACAGCGACTAACTATTTTTGATATATTGATTGAAATGATAACAATTTTTGAAATATTTATGCTCCCATTGAAATGTGA